CGCACACATACACACACACACACACACACACACACGCACACACACACAAGTAGTTCAGTTTCTAGCATCGCACTAGTCTCTGTGGACCGGTGTGTATGGCCATGTGGTTCATTGGTTTGCCTTCAGACCATGAGGGGCAGTTGCGATTTACTTTGATGTCGCCTGGAACAGACTCATGCCTTTTTGGTTCCTTACTGCGATGCTTAAAAATGGCAACGGCTGGACATCTTACCATCTTCAGCAAGATGCTGGTCCCAGTCGTAGAGTTGAGCGTACTTGGGAGACCGGCGGTAACGTTCCGCCCAGCGAAACAGGTCACGTAGTGTGATGAAGCCATGCTTGCCTTCAAAGACACTCGAACCTTTACGCATGGTCTGCAGTGTATCAGAGCACACAACACCAGTCAGGATAATTACAACAACAAATTCATGCAACATGAACAGAATGTGCGCAGGATTACGGCGGGGAGTTGATATATTGAACAGTTAGGCCGCAAGTACACTACGAAAAATCACAGTACAAATTTTCATGCATATCTCAGTACAAGTCGGTACGCAACCACACTACACTTTTCGGTCTGCATAGATGACGTTTTCACTAGGGGTGAAACGAACGAACGAAAGTTCGAATATTCGTTCGAAAAATTTGAAAACGAACGAACGAACTCGCAAGATTGATAAACGAACACAGCAAGCAAGCATAAAGATCGCTTGTGACTAGATCACGAAGGAGCCGCGGAGGTTGGGAGATCGCGAGCTTGCACGCTGATCGACTGTGTTTGCCTTGATGATCACTTGAAGCAAGTTGAAGGAGTTGAGTGTCGCGTCGGGACAAAGTTTCTTGAAATATTTCTGTGTGTCCGTTTGAGTTAGATTTGTACTCGTAGTGAAAGGATTCGAGTCGCTTGTGACATCTGTTCCTGAAAGCAAACGTGCACTCGTTGCAATCATGTCAAAACATTCGAGCCTTTCATCGCGATCCGGAGTTGGAGCGGAATTTGATAAAGTGGTCGGGAAAGACGAAGTCCTTTTCTCAATTTCAAAAAGGTTCTATCACACAGCAGAGCGACGACGAGCAATCTTCGTACCCACGTCAAGAAGTACCGTTCTCCTGCTCTGACGACGTGAGCTAGCAATGAGAAGAAAACTCTCGTCCGGACGATGATGATGGACTTTGCAGCTAGCTGCAAAACCCTGTGATTCAGCTCAGGCGGACGCGATAAAAAAAATGTTCTGTTCTGGCAGTGTATCGTACACCGTCAATACTGAACTGTGGCCAGCTAAGTACAGAGAACGCCAGTACTGACAGACTGTATGGTCTTCCAAAAAAATTCATCCATGAAATACATAATGGAGAATGTTCGTTCGAGTTCGTTCGTTAGTGTGAGAGTTCGTTCGTATTCAAAATTCGATGTTCGTTTCACCCCTAGTTTTCACGCGACCAGCACGTGACGTTGTCGTACCAAAGCGTGTGCCATGCGCTGGAAAAGACCGGGAAATTCAAAAACAATGCTGGTGCTGATGCTATGTACGATGACCCGGTACAACAGCAAAGTTGTACACAGGAGAAGGAGCGCGAAAACGACGAAAACGACAAACGTGGCTTTCTACAGGGGTGCGCCAGTTGCTGAAAACCTACAAAGCGCATTTTGCATTTCGCACGCGTCGGCATGACAATTTCTACTGTAATGCCGTTTGTTCGTGATTTTGTACCTAGTGTGGTTGCAGCCTTAAAGCCGATTTCAATTCGATACATACACCACAGCGGTCACAATTCACTATGTACAATGGAGTACGGAGGCATGCACAATGACCAACAATCCCCAGACACACACACAGAACATACCTGAAGGTCCTGCATGACTGCCACCATCCTGGCTGCATAAGAGCCTGGAATGGAGCAGAGCTTCTCCAGGATGGTCTTCAGCTCAGCGCTGGGCATCTCCGTGAAGTGCAGCTCAATAAAGCGATTACGCAAGGCACGGGACAGCATCTTCGCACAGAGGTCAACACAACGCAGCAAATATTGATAAGACAAGACATCACAACAAAAGCAGAATAATATACATTGGAATCTGGCATTAGTCTAGACCCAGTGATAAATCCCGGTAACCAGTCACAGAACCTCAATGACTGCACACCAAAGGGCATAGGAGTTGAAACTGGCCGTGATTCTAATGGGAAAAAAAACTCAGAATGCCACGGCCAGTAGTGACAAAGATTTTAACAACACCAATCTTTCAGCCATGATGAAGGAAATGATGGGATTTGTAAACTGAGAACTGCCCTGCCAAATGTCAGATAGCTAAGAATGTCAGACTAGGTGGCCAAGAAGGAAACTAACCTTTCTTCCTCCATACAGTCCAGCTGGATTTTGAGTAGCAAACAGCATGAACTTCGGGTGCGCTTTGACAACTTGCCCTGTCTCTGGAATGACCAGCTCTCGGTTGTCGTCCAGTACCTTGGCAAAGGACAACGTGTATACGATGTAAACATACTACCCTATCCTCTTCAAAACAACACGAGAAAGTTGCAAACTGTGGGGGAGGTCATTTGGTTATTGCATACGCATAGTGTAGAATGAGAATACAATACACATGTAGGAAAGCTAACAAATGCCATGGAAATCTGGAAGATAATGCGATTACTGCTTGACTCATCAGCAATTCTACTGACATACAGTCTAATGAAAGAAACACAGCTCAATCCACGCATACAGAGACAATGGACCAATGCAGTCGAGTGCCAGCGGTCTCAGTTTGCTTACTCGGTTCAGAGCTTCCAAGACATCAGTCGGTGCCAAGTTGAGTTCATCCAGAATCACCCAGTGACCATGACGCATGGCTGTCACTAGAACACCTGTGCAAACCATACAGCAGGCAACAATCACATTAAAACTGAACTAGACAGGCAAAAAAGTTCATGGTTTGGCTTCTTCTAAAGTGAGTACCATGTTCCAAACAAAACTCATAGATGTCAACATCCCAGCTAGTCTTTTCCATTGCAGTTCCCCAGCGGGTATAAGGCAAAGTGAGGGAGCAGGCAACCAAAACTATGTGTAGGGGTGAGAATATTGGCCTGGCACATATACATTTTAAATTTGCAGATGCAACAGTCCACATTCATAAAGGTTTGCAAGCGCACACCGTGGCGGTCAGTACAGATGGACCATTCAGATTGATGTTCTTGGAATCGATGCCCAGCAAGCTTACCTTCCTGGAAAACCAACTGGCCGTTGCTACCGGTTACATAGCTGCCTAAATACTCCTGTAGATCGGTGTGCTCGTGGTTGTTGATACGCATGCATACATGACCTGTCAAGGAGGACAGGTAACGGATCAAGCTGGTCTTTCCAACTGATGTAGGACCTTGCAGAAGTACTGGCGGTCGACTGGAGAAAACACGTTTGGATGGAAATAAACAAATACCAAAAACTTCAGCTCCATGCACATCTCTCACAATACAACTCCAACAGGCAGACATATCCCCTTATGTGTACCACAACCCATGTATGTGTGAAAAGTTGTGTGAGGATAGAGTGTCTGCGCGGAGGTATAGCGCGTGGATCGGGATTATTTTAAAGGGATGTCTTTATTGTATTGTTATTGTTCTTACCCAGCCGCAACAGCCCGCGAGATGTCTCTCAAGTTTGCCTTTACTGCAGGTGTCAGGACATAGTTCTCAATTGTGACGGGTTCTTGGGGGCCACATTGAATCCAATAGCCTTCCACCTAAACACACGACATGGCGAGAGCAGACACAACAAATACTACACCTCTAGAAGCAGAAACCATAGTGAGCAACAAAACCGGGTTGTCCGGACAAGATTACTCCATGGCCAACACAACCCAGCAGTAATTTTATCTACCCCAGCATTGAAATGCTTCCAACCTTGGCAAGACTGATATTGCGATTCCTGGCATAATCACACATGTTGTTGGTACTTGCATCATGAATGCTGTACAGATATAATACCGTAAAGTCTTGTATAAAAGCCGCACTTGAATAGAAGCCGCCCTCGAATAGAAGCCACAATTTTGGGCCCATCAAATCACACATAAGCCTGGTTTTCGTGTTGACATACATAGAAATACCTGTCTTGTATAGCAGCCCATCTCATATAGAAGCCTGTCTCATATAGAAGCCTGAAAATTTTCACCAAGAAAGTCATAGAAGCCGCGGCTTTTATACAAGACTTTACGGTATGCTGCTTGGCCTGGGTCGGGAGTATCACATTCTTATCCGCGTATGCAGAATGCAGCACAGTGTTTAGTTCTAACGCAGCAAAGTGCTTAGTTCTAGAGAGATAGCAATGAAGAAAGCCTACTAGCTGATTCCACTGACCTTCACAAACTTATCTGTGGGCAAGGCCGTTGTGGGCATAGGTAAGCTGTGTTTGATCAGAGTATCAATCTTGGTGTCCGGCAGGACATGGTGGTGGATCAGCTTGCTCAATGCAGGATGCCATTGGCGATCGAGCTGGGTCAAGAAACTGAACAGCAATCCCTACAAAGGAGAAGAGTCATGACATAACCGTCAATGGTACACAGGTGCTCTACACGAGGGATACAGCCCATGCGTACTATTTTTATAGCTATTAAAAAAGAATTGCTCACACATCATACACGTTTTCGTACTACAAGACAACACGATGTATGGCAATGCAAACAAGAAAAGTGTCACATACCTCAAACAAGCTTCTTTCCATTGATCCATAAAGGTTACATGAAGCAAGCCGCAGTCCTCTGCACAGTGTTCGCAAGCTAAACAGAAGCACAGGGTGCAGGCCACAAAACAACACCAAATCCTTATGAAATATGTAGACAGCAATAACACCCATAGTTGCTCCTTTCATTTGCACTGTTAACGCACTCTCCACATACAGGCATGCACCCGGCTCAGAACACATTGTTTTCTGGTTGGCATATCAGGGATATTGGGCGGAGCAGCTGGCGTGCATGAGAAAGACAGGTCGGCCTGCTCTGCGCAGGAGCTGTGACCCGGTGCACACATAGTGTGTGTGAGAGAGAGACAGACAGGTCGGCCTGCTCTGCGCAGGAGCTGTGACCTGGAGCACACAGAGGGTGAACGAGAGACGGTCGGCCTGCCGTGGGCAGGAGCTGCGACCGGTAGTGATTGAAATGAGCCAGCTGCGGAGATAGACTGCCCTCACCCGATATAAGTATATTGACAAGAGTTGTACTGACACTGTTATTGAGGAAATTATGGTGACAGTGATGGAGAGATAGTGATCCCCAGTCGAATGGGGTTGGGAGGGAAGGGGAAATTGACACTGACGGACAAACCAGTGAACAGTCAAGTCGTCAGAAAGCAAAAGTGACAAAGGAGTCTCTCTTTTCTCCTTCTCTCTCTCTAAAGCAAGATTTGGAATGCATGCGTGGGAGAGTGGCGCGCGCTGCGCATGCGCATGTATAGCAATGACATCATAATCAGATGCATGATCATCAGACTAAGTATGAGTGGTAGATGTTCCACGTTCGTTAACAGGGCTTAGCGCACACGCTAAACCACCATTATAGTATTGACCATTGCAGTAGCACTTCCATCTAATTCCTGAATTAAGAGATCATATCGCCCCCCCCCCCCCCCTCCCGTTTTTGTCTCTTCACATCCATGCTCCAATTTCATCCGTTTATTGTCCATTTCAACTACACCTTATACACTGCCACTCTTCGTAGATATCTGGACAAAATCAGAATTTGCTGGTGGCGCAAGACCCAGGCAAATCTGCACCAAGACCGTGAAAAGCGGTCGTAGCGTTGATAGGGTTGTGCTGTTGTGTTGTTAATGGCAAGAAATTTAACCATCTCTTGCTTGCAGTTCCAGTGCCTTATTTATGATGCGCACGGTGAATGAGGTATGCATACGTGCTGTCCAATTAGCAGAAGACTCATACACATAAAGTCATAAACCCATGATCGAAAAAATGCTGCCTGTGGTGGTTAGCGAGACAGCGCACTCACAGCCAGGATCCCACACAAGCCTGTCTAGCACAGAAGCCTGGGGAATTCTTGATAAAAAGCATACACAGCGTGGCTTCTACACAGGACTTGAGTTTACAATGAATGATAATGTCCACTGGTTGTACACCATACATACCTATAGTGCGGACGATGACCGGTTCCATCAGTGTACTTCTCTTCTGCTGCTTTCTTTGCAGCCAAGTAAAACCTAGTGAGGGTGCGCATATATGCACACAAACACATACACACACACACACAATCATACAGACATATCGTAGGCATATTGTTATCCAAAATGCTGCACATAAAAGAAACGAGAGGTCAAGAGGCCTATTGCTAGAGAACAATATGAGGGTCAAGCAAGTAAACACATGATATAGTACAAACACTCATTGAGACGTAAAACACGTGCACAGTCTATGACTACAGCAAGCATCTGGTCTCAGGATCAACAGGCTTACCTGACAACACCTCCAACATACGCGCGAGTGTGACCAACGGTTACACGGCGCAAGTACTCATGAACCAGGTGCTCTAAGTCTGCAGCCTTCTCAAGCTCAGCAACAAACAGCTCCGTGAATCTACACACAAAGAAGAAACAAACTACATGTAAACCCCCACTAGAAGCTACAGACCTACACACTACACAGGTAAGTACAGACCTACACAGGTAAGTACAAAGTTCAAGATATCTGGCTGGCTGGCTTATCAAGACCGAAATAGTTTCGGCTTCGTTAAGAGCCAGACATTCAGCACCTGCTGTGTTGTCCAAGAGCAAGCCAGGTGTATGGAACTATATCCGCAGGAGATGTTTTCCTTCACTATGGCAACATACTCAAGGTAGTTTTAAAATGGTACAGCTCAAGTAAATAGGAAAGCGGACCAGGCCAGATCTCTGACATTGCTGCCACTTTAATAGTTAAAACTTTAAAGTCACTCAATCTCCTGACATCTGGCTGTTTCAATTCAGTTCAAAGCAAAAGAGATGTGTCCAAACACCACGATCTGCTACGCATGCTTTCAGACATAGTACTTGGGGCAAGTAATTATATTATCAGCGGGCATCCCTGTACTGGAGCAAGGGCTAAACAGCCCTGTTATGATCAACTTTAGCATGGCCTACAACAACAAAATAGGCTGAGGCATCAAGAGGGAGCTGGCAATGAACTCCACGAATGCAACACGTTTACCATAATAGTAACACACCAGCAAGTACAAGGAGCATGGCTGTCATGACTAGTTTCAAATAAACTAGAAGAAAACATGCTTAACCTCCTGGTGACCACTATTCACTGCTGATAAGCCTGTGATCATGTGGAAGCCAAACCGTACCGGTTGCGAACGCCGACGGGCAGGTTGCGTTTGCCGATATCTGTGGCTGGGTTCATGCAAGCAAATAGTCGAAAGTCAGGATGGCGATGTACAGGCTGAAGATCTCTGCAGCACCAAGAAAAGAAAAGTACAACATGTGCTTTTGGTTGTGGGAAGCCTTTGAGAATAAAAAAATGCTAGCACAATCTGCGTGGCTCTCGTTCCGTTTAGCCATAGCACTGAGAAAATAACTGATGAGATATGATAAAGGCAGTGGCATTTTCTTCCTACTAAAACGGATAGGGACTTTTGGAGAAAAATATGGTTCTTCCAACGTACAACCGTGAACACCAGACAATAGTCACGAGATAGTCATAAATACATGTACAGTTCAATGAAGAAGTCAACAGTGGAAATCTTTCCTTCTCTCTCCTAACACACAGTTCACACATTGTGCACAAATAGAGACATTTCGGACAGCTTACCCCTTCTCCATCAACAGAATGGAGCCATTGGGTTCCATCAAGCTGATCAAACATTCCAGTGTGTCTGGGCTGGCCAAGTTGATCTCGTCCAGGAGCAACCAATGCCCCTTACGAACTGCATCCACTAGTTTTCCCTGCACAGTTACAAGCATGAGCATGTGTAGACTCAGACATTCAGCCACTGAATTATTTAAACCCTTACAAGCCTCTTTTAGAAATTCAGTTTGTGTGTGTGTGTGTGTGTGTGTGTGTGTGCGTGTGCGTGTGCGTGTGCGTGTGTGTGTGTGTGTGTGTGTGTGTGTGTGTGTGTGTGTGTGCATGTGCGGTGTGCGGTGTGTGTGTGTGTGGTCTCTCAACTCAGACAATCTATAAAGGTTGCTTCGAGTGAGAAGAACTACAGTCAACAGCCATGACAGTCCATGTAAAATCTGGGACCCGAGGTAATCACTACCAATCATTGCTGTAAACCTGACACACAACGAATAGGTACATATATGTAAATGTACATATGCATGTACAACATGAATACCGCATCAGCATATGATCCAAGCACCCGAGCCACACACGTTACCCACCTCAACAAAGGCGAAAACAAAAGCACCAGCACCACGCTTGAGCTGCTCCTGCAAGCGACCGAGCCGTCTGCTCAGATCTTGCCACTGATCGTGTAGGCCTAGATCAAATACACAACAACATGACCCCACGCGGATTTGCAAATTGCACCCATTACAAAAAGCAGTAGAGATAATATTGGCGTGAATGTGTGGATTAGCTCCAAGCTCTCTGATATACTATATCAGAGAGCTTAGAGCTAATTCACACACTCACACCAATACATGTAGCACATTTCAACTACCAAGTGGCCTGGGCTACAACTGTGGTTATGCTCTGCTAAAAGAACTCAAGCAGCCTACACATACTTGTAAGTTGCTAATGCTTTTGCTTTGGGTTCCACGAAATAAAGTAATAGTGTCGGTACTTTGTTTTCAGCATCCTTGTAGGCCGTACAGACTATGTAGCGCAGTCAATTAATTAGTCAAGCAGTCAGAGGTGCAGCAGTTAAAAAAAACATGTGTGGAATACTGTGCTAGCCAGCCAAGCTCAAGAACAAGTCCAGGTATTAATGGCACAACATTTCGTTTCAAAAAATTTCGTTTCCTATGCAATTATGATTTGAAGAAAGAATGATGGTGCAGCTATACGGATAATACCGCTATGTTGGATTGATAAGCAACGTCCAAATCACCTTCTCAATCCAAACTGCGATTGACCATAACTTACGTACGCACCCCAATCACATAGAAGATGCACAAAGGGCACGTTGTCACCTGTAGCAGGTTCTTGACATCAAGCCAGCCATTTAAAGATTGCTGAAAATTCTCCAGCTATACTACTTGAGCCATGGGCAAATAAAGCCAAAGAATGACAGCTTACCTTCGGCATTCTGTTTCGCTAGTGTTGCCTTGATGGTATGACCCATCAGTTGGAAAAGAATCTCCCAGTTCTCTTTCGAGAAGCTTTCCTGAACATCGGTGCAGAATAAAACAAACAAAACAAAAAAGTGAGAAGTGTTCACGTACAAGTTTCACAAATGCTGCCTTTATCAGAAAGAGAGTGGTGCAAATGTTCCCAGGGAGTGCCTCAACACTAACATCAGATAAAAATATGCACATGTAGTGTGATGGCATGGAGAAACTGCAGTTGTACGCCATGCACAATGATGCAACATGCACGACAGCCATACGGATCTATTTCCCACACATGGATACGATAGAGAGCTAAACATCTGCGCGACATAAAGCATAGAGGAGGTCAGAATGCGGCATACTAGTGTTGCAATATATGGCAAGGCTACAAGGTCTTATCTTCAAATACCACAACTTGAAGAATGAAGTGCTGTGTACCTGAACGTGACGCAGAAACTTAGCATTCTTTTTAACAGAGAAGGAGAGGCGAAACAATTGCTCAAAGTCTTGCTTGAATGGACGAATCAAGTGCTGAAGACTGACTGGCTTGAAGCTGTCAACACACATAAATACAGTGCAGTTACAGATAGCGGATCATAGTGGAGATTAGATGACGGACTTGCATCTAACAAAATGACCAATTTTCATTGCCCAAGTCTCATAGCAAGTACTTCCATACATACCGTATTATCTCTATTACAATCGCAGACTTTTGTAGATGTTCATTCTCTATTATCAGTGCACTCCAAGAGTGCTTCGAAGATATACAAGCACAGTCTCCAAAACAGCGAATCAAGACTGAATGGAGAAACATCCTTGCACTAACTCTGGTGGATCCTGACGGCAGCTTTTTTCACCACGCTGAAACATGCACCAAAAGCAGGCAGACGTCTTGCTCGAGCATGGGACAAAGAGTGTTATGATAATAGTATACCAGGCAGATATAACACTCAGATAACAATGCACACCAGCTTACCCTCCCAGAAGATCTGAGCTGTCTGTTTGCTGACTGAGGTTGATGACGACCAGCTCATGACCTGTACGAAAAACAATAACAATCAGGCACAGGTCAAGAGAAGAATTAAAAATCCGTTTTCGTGCAAAACTTTCGAAAATTACGGACGACCACTAACGTCAGTAACGATCTTGTTCTATGTACACATGTTGGCACAATCATATGAGAAAGATGTATACAAGTGATACAACTATAACTTACAGTGTGTAAGCATAGCACAACACTTTTACACAACAAAAGATGGAACAACTGCAGGCCGGAACTCACCAGAAAGCTCAGCCAAGTGCTGCACAGTGGACGTTTTTCCTGTGCCCGTTTCTCCCACCAGCAGAACAGGCTCGTTGTGTGTGACGCAGCCAGCGAGTTGTTCCAACAAAACAACAGTAGGGCGGGTGTACGCATGGTATCGCACGATGCCACTGCACAATAGCACATGTACAGGAGAACCCGGTGTTAAAGGCAGGCCAGCATTCCCTATCAGATATCAGTGACTTATCATTCAGCTCGTCAAACCATTGCAGATACATTCTTTCTAGTGCTCGTTGTAAAAGACAACATGCACACTGAGGACTGATGTTCGCATATACCACTCACCTGGTCAATGTGACTGGCTTCTGGATTTCATTCACGATCATCGTTGAGCGACCGACGTGAACGCATGTGGCTGCGGCCTGCACAGCCGGCGTGTGCGTCTTGCAATAGTACTGCACCTGAAGACAACAACACAGAGGAGCAAAAACAGATACGCATCACCACCTGCACATTAGCTGAACACCAAACTCCACTCGAAACAGAAGAGAATTTGGTGACAACCTTGGCCATCACGTAGATATCAGTTACTCCACAACTGAACAATGTACACTCGGCTGACTCATTCCACTTGCACATCACCACTGTAGCAAAGACAATTCCACGGAGATTTTGATATTGCCTGGCTCTCAATACAGCTGTTTCGCTCCAACAGAGCTTATCAATGGAGGTAGTAGATTATGAATGATTGAGGTGAATGATGTTATATAGGGCAAAACTGGTGCAATTATGCACTTTCTAAATGGAAGTGTGACAGGTCCTTGGAAATGTGGAAAGTGTCTCAACGCGAACAAAACAGTTCTGTCCGCAGATTAACCCTTTATTACCGGCCTGCAGACTTTCGATCATATATGATCGAAAGTCTGCAGGCCAGTAATATCTTCGTAACTCGATCATTTCTTGTGCGAATTCAACAATCGAAAGGTCTATTTGGTAGCGGAAACTCCAAGCTATCCAATGCAACAATCGCCGAAGAGTTACGATGTCGGACACCAGAGATATCGCGCGCCGTATTCTCACCTCGGCAAATTCAAATTTTTGATCGATCACTTCGCCATTTTTTTGGGAAAAACCCTTTTCGTGCGCTCTTTGAGCGACTAAGCACATGATAATGACGTAGTCAGCTGAAGTTTGAATCGTCTCAAAAACATTTGAGCGTTCTGCGATGACGGAGAGTGGAATGGCGTTGATGGGACAAATTTGCTTGCATATCAGGCTTGGAGACGACTTTGCTATGTTACCGCGCCTGATCTGTGGCGACTGGATAATGGAGCTTAGTACCCTGGTGTTGCTCTCGCCAAGAGCTTTCCAACGAGCCCTAGATTGTGAAAATCAAGTGAAGGAGACCAAAGTTATGACCTGGTGTAGTTGGAAATTGTGCTGAAATTCGTAATCCTGGTGCATGCTGTGAAAGTAATCCGGTAATAAAGGGTTAAGTATATATGAGCCGCGCCAAGCTAAAAAGTGGCTTCGTGTTTTGCCAACAAATCGAGAAAATCACCAAAACGTCACAGTTGGCAAAATTCTACTCGAGCGCGATCGCGAAAATATTCACTTCAGTCCAGTTTGCAAGCGGATGAAGAGAGAAGCCTTTTCTGTTTGAGCAACACTTCTTCAGTGTTCCCTCTCTCATCGTTGTGGGGATTCCTCAGCCCTGCCAGAGATCGTAATGGAGCTTCTAGAGACTGTGGAGGTGAGCAGGATGACATTCTCTATCCGTGTGAGCCAAAACCTACTTGACGAGGAAGAGTCGCTCATTCATAGTGGCTGTGTTTCTTATCGTGGCCACGACTAGAGTGGCGAGTGTAGCTATGGGGAGACGTCTACAAGCCTTCCGACTATCATTCTGACAGGCGGCCTGGTGAGTTGGCTCTTGCTGCGATGTTTCACTTTGTTTCGGCTACCTTCAATTTAGTGTTCATGACGTGGCGTACTGGATTCCAAAATTTCCTCGTTTCAAGGAAATAGTGCCACACGACGAAGCGATGCATTGACTCTACCTGCTAGCATATTGCTCCGTGGCGCCTTCTACCAGTATCCTTGGCAGGGAAGGAGAATGACATGGACTAGGACGGACAAAGAATCAGTGCCGCTTGTTAGCGATGTGCAGTCTCCTGGACCTATGCAGGTGCGAGGGCAGTACACCAATGGAGCTAGATCTCTGGCACAGCACTACGAGCTAAATGAAGGGATTAATTCATCCTGGCATAGGTGATTGGAGAGAGTATGACGGACTATCTTGGTAAGATACGACGTTCCCCAACGCAGCGAAACATCTAGTCACAACAACATCATGTTGAATGATATGAAAATTCGTATTGCGTAATAAAATGACATGAGTCATGATGAAAATTTAATGTAGATCTGTTATTTCTTCTTTCTTGGATCTTCTAATTAGAACACAAGTGCCCATTCTTCTTTTATTGTTTGCACACCTGCTAAGCTTTGTCTCTACTTTGTGTCCCATGTTTTCTTGGAGTTTGGGAAGGTCTTGGAATCCTTAGTGTCATTGATACCAGCCATTCTGTGACATGTGCACAATGTATGGCTCATATACATTTCAGATGGGCACCAAAATTTCCATGATGGAAGTTGGATATATAGACATCACTTTGGCATGAAAAAAGAAATTTCCCAAAATTATGCCTAAGCCACCTTTTAGCTTGGCTCGGCTCATATATTTTTTAACATACTGCTGGACCGTGAGTTTTTCGATAAGGCCAACGTTAAGGCCAACGTTTCCGGCCCCGAAGGCGTTCGCAATATCCGTCTTATCCAAGTTTTTACTGTTATACAGGTCACCCGTGGGAAAGAAGCAAAACCTGTGGGACCTCAGCAGTTTCAATTACAATAGTGACGGCCCGGTATGCTAACACCTAATCCACACCTACAAGACTCTTCTTTTCTTTTTCATTTCGTTCTCCCACCCTCACACACACATGCTCACAGTTAATTCTGCCGTCGTGAGTCCCATTCGGGACGGATACGAGAATAATAATAATACTTGGTCCGCGTCAGCAATATTGTCGCTTATCTTTCGACAATTTGAACTTAGACTCTGGACATCCAACGCGTGCACTTGAAGTGATAAAACTTGGTACGATGGAAGGTAAGGTATAGAATGACAACTAGCTATGAGGAATTTATTGTCCAAGGAAGGGTTCATACTTTTTTCGGTCCTCCTCGTCGCTGCTCTCGGCGCTGGTGACAAATATTTTTGCTCGGGATCGACTCTCTTGCTTTTGCAAGCTCATCTCTCTTCCTTTCCGCTGCCTGGCTATTATCTAAAGAGAAGTCGATCGTGATGGTTGCCTTCTCTATATGACTTCGCGTGGGCAGCATGACAGCCTGTGTGGTTCTAATCAGACGCCGTTCTTTGCAAGATTTTATTTTGAACGACGACGACGACGACGCCTACAGTACTTGCAAATCTCCTTGTCGCGCTGGATACTCCGGGCGTTGAGCTGGAGGTAAGGGAGCTGCGATCTCAGCTTGACGAGCGATCCCTGAGGTGAGCGATCTCGGCCACTCAGCAAAATGGAGCTGATTCCGAGTAGCCGATTTCTTTCTTGTGGCTTGCGCTGCTCTTGCCTGCACAGCGTAACAAGATCATCTATTTCGATGCAATCTAGCTAGACCTTTCAGGTACTAGTAAACTAACTTACTAACCAAAATTGGGATGAAATGGGCTGCCAAGTGAGCATTGGCGACATATAAACAAAGCTGAAAGATAAGCGACAATATCACTGACGCGGACCAAGTAATAATAATAATAATAATAATAATCCACACCTCTGGTTTTGTGATTCCGAGAAGAGTGGCAATGCGACCAGCGACTTCAGGATACACTTCTGGCGATGACACAGATGCACAGAAGCAATCCAAAGCCTACACAGCAGAACCAACACAGATACCAAAAAAAGAATCCAAAGTTCGTGAGTGAGTGCATGGGAAATAACAAGCAGAGTGCGGTATATGCCTAACACCCCGGGCTCACCATACAAAGGAAGTGGGCTCTCTGGCAAAGCTCCGGATGAATGGACTTTGACTCACCTCCTGAAACACTTCTTTACCAGCGGTTGCAATTGAAGGCACCTGATCAGCAAGTACATTCAGTCGAGAACACCACTTCATGAAATCTCTGAAATAACACAACACACGAAAAGACAACATCGTATCGACCACACACTCAGTGTCCATACAGTACAGCATACTTGAAGTAGATCAAAGTAGAATTTTGCATCAGACAGCAAAAGTTAAGAAACGCAACGCACCCCACTGTGTCCGCCAGCAAGATGCATGCTGTGTGGATAGTCTGTGCTACATCACAGCAGTACCAAGACTACATACATGTAGCCCCAAAAGTGTGCAATGGCCTGCACTTCCTCTATCTCGTACCATGATGGCAGAGTTTGACATCATACGACACGGTTCAATAGGCGAGACTGGCAAAACATTGCAAACTGATCACAGAGATCTGTACTCAAAGCAGAACCATGTGGCTATCGCGCAGAGGGTGCAGACAGTGTGCATGGGTGGGTCATGTGATGGGAAATGTTGCAATCGCACACTTCATAGACTGCAGTTGCACACTCTCGGGGGTTACGTATTCTTGATAGTGGCAAAAGCCTGGGGCACTCAACTCACCGCAGCGAGAACTGACGTCGATTGGCTAAAGCTCCACCAGATGTCACCAGAGCTGATAGTGACGATGTAGTGTTCATTTCCAGAAGTGAGTGGAAAACCTCAACAAGACGGCTGCTGATTACTTGGAGTGCTTCAAATGAAGCATCAACAACCTGCCATGCAAAAAGGTTACAGAAACAAAGACCAGAGAAACATAAAGTGAGGAGGAAATTTAAACCGAAATCAACATGAAACAATCACTTCATTTACTTGTCACCATTGTGAAATCCTCAGAGAGTAACAATACTATGGGTAGATGAGAGGTGATGGAGCAAAGAACGCAAGACAAACTGTGAGCAACAGATTCAAAGATGGCATACCGTCTTCAACTCCTCGGCGGACAAAGCTGCCACTTTCACAAGCGTGCACAGTTTCTCTATCAGACCTGTCCCGACAGTGGTGCCTGAGCTGATGCCACGGCACCTGGGCATTGTCATACAAAACAAACAACACATATAATAGAAGCAATTGACGCATTCACATTATCTCTAACAACAATCTCACAAGAAAACAGGCTAGGGTCACCCCAAAGCAATGAACAACCAACGTACCTTCGAGTGATGAACATCTGGAAGCCTGTGGCACATGTCAGGCTCTGCGAATGGCCTGGCAATGTCAGGGTACGGCTCTCCAGCAGCGGGAGCAGTAGTGAAATCTGTACGACACACATTCAAAACATCAGAAGGTGCACAACTTGCCCACAGATTTCAAAGATCTGCGTAAAAGCGGGCAATATCACACCATACAATAGCAACACGAAAGTGTTGACATTGGAAGTACTCTGGAAACAAAGTCTATCTAAACAAAGGCATTACACAAGAGGAGAACCAATTTAAGTGTGCTCGACACTGTGAGGTGGAGCTTGCCCGTACAACAGCATGCTTTCACATCTGTGTGGTGTGACTGCATTGGTTAAGATAGTGCAGATGGCATGCGGACAGTGGAGCCCACAAGGCTGATACCACGCGACTTATTGATGCACCGATTGATGTGTCTGGAGTTGGAATCAAAATGGCTGTCCTGTATGGTCCTGTGGTCCGTACAGTAATACTAGATACGCGACAACTCTATAAGGAGAGTACGCACATAAGGGGATAGACCTGGATGTCACTTTTATGACTGATAGGCTGGGTATGCTGCACTCAAAGTATGAGTGTATCCGGTGTGTGACAACAACTATTTACTTTGTGTTGGTGTCTGAAAATCCATGTGCAACTAAGAAAAGACCGTGTGCACAATTTCATTGTGATGTCAGCCATACACATTTTCTGAACAAAATGGATGCTTCCAAGAGACGTTTGGTGCTTTGTAGCAATCTAAAAACAGTGCAACGCCCATTGCGTCCCACGGGTTTGTGCACACATTGTATACACGTCACCATTGTGCACCCGCCCTGCCACCCGGCCTATACCTGCTCCTGCAACATAATCAATATGCCAATGACTTCGGACTGCCTCCAGTTCAATGTGTGCAATACATTACAAGTCAACTGGAAGCAACCTGTTTTACAACTAGCAAGATTATGATTACAGCCTATCTGCACTCGTCATTATAATAGCGGCATGTACTGCATCGCATACCACACTCATGGGAGCGGTGTCGATGTCCTCCAGGATGATCCAGGTACCTTCCTTCACCGCCTAGAGGGAGATAAAAGGCAATTTCAGCATAATGAAGAGACAAACAATCAACACAACACACAGAATGTCAGTTGTGGTCAACTATTTACTTTCTTTCGTGACTTTTATACCTCCTTGCAATGCACTAAAATTGACTTCCAAAGGCTCAATATTCATCTTCATTGAGTGTACGCTTAGAGAAATGCATGGAAAACCGGATCAGTGAAATCCACTAATGCATGCAACGATGGAAACGAACCAACGGCAGTGTTCTCTTTCACCAAGCCTCTCTACGTGATACGTACCTGTGTGAGCACGCCTGGTCTCCATACAAACTGTCCGGGCATATCCGTACAGCAGTAGCTACCAATGAGCATCTAGCAAAGGAATGACAGAAGGAGAGAAAAACCAGCTACAGTTACAGTTGATGTCGGTCCATTGCAAAATAACTAATATTAGGCATCGTGTTTGATCATGTCAACCTGCACTTAATTCACAAGTCGAGTGTGCATGCAGCTACCATAAGCTGTACACCTGGTCCAGCACAGATTGCCGTGTCTCTTCTTCTGCTACTACAATTTGTAGTGCAAGTGTTCCTGTTCTTGTGATGCTACCAGAATTGTTCTTGTTTTTCCTCAATCTCTTCCGTCCACCTGTAGACCATAGCTCATGCAAGACCAACATGATTGTCTTCCTGTTCTCTTTGAATCTCAGAGTGCTGCAACGACTATCCCAAAGAGGAGACCAGACAAGTGGAATTGCAACCACTACCACAAATTTGCTCAGCATGAAACAGGGTCACACTGCAGAGCTCCAGCAAAACAGAATGTTGCTACTCACCTTGCTGTCAGTCTGGTCACTAAGCTGCACACTGACCAAAGCCTTGCCATTGCCAGTGACTGCTGCCAGGTAGTCAACAAGAGATGTCTTGCCAACACCCACGGCACCCTCCAGGAGAACAGGCTCACTTTTGTTGACGGCACGTGCAATCTCGGACAGTGCATTACTTGTGGATGCCACTTGGACTAGATGATGAGAATGTAGCTAAATACAACAAGAGCACCATAGAAAAGCATGCATAAAAACTCTCAAATTACCACATCAAGCTACTTTTATAACACAACTCAAACCACTGTACCAAATTCCAGGAAAGAACTGGGACGAGAATTCACAATACCACCAATCAAAAAATATACCCACTGCTCCTTTCAAAATAATCTACTCTATAATTCAAGGCTAACGTTAGAATACTTCACAGCCAAACCCTCACCATATCTAAAGAAGAGCTCCGGCGACATAACAGCACATCTCCAACACAGACCGTTAAAGGATGCAGATCGGTGCGAGATACTTGTACTATGCATGGCGCTGGGCCAGAGCTACGTGGTTTCACGCAGGCTTGTTTGCGGAGTTCTCTCTCCTCTCGTTCCTGCTCAAACAGAGCTTGAACTCTGCAGCAACAGGAAAGAAAACCAAAATCTCCTTATCATTGTGATAGCAATCACTCCTGAGCCCACAAAATGGCCACCTTGCCTACAAGATAGCCACCCCACCAGGAAGGACCATTCAAATGAAACGAAACTAAAGTCCATCTGCATAATGGCACAACCCAACTCTCATGGCAGGTCATGCAGTGCATGGCATTCCGGGACGGAAGACAAAAAATATGGCTGTTGTTACAGCCAATTCTCTGAACGGTGATCGAACGATAGATCTTGCACACACTTTGAAATATGGGCGGCGGTAGATAGAGAACTTAGTTGATGAGTCAACTGGCACAGTCTCCTACCTGAATTTCGCATGCTCGTTAGGCAGGAATTTGCTCCGCATAACATCAACTCTGGCATCTGACAAGCCAAAGACGATGGAGCACACCGACAGCGTATACCTGAACATGTACAAAACCAGCAGATGCAACAAGATCCGGTACAACGTCACTAAAACTGTGAACGCTACACTACTAATCTGCATGCACACATACAACATAACAACCTGGCAGCCGCATACAGTACTGTAAAAGCCATTATTCTAACGAGGCGCATATATAACGATTTCCCAAAATTGACTAGTTTACGTGTACCAAAGGTAACGATTCTCACTCATTCTCAACGCTCAATAGGACAGTATATGTATCGATTTCTGTATAACAATTTCTATTTTAACGACAGATTTCTCCTCGTTAACTCGTTAGAGTTAGCACTTCGTTATATATATATGGCTTTTACAGTAAACTGCAAAACATCAGGCTTTCTTTTACCGGGTATCAGAACCTTGCAATCAGAAGGGCGCATAACCATAACGGGCACATAGCCATAACACACCCACACTCGTGTGGGACCATCTGGACATCAGTTCATTCAAAGGCTTAGCCCACACTCTATCCAGCTGGTGCCAGTAAAACATTGCTGTGGAGTCTCACAGTTACTCCCACCACTCAAGATTCATTCCACTGCTACCGGAGCATCTTCCAACACTTGCTGTTCTATTCATTTGTTCACTTGTTCAGTATCCAGTCAGCAGAGAACAGGCGGAAGATTACAAAAAATGAGCACACTCCCTCATTCACTCACCAAGAAATCATCGGATCATGATGGGTCATTGACGGCAAAAGCTTATGCCAATTCCACTTTCTGGCAAAGGTACTTTCTGCACATCGAAGGAACCTAAAATTTCAAATACAAATGACAAGAAGACAAGGACAAGATACCAGGCATTGGCCCTGATTGGGAAACAGACAGTGACCAAGACTTCCTACATCAGTAGCAGTAGCACAAACATGCACAACACACACGTCAGCTAACACTACGGTAAGCATAGTGTGCACAGCCCTACATGCATAACAACAGCCATACATGTACAGCCACACCTGTACAGCCGTGCATGCACAACCATACATGCACAACCATACATGCATAACCATAATGCACGACAATACATGCACAGCCGTGCATGCATAACCATACATGCACAGTACTTGAAGCCGGCCACAACAGCTCGAAATAGAGCTCTATACACTGTAAAACAGCGTGAAACTCAAGAGTTACAACTGAACGGTTTTCTACTCTTCGTCATGTGTTACGTTACACAGCCATAGATATACAAAGTTTACACACCACAGCCTACAAAAGACTGCCGAGAATATCTCCGGTTACCTGAGACAGGTGACAAGCACTGACTGCAGGTTGACATTTTCAAGGCAGTTGAATGGTGCCGGCGCATCTTCAAAGTACCTGAGCACAAAACTGAAATGGAGGCAGAAGAACAGGCTAAACGAATTAATACTGCCCTCTTTCACAGTCCGTCAGAAAAAGACAGAAACATCATGCCTCACGTCAAAGCAGAAGCAATGCATGGTGAGATGCTCCACCTACTCTGATTACACCCGTTTGGGGTAGTCGTGTATGATTGTGTGAAAGATGAAGTGGCTACAGTGGAGTCTACACACCCTGAGGAAAGTACTCCAATTGCATTCGAATATTACAGTAAAACCTGTAACTAAAGACTACCGTGACTAGCGACCAGCCTGGTACTACCGACCACTTTGCCAGAGACGGACAGTCTCACATTCAAAATGCACTGTGACTAGCGACTACCTGCCGAACACGACCAGCGACCGCCTTTTCTTGTCCCAAGGTCGATTTTTGACCCGTAACTAGCGACCGCGATGTAGGAAATCAAAGGTTGTTCGAAGCTCCTTCTTCGAAATTTTGATGATTTTCCATGGTCCTGAATGGACTCTTTCAATACTACAGCTGAACAAATGAATGCAGGCTCATTTTTACTGTGGGTTACACTGGACCTGTCATAGTTTGGAGTGCTGTCATGAGCAAACATGATAGGAAGCGTCTTGGAGAGGGCATCGAACCTGCTCTCTGATCGATGCTACTGCTCAAAGGAGAAATGGCACTGCGCAAGTGGTGGGGAATTGTATTAGCTTCATTTTGATCCATATAATTATGGTCGCGTGGTGCAAACCTCCAACTAAAGACCACCTGCCACTAAAGAGCACTTTTCCTGGCCCCAAGGGGTGGTCGTTAGCTACAGGCTTTACTGTATATGAAGGTAAACAATATCGTACTTGCTTCTCGACAAACTAAAAACATTGCCTTCATTGCCTTCTTGTTCTTCAAAAGTACATGTACAGTAAAACCTGTGACTACCGACCACCCATTGGTGCCAGCAAAAGCGGTCTTTAGTAGCAGGTGGTCTTTAGTTAGAGGTTTGCACTGCGTGACCATATACGAATCCCATTATATGATATGTATGTCAAAATGCAGCTAATACAATTCCCCAGGACTTACGCAATACCATTCTTACTTCAGGTCAAACAACACTTGGAGAGAAAGACGGAGAGGTGGAGAGAGACAGAGAGAGACAGAGAGAGAAGATTAATGTTTTGCAGACACCAAATTCACCTGCTACTTCTGAAGCTAGGAGTCAAACTTTCTCTGTGGAAGTTTCGTTTTGCGCTGGGCTTCGAATTTGTTCATGCGATCAATCGCACCGACTGCCCTATGTAAGTTGTTGTGACTTCTCGATTGCTTGAACGCGATCCTTCAGCGACAGAACCTTGCGGTGCTGCTTTGTTTCTGGATTCCTTGATGCCATGGTCGATTCGTCTGTAGCTGTATGACTGAGGTGAAAGAGCCGCTCAGTATTCGTTTCTACTCCGAGTAGTAACATCGATCAGAGAACGCTTCCGATGCGCTCTCCAAGACGTTTCCTATCATGTTTATTCTTGACAGCGCTTGAAATATTGACAGGTGTAGTGCAGTCCACGCCGACTCCACAGTCAAAATGACCTGTGTTCATTTGTTCAGCTGTAAGTAGTATCGATAGATTCCTTTTAGGACAACGGAAAATCAGCCAAACTTCAAGAAGGAGCTTCGAGCAACATTTGATTTCCTACATCGCGGTCGCTTGTTACGGGTCAAAAATCGTCTTTGGGACAAGAAAAGGGGGTCGCTGGTTGCGTTCAGCAGGTAGTCGCTAGTCACAGTGCATTTTGAATGTGAGACCGTCCGTGCCTGGCGAAGTGGTCGGTAGTACCAGGCTGGTCGCTAGTCACGGTGGTCTTTAGCTACAGGTTTTACTGTACATTCAAAAATATGCTCCGGCTAGAGTTTGAATGCATGACAACTTTTATCTAATCTACTAAAAATGAAAAGCACGACACAGTGCTGCCAAATAAGTTTCACCCCAAATGAGACAAAATCGGACACCTCTTCCAGACGCCCAATGAACCATGTGGTAAGGCAACACATAACGTATTCAACCTTACCACAATGCTGTTGCACATACACACAGTAAAATCTTTGGGCTCTCTGTCGAAATCAGAAAGGTTACTTTTCGAATCAATTTTTGGACAGAAAGTGAACTTTCGGACACTGTCTGATAAATCGGATATTATCTAGCACTGGTGATATCAACAGACTGACAGGTTGAAATATATATCAAAGTCGTACCCTAAAAGGTTGGGAGAGGCAACCAGAACCTTGGACAAAGCGCAGCAGATCCCAAGATGTTGCTGCGGGCTGATGTGTGTCCTTGACTTGCAATAGGACAGCAGTCGTCCACAAAGATCAGGAAGAATGGGACGACAGCACACACATATCGCCTCCACAGCTGTATCAGTTACAAGCAGCTCCACCAACTTGGCCTGGCATTCTGCAGTGCTAAGACTCTGTAGTGAGAACACAGATATGTTTGTGAATACAGAATGCTCTAAGCGTCCAGGGATTTAGGAGACAAACATTTAATTACACATAGCAACAAGGTGGCCAATTTCATCACTCAGTCAACTAAGGACACTTTCAGACAGCGTATACGGAGCAGCGCAATGACTGCTTCAGCGATATCACATTAGCGCAGTCGGTCGCGCCGTCATACACTGGAGGCTTTCTACGTCCCCGCAGTCAAAAATCAACGTTATGCGCATAAAAGCAGCACGCCAAGGCACCGGAACTCTTTACCTGAAGTGACAAAGTGATGTGACTACTGAACCAGAGCTGTATCTGTTATACTCAAACTGGCACCATTTCTCTCTCCCTCATACTTCTTCAATATGTACAATTAGAGATAGGTCCTTGATACTAGCCACAAGCGCTAAATCTCACTAAATGCCTTTCTATTTTAGTAGATATTGTATAGTTTGACTCGTTGGGCTTCATTCCTATGTATCCGCTGATGAGAAGGGGCCGAAAAGCTTTTGGAAAATGTTCTGAGTTGACTGAGAGTGATGAAAGTTGGATGGCAACCTGTACAAGTTACACTCGAAAATAGACCGGCCCAGCGGAACCGATCTGGTTGGTCTGGCCATGACCATGGCCGGACCAACTTTTTGTTTTGGCCACCAACATGTGCTTACTGCTGAGGAGGTCATGTGTGTACCCTCCATTTCATACACAAACTGTATGTAAGGCTTGGGTATGGCTGGACCAATCAAAAACTGCTTCCACCAGTCCTCATAGAGCTAGGCTAGAGGAGTGGTTTGAACTAGTAGAGTAGCTGTAGTGCTCACATATACATGTATGGAATGTCACTCATATGTATTCACGCGGCACCGTTTGTACTGCTATCCATTTACAGATGCCGCTTCCCACACCTGTACTGACAGTCGGTACGCACCGACACTGACGCATGCACGCGCAACATTACATTCTGTTGGCATTATGATACAGAGCTTTCCGGAGCTCCAAGCTAGTTGTTGTTTGGCATAAAGCAAGAGAGCAACATTACAGTAGCCAGGTCTGCAATCGTGGCTTGAAGACTGACTTACACTGCTGCTTGGAGTTTAGAACTGAACCCAGACTCCAGATATCAATGAACTTTTCATCGGCTTGTTCTTTTCAGGGGTTTTTTCACAACATTCACAAATACACTCATATCTCGGTTATCCGGACCCGAAATCACGGGCACTTCGGTCTACCGGGCACCTTTTGGGTCAGTTTTAGTGGAAATACTACTACAGTCCATTCATAAAAAAATGGGCCCTGGCTTTGGCGAGCTCCCGTATTTGGCGATTTTTCGTGATTTCATCGTACACAGTGCAGTGCTGCGAACTTTGAAATTTGAAAGAGGGTCCAAAAAGGTACCTGAACTGGGGTTCGAACCGCACAACGCACTGTTGCAGGCGGGGTCAAACGGCCTGGATTTTGATGGTTTTTCCCGATTCAGTGCTTTTGGGGGAAACCTGGCCGAAATCCTATTCTTGCTATGGCTTACTTTTTGGACAAAAAAACTTCAGAAACATAATTGGAAGAGGATTCCCTAGGGGATGGCAGAAAAAAATTCTAAAAAAACTCAAAGTTTGACCCGCTTATGGCCAAAAGCTAGAAGTCCATCTTTTTCTGAATGGACTGTAGTCTTTTGTACTTTTTGTGGAAATAGTGACGGCATATGCCATTTTATGGCCTTTCCCAATCGAAATATATGAGCCGTCAGATGCATAAAGGGACCATTTGACAATTTTTGGGCAAATTGAGTTATGATATGTACAAGAATCTAGAAGGGTTGTAGATTCACATGCAAAAAACCGTTTCAAAAAATATCGCTTCGTTGGAAAATTATGCAAACCAAAAAGCGATCGGCGAGAAAGATTTGTTTGCATTTGCGTGATGGGAACACTGCCGCGGAATTTGGCCGTTCTCAGCCCCAACTCAGCCGATTTGGACAGTTGAACGACCAGAATTATCGTCATGACACCAGCTTCCAGACTACGGCGGTCCCAATGCCGGCTCAGTTCCTGGGGAGACACAATTCAACGTAAATCGCAAACGCATCGTTTTGACAGTTCAAAATGTTGAAAACGAACCACTTGACTTTGAACACGTTTTTCTCCGTTTCAAGTGGACCTGCAAATGGTCCCTTTAGGCATCTGACGGCTCATATGTGATTCGGATTTACGGGCAGTGCCCGTTCCCTGACCCGTTCCCTGACCGCCCGGATAAACGAGGTATGAGTGTAGTGTGAAAACGAATAGGACACTGCTGCTGGTACATGCATCGATGTCACCGCAGCCATTGTTGATATTATTCAGTGCCCTAGATCATACGAGGTGCCGGTACATCAGTCAGTACTTTCAAATTGCAGGCCAGATTTATCAACATGATTTTCGGAACTATTACATGCACAGCACTGTTCAGTGTTATTTCCACGTGCATGCCTATTTAGGGTGCGTTCTTATATTCTCTAGCTTCTAGAAGAAGAAGAAAAGAGAAGTCGAAGAAACTGGGATCGGAGATATTTTGCATATGTCAAGCAAAATGAAGCGCCAATGGGGCCGCGATCTTGAGTGATGAATGTAGTATGCACGTGTGCGTATGCGAAAAGGGAAATGCGTACACTCATGATGAACACGTTGCTTTTAGTCGTAGTTCGCATGCGCTGATCCCAAACCGCGGGAATCTCCAAGTTTCAACCACCTCTGAAGCTTGGAGAGCTTGGAGAGCTTTGGAGAGCCACCTAAAAGTCGGAGAGGATATAAGAACAGCTCTCGAACTTTTCGGAGAGTCTCCAACTTTTCCGAGAGGACTTAAGAACGCACCCTTAGTCACTGCCTTGCATGCAGTCTTTATCATTATCAACATGATTTTTGGAATTATTACATGCACAGCACTGTTCAGTGTTATTTCCACGTGCATGACTATTTAGTCACTGCCTTGCATGCAGTCTTTACCCTCGTCACACGGAGTGTATCTTTTTTGGAAACTATTCTTTTATCACACAGCTCAACATCATTCTAATCATTATCCCCTTACTTGAATCTATCCGGCACAAGCGAACCTGTGGGTGGACCTAATGGATCCACCGACTTGAACGCGGTAGTGCTGAATAATAATAATTAGGGCTGAGTCGGGTAGCATTTTCTTCGGGTATCGGGTCAGGGTAGTTTCCACGGGTAGCACGGGTACCCGATCGGGTAATGTTTCCATGGTAACACCACAATGCATCCCTTCCCACTGGGTAGATATGCGGAGTATTGCATGCACTGTACATGATGTCATCTGCGATTTCGGGTTTTCGGGTACTATTCTGTACCCGTCTACCCGAGGTCCTCGCGGGTAGCACAGGTACCCGACTACCCGTGCACACCGCTAATAATAATAAATAATATTTTTTTCAAGTACACCCAATCAATATTGTAAATGCACGGTAACAGACATGTACGTTTGCATGATTGGCAGTAGCAGTCACTCACGGTCATAACAAGCCCTGATTACATTTGAATCTGTTGAGTTCTTTGTCCATTGTTGTTCTCACATTTTGCTGATTGTAAGAAAAACTGTGTGTCGAATAAATTCACGTATTAGCAAGGCAAGTTTCAAACAAGGTTCCACTCTTTGACCTTGACTTCATACTAAACATAACCTGAATGAATTACTTAAAAATCTCAATAATTATGTCTCACCTGCCAATCCGCCAAGGATATCAACGAAGACAAGTCTAGGGTGAAGCAAGGATCACCTTCATCCTCTTCCTCCATCGCCTACAGTCACCAAGACTGCTGTGCTCCGACTGAACAGCGATGGCGAGTAAGGTAGATGAAAACAATAAATTAGCAACATGTGTTTGCAACAACAGTCCACATGCAGTAGAGTTTGTCGCTTTGAACCAGATTGTGTTGTGGCGTTCGATCCATGTGCTTTATCACATGATCCGTCGTTTCGATTTTTCAGACTCGCACTTGTAGCATTTTGACGCCATTTTATCCATGGCGACAAGCTACCATATCAACCTGTAGCTAGCTGTGTACATAATGAACTCTTGTTTTCATCCATGTCGCATTTCAAAATTTCAACGTGGAAAACGTCGACAAAGCGCGTTCAGTAGATTCTACAGAGCAAGCTAGGGTTACCAGGCCAGGGTATTTGATTGACTGTACCGATTATTTTGTATCTTTGTCTTTTGTACTTGTAGTTGTAGTATTAAACTGTTGCAGTTTTGAATCTGTTGTGGTTGTGGAGGTTATTTTCTCCTGTGTCCAATATCTTGATAACACATCAAGTGAGCGCGGTTTGTTACAAACTTGTGCTAGATCGCGGACGCGAACGGCTTTGAGAAGTGGACTTGGTCACAAGCTACAGGAGGCGAATCTGGAGGATTTCTCAGTCAAACATGGATCAAATTCCTGATTGTTGGATCAGTCGCAATCTCTCTGAGAAGACCAGACAAAAAGCAGAAGCGGAGCTGAACGAGTCAGACGAACGGAAAGCTCAGGCTATCACTGAATTGCGCCAGAAAATTGGAGAGTACTCCACTGAGAATCCGACATTAAAGTTACCCCAGTCTGATGATGATGCCTTTCTGGTTCGATTTCTCAGGGCGAGGAAGTATGATGTAGACAGAGCCTTAAAATTGATTGTTAGTTATGCAACGTTTAGAGCTACGCATACGGAGCTGTTTGAGGGTGTCACTCTAGAAAAGATACGTCCAATCCTGGAGCACAAGCTGCCATTTGTCCTGCGTGAGCGAGATGAGGAGGGCCGAAGAGTTCTGTTATTCCAACCAGCCAGAATGGATCCCAACCTTTTCAATCCTATGGACGTGCAAACTGCGTTCGTGTACGTGCTTGATGGGCTCATCCAGGATGAAGAGACCCAGGTCAATGGCTTCATCATGGTCGAAGACTATACTGACATGACGATGATGAAGATGATGATGTTTGATCAGAAGCTGATTAAGCAAATGGCTGACCTCGTCCAGGAAGCCTTTCCAGCTCGTTTCAAGGGATTTCACATGGTCAATCAGCCATGGTTTTTCAGCATTGCTTGGAAAATCGCCAAGCCATTCCTGAAAGAGAAGATGAGAAGCAGGGTAAGATGAAATACTTAGTATCTGCTAGGGTTGAGTTGGGTAACATTTTTTGGGGGGTATTGGGTTTGGGTAGTTTTCCACGGGTAGCACCAAGAATACATGAAAACCACCAGAGTGTGCAGCTAGGGGCTCTTTCTACCATGGGTGTCTGTCACGGCGGAATTCCGTGATTACATCATATTTGGCGCAGATCTGAGGCGGGAAATGGCGTAGTGCGTACAACTGAGCTGCAGTTGTGCAGCAAGAGACCTACTTGAATCCTGCGTGTACGCACTACGTCACTAAAATGATGTAATCACGGAATTCCGCCGTGACAGCAACCCATCCCAGCTGCACACTCTGGTTTCATATACTGTATAGAAATATTCGTCTGGAATTTAATTTCGTCTTTTTCGTCCAAGGAGCTTTTGGACTAAATTTAGGGTTCACGGCTTGCCACTAAAAGCACCCGTCACGTGCGCCTCCATTTTGGATTATGGACACGCGCTACAGGCCGCGACAGGGCCTATCGAAGTAAAAAAATATCGACTCGAAGTCTAGCCGGAGAGCGTACTTTTTGAATTTTTCCTTGGCTTCAGTGGCTTCACTTCACTCGGGCTTTGCATTTTTCTGACTGACCTGGACTTGATGATGGCGGCGGTGGCGGTCTTGGCGAAAGATCCAGCTCCATCTGAGACACTCTGTCGTCTTTTCTTATCTGCTGAGGTTCTGGCAAAGCGCAGCTGCATCGAACCTGACTAGATGTAGCTGCACGCATCCTTTGTTTGCCCTGCAAATCTCGATCTGTTGCTCTTCTTGCTGTTTGGCCGCTGATGCCATGGAAGAAAATATTCTTCCTGTAAAGAGGCCGAAACTGAGCTAGGGCACGTCAAGATATCTAGGGTATACAAAGAAAAAGAAATGTCATGGTCGTTTCAGCAGCTCACGACAGCCAACACGCTCCATCGTCGGGATTGGAAGTATCCAGCACGGCTGTTCCGAGCGCTGCTGCTCTTGTTATTCTTCTTCTTCAGAAATTCTCCACGCCTTGTCGGCCAAAGTACGCGCGCGCGTGCACGGAAAATAGATGCGCTGAGCCGTTTCTTGTTCGATTTTGACAAATAATGGCTTGTTGTTTTGCTCTCGACCTTGGCTATCCTTCTACCGTTCAGTATTTTACGGAAACGCAACGGCTCCCCCTGTTTTTTTAGCCGAACTTTGGCCAAAGTTACTGGAAAACCCGGAACTCGTTTGAAAAAATACGAACGGTGGAAGTCTTGGAACGTCTTTCGTGCGTGTGGATTCAAAAATTCAGGCAGTTTGAGCCAACCGTAATGAATCCCGTAGAGTTGAAAGTGAGTGATATTGATGGGAAAATGCGATTTGAGCACTGACCGATTGTGTGGGACAGTATATGCACGCGCCTGTCACGTGCATGATGTAGCTGGCGACGCTAGCATGCCAATCCGTGAACCCTAAAATTAAATGTAGGACGAATATCGATTTGTCCAGCTTTTCTATACACTCTTATGATCCATGGACGAAATTTTCAACCGGACGAACTCCTTTTCTTTGGAGTTGGACGAAATTTTTGACCGACGAAATTTTCTGCCTCTACAGTACTCTTGGTAGCACGAGTACCCGATCGGGTAATGTTTCCATGGTAACACCACTATGCACCCCTTCCCTTACACACTGGCTAGACATGCGGAGTATTACATGAATTTGTACACGTGCACTGTACATGATGTTATCTGCGACTTCGGGTTTTTCGGGTGCAATTCTGTACCCGTCTACCTGAGGCCCTCACGGGTACCCGACTACCCGTGCACACCACTAGTATCTGCATGCAAAATAATTACTGCGCTCTGCCCATCCCCGGCCCAGGCATTGGGCACTCTAGCGGGTTAAGGCGCACTGCCTCTGTGTATTATGATCAGTCACCACCGCTACATGGAAAATTGACACAAAAAAATGGCTGCGCATTGAGTAGTTTTAGCAATCACCTTGTCTGCACAGTAGTGCTGAAACGAATGTCAAAACCTAGTAGCCGAATATTCTTTGGCTTAAAGGGGAAGTCCGGTGAAAAATTTAAATTTCAGGGTCGGTAGAGTTTCGGCCGCTGAGTCGAATGGTGTTGGTCCCACGTGTCTCCGACAAAGCGTTCTCGAGATATTTCCGTTTGAAAAACTGAGTTTCGTGGGCTGCGCCATGACGTCATGCGGCCTCGCCACACCCTCCGCAACGTCATAGCGTGCAGCTAGGTCAAAAGGAGTGCGTGAAAGCAATAGTGTCAGTGCTATTTCAAATGATTTGGCGACCCATAGTAGGTGTTGCAAGCGACTCCGAAGACGTAACTCCTTGTGAGAGTGAGGATGCAGCCATGGCTGACCTTCATGAGTTCGGTCTGGGGCTGAGAACCTCGGTATTCAGCTGAAGAAATGGCCGCGCGGGCCGGTCAAGAGTGAGCGCTACTGAGTTTCCGACTGATGAAGAAGCAGCAGCTATTGCAGACGAGGCGGATATAGTTATCAGATCGCTGGAGAGCAGAGTCGCCAAAATGGAGAAGAGTGATGCGAGTGCTCTAAGACTAAATGTTGTTCCATATCGATTCGCTTAGACTCCAGTAACCTGCCACATGGTGATGTTTTGGTGCGAACTTGGCATATTTCGGACACTCAATTGGAGAACAGTGCAGGTTCTTTGAACCACGGGCACGACTCTTCGCTCGCAACGCTACGGGATCTGAAAGTTCTAGGTCCGGGAGCTGTTCGCTGTTTTGTCACTTGTCACGGTTGTGCACTCATCGCTGTAGCATAAAAACTAATAATCAGGCGGGAGCGGAAAACTAAAATTTTCTTTCTCAAAGCACAACCACCGGTGCACCGGCACCGGCAAGGAGAAACGCTCGTTCTCTGACTACATGACTGAACAATACGACTGATACGAGTGTAGACTGTAGTACATGACAAGTCCGTGTGTTGATTAGGCCTGGGCGGATAATGCTAGCATTATAAGTAGCATTATAGCGTGCGATTTGCAACGGGCATTATGCTAGCATTATAACACTACATTTCCGCAAAAGTGGCATTATAGTTATACTCAAAATGGCCCGTACTTCTGCGAAAACCAGGCTTATAGTTATACTTACATGTATAGGATGAAAATCATTTTTTTGAGAAAAATGATGTTTTGTAAAAAGGTTGTGTCGCGTGGACACTCGAGTGCAGTGAAGTGGAACCAGTACAAAGAGAATCTCGCTTGTTTGAAGAAGTAGCAGTCATGGCAGGAAGGGTTTCAGCAGTCAGGGAAGTCAAAGGGCTTCCGGTAGAATATTCCCGGATCCCTGCTACTCCTCTACTCTATAAATAAAAAATTGTAGTCACAATGAAGAGTTTTTGAGCTGATGGACCGGATTCCATCTCCTACACTCAGGGATGGCGGAATTTCTGCGCTAGCTGCTGCGTGCGGAAAATGCTGAAGAAATCGTCTCCAGTTAGAGTCGTGATGGCGATAGCGAGGAGAACCTGGACGACATCGATCCAGCCAATCGAAGTACGGAGATACTAGCTGTTTCTGGGCCTCACACAAAGGGAACATGCGCGGCAGAGCTCATACGTTTGCAGCAAGTTCACCAGGAAAAGGCTTTAAGGCACAGTGTGAAAACTGTTTTGAATTGAAGTCCTTGGCGATGAAGTGCTACTGAATGCCAGGCAAATGAGCGAGCAGATCGAGAGGCCTCCACTCGAGACTTTCCTCGCTGGACAGCTAGCTGCAAGGGATTGTATGGAGCAATAGCAGCATAACATTAGCATTATGATCATGATTTTCTAGCATTTTCCATGCCGCCTACGCAGAACTACGAAACGTGCACGATACTGCCCAAACCAAGCCATTTTTCCATACTTACTACTGGTGAATTGCTGGCATTACAGAGGAACAGCAGCATTACAAGTAGCATTATGATACAGTTTTTCTGGCATTGCCATTGGCATTATCCCGCAAAATAACTAGCATTATCCGCCCAGGCCTAGTGTTGATTAGTTTTCTGAGTCTTGTGTCAGTTGTGACTCGAGTCTTGTTGTACCCACCCCAGCACGGCAGTGCGGGAGTAGTTCCGTGTGTGATGAGTTTGTTGACTACACAGCTAGCATGCACGCAGCGCATTGCTAGAGCCGTAGAGGCCAGTGCATGTCGACGGAAAAAGTCCAACTCGGAAACGGCTAAAATACGGTATAACCTCGAGGTTTACCGAGCTGAAAATCACAGGGTACGTAGTGTTTGTAACACTGAATCGGATGGCCTTGATCCGAAGAAGCTGCGACAAACGGTTCCCCAATCGAACGCGCTCCGAATATGGCCGTTTTGTACACGTCTAGATGGTGTGGCTACCTGGCTGCACGCTGTGACGTCATCACCTGGATCTGGGTGAGGCGCGCTCAAATCCGCACATGTTCGATTGGGCGTATCTGACGAACCATAGGCCGCAGCCTCCTCGGACAAAGACCATTCGACTCAGCGCCCCGAACTCTACGGACTGTGAAATTTAAATTTTTCACCGGACTTCCCCTTTAACGAACGAACGTACAAATATTCTTTTGGTAACACAGATGACATCACATGCCCTCCTCTCAGTCATTTGATGGATATTGCCATTACTATTAGGTGTAACAAACGGTAGTGCCACATAAAATGCACCACCACATAAGGCTACTTCGAAGTTCATACATGTTATGTGCATTATTGGCAGTCCAGTATGCACATACCGTATTTCCTTGAACGCCCGCCGCCCCTTGATTACCAGCCGCCCTTGAATAAGCGCCGCCAGTTTCTTTGGACTGAGGGTTATTTGTACACAAGTGCAGAGCAGTTCACAATTTATACGCAATTTCACAGCTACGAGATGACCTTCAGCTACGATTTCTTACTCCTTCACATGCAGCTAGTGCTGCTCTCGGTTCGGACAAAGGACTCAAAGGCGATCTAAAGAACAAATCGAACACGCCATGATGATGACCTCTCACAACGTAACGAAGAGCAAGACGAGATATTTTATCGACCACCAAAAACGAAAATAGTACGCGAACAAAGTAAACGGATGAAACCTAAGACGCACTGAAGATTGTCAAATCTACAAAACCAAGAACTCAGATCGGAGATCTTGTCTAGGAGAAAGTGGACACTGACGCTGTGAAAGGAACGAACGCAGAAACTGAAATCAAACGGGAGAGAACAAAACTTGCGGCGTCCTTTTATATTATTGTATCCAAAATTTTCAGCGTTGACGTCTTCTTGACCGTACTCTACTTCATCCTCATCGCCATGAGGGACTACTGCTGCTGATGAACATGCAACTAATTTGCTAGTCGAGCCTCGAGCTCCTTCGCCATGATATTCTTTCCAGTGCAACAGGAAAAGAAAAGAAGATGCACTAGCCTACAGTGTAGCTGAACAACAAAGGTTCAACAGTGCACATCGTACGTGAACTCTACGCATACAGCACGTGCATTGCGACGTACAAATATTTTTCAGGGCCGCACCCATTTTGCTCGTTTTGAATACAGGCCACGGCGGCTGTTCAAGGAAATACGGTACACATGCAAACATGCAGTACAAAGTCAAAGGCAGGCTATGCACTGTCTGTACTGTGTTTGGGGTGCATGTATGTACATGCACTGCGTTTGAAGTGACGTTAGAATACTCAAATGCGACTTAAAGAATATTCCAATGTGACCAACTGAACGAATGTTCGAATATTCGAATATTCGTTTCACCACTACTGCACAGCCTCTTTTTCTTGGCCAGCCGATGTGTGTTTACAGCAAAGGCTACAGCGCATCAGTAGGGAGGTTCGCTGACTCGTTTATTTCATGCGAAACGAGTCAATGGACCGTGGGTTTGGTCTGGGTTAGAGTCTCGTGAAGACCTCGTAGATTGGATTCGTTTACACGAGTCTGGGCTGTTTGATTCGTAAGGAGCTCCGAGATCACACACTGCTCCAATATGGATACACCATGTCAAAACGAGACGTATGATCTGCAGTACCCGTGTATTTGTACCCGTAGTGCTGTTGCTGTTTCTGTTGCCGTCGTGTCGCCACCATAGCAACCAATGCGCTCCTTTGCTCACGGGTCACCGAACTTTTTTTACACACTGGACAATTCGAACCCCAAACGAAATCGATTTTGTTTCGTGTACGAGTTCGCAACGAGTCACCGAATCTCCCCAATTTACGTGGACATCGTGATGCGTCCATTCGTGATGCGTCAATTTTAGAAGCCGCAGCCCAGACCGGAATTTCGCATTTCCAAAGCCTATCTTTTTTCTGAATGGGCAGCACATACTTTTACAGGAAATTGCAATGTACTTCGATGTAGAGCGGCTCTCCCTTACCTGTGCATTTGTGTGGTGGACTATGCCACTACATTTCAAACCTTGGTCGTTTGATGATTTATAGCTTTTAAGACTCAATAGTTTTCCAGCTCAATGTCGATTCAGCTAAGACTACCCACTGTGCGCTTTACCTTTGCTTTCAGATTCATATGCACGGTACAGACATGAATAGTCTGCATGAAGCACTGGGCAAGGAAGGTCTCCCTGCCGAGGTGGGAGGTGAACGACCTGCTTACGACCCGGCAGAGCTTATTGAGTTTCTGCGTTTGGCGAATGTTCAAAGGCCGCCAGCAAAACCTGAGTCCTCCAGCGTATAGCTTGTCATATGTCGTCGGAACATGTCCAATTTTTAGGTCAGTCAGCAATATTGACTACATCCCATTAGTCTCCACAGTCAAAGACCTGCAAACCTTGCAAACATGTTTTTCTGGTTGATCGTACTTTCAGAAGAGTACGTCAACAATATGTTGTCTTTGTGCATTTGTGGATTCCCTCTACCGGATTGATGTATATATATATTGTGTCAACCATCTTGAAAATATGACTACGAACGTTCCAATGGTGTAACTAACTGAAGCTGATTTTTAAATGAATTTGACGAAACTAGAGTAGTGTTATTTTCTATACCCAAAGTGGTATATTACTATATTGTGCTGTGAAGAGTTAGGGTTAACAGTGCCTGTCAATTTACATGACAGTTTTCCGTATTCCGCAATTAAGTACGGTGATTCAGACAGTGCTTTCTTTCTTTCGGCAGCCTTTGAACAAACTTGGTTATGACAGCCGCATTTTTAACCGGCTCGTTTTGCAGGTGACTAGAAATTAATAATGTTTACACATTCCTCTATGAAGTTTAGCTCAGTATGGAAAATATCTGTAATCTTCTTTTTATACTTCATTTGAGCTGCATCCATAGTCTGCTTGGTGGAGAACTTTCGCGACCCATGATCTTGGCATTGCGGGATGACTCGAATAAAGCTTTGACCGCCTTCGCCCTCGTCCATGTGCTCAGTCAGTTCGTGTATTGCCAATAATTGGTAACAAGCTCCTGGTTCATTCGGAGTTTTATCAAGAGCACATAGCCCCCAAGAGTGTGCAACTCCCACGCACAGTGCTGTCCCGGCAGAATTGACAACATTTTTTTGATGCAAAGTGCATTGCATTGCAAAAATGGCGTCGCCTTGAAATTCAGGCAGGACAGCACCCATAATGATGGCGATATTACTCTTGCATGAATATCACGCAGGAGTCCATAGTCACAACCCTGGTGATACGCCGAGACCCAACAAATTCATCTTGTCAGTGAGACCAGAAAAGATTTCGGTATTGTTGCTACGCTTCAACAAAGTGCTGGGGCAACAACACTCAACACTACATGTACTACAGTGGAGATTGGATATAACGACACTCCTTCGGGAGAAAACAAAATGTCGCTATATTCGATCTGTCACTAAACCCGATTTTCACATTTAGCGTGCAATATGTACAGTCAACTTTGCGTATAACGACACTCGGCTGGGCATCAGAAAAGTGTCCATATTCGCGAAGTGTCCTTATACCCGAAGTCTCATTATAATTATGTAAAAAGTAAAAAGGACCGAGGAACTACAAGTTATACTGTAATGTCCACTAATACCACCAGTTACTAAACAATCAGCTCATGCAGTATCGTCATCGACATGCATGAACATCCGCCAACGGCCTTCACAGCTGATACTTTCAGCTCGTGTTTATCTTGGTTGCGCTCACCTTCCCCTCCTTATGTTATTTCTATAACTTTGAACCTTCAAGTTGGAAGGCTGTTGGAGTGCGCATCCAAGATGTGCTAGAGCTGTTAGCCAGTTAGTTGTAGAATGTCAGTACCGTCGGTCAGTGTCGTGCAATGTTATCGCATGAGCTGATTGTTTAGTAACTGGTGGTGTTAGTGGACATTATAGTGTAACTAACTTGTAGTTCCTTGGTCCTTTTTTACTTTTTATAAATAATCCTTGGCTCTCCATCCGAGTTCATTCTCATTATATGTATTATAGTTAGATGGGATTTTGCTCTGGGCATTGGAATTCTGTCGTTATTCGCGAATTGTCGTTATACCCGCAGTCGTTATTAGCAAATTTGACTACCGTATATCAAAATGACAGAAGTGTATTGCAGATATGCATGTGCATAATATAATGCATATGGATTCCAGAGGTGTATGTGCATGTGTCTTGCATGCGTAGTTCAAGCCAAAAGTCATGCATAGCAACTACACCGCTTCACTGCGGCTACAATGTGCAATGACCAGCACACGTGGAGTGACCCAGAGAGGTCTGGGCATGTGACACAGACATGTCCCATCAAGAGTACATAACCCCCCGGGGGTTACTCTTGGTCCCATCATGCGACTCTGCCTGATACAAGAGGAAAGTCGTTATAATTATTCGATGCATTTTCAGGTCTTCGGGCACCAACAAAGTGTCAGTAAATTCGATCTGTCGTTATTTTCGAGGGCGTTATACCCAATCTATAATCTGTCCCCGGGGAAAATCGCGATTCCGCGGCCGCATTTTTTCCGCGTTTTTTTTTTGCGATTTTTGAAAGACCGCGTTTTCCGCGATCTAAGCCGATTTTCCCCGTGTTTTTTGAACTTTTTGTTGCGCTACACGTACACACAGTGCACTGTTCGGTTGACCGTTGTGAGCCGTTGACGTCATAAACTGGTCAAGTAGAGAGTCTACGTGTAGGGCGCGTGCTCCCTAGCATACACATGGCACATGACGGGCTCCCCGGTCACTGTGGTGGCGCTGAAAGCACCCTCATCTGCGTTTGACTGCAAACTTGCCGCATATCAATAATATTCACCGCATATTTACCGCAAATTCACCTTCACCGCAAAATGCGCCATATTTACCCGCCAATTGCACCGCAAATTCTGGGATTTTTTTCCGCGATTTTCCCCAGGGACAGTATAATGTACAGAAAGGACTTGCTAAACGACTTCGGCAACAGAAATTACCCCCCCCCCCCTGTTATGCTACCTATTCAATATCGCCAAGAGTACATGGTTATGACTGTACTCTTGATATCGCACATGTGGAGAATCCCTGGATAGGCTACCCGCCTCTGGGTCATCCCTCAAATAAAGAATAACTCGATTTATCGTTATATCCGATCTCCACTGTACTAGGAGTCTTTGAGTGAGGAAAGTTGTAGATCTGTCGGTATGATTGTGTAGACTCATCCGAGGTGAAATTTTTAAATCTACAGAACCCATGCACATTGTACTAGCATGAGCGGCAACTTTCATAAAATTCGGAGACCTCAACCGACTCAAGCACCAGGTACCAGGGAGTCCTAAAACCCTGATGTTGATGGACCTGTGTTTAGAAACACCGCCAATAGAACTTGCAGGAAATTTTGCTAATCACGGCCAGGTACCTGCTGGGAGCGAGGTGTTTTTGCCATTGGACATATTCATTCACATGCAAGACATTGCAAATCCGAACCAATTCCATCACGTTGATGTTGTTATTCAATGCTGGTACAGTAGAGATCGGATATAACGACCTTGAATATAACGATAGATTGAGTTTAGCGACACAATTCTGTTGCCCAAGTCGCATAGCAAGTCCTCTGTGAAGATCGGGTTTAGTGACAGATCGAATATAGTGACATTTTGTTCTCTCCCGAAGGAGTGTCGTTATATCCAATCTCCACTGTAACTGGTTTTGATTTGCAGTGTCCTGGGAATGGTGTGTCCACCAAGGAGGACAGCCGAAAAAGCCTCAGAACTTCTCCTAACAGAATTTGATTGCATAACACCTTGAGAACTTGAGATTTAAATTAACATATTTGCATTTCGCGTCATCAAGTTGTCAATCAAATGATTGATGATTTCGCTTATGCTGAGTTTTAAATAAAAATTAAAAATAGGAGTTGAAGAGATTGGAGCAATCAGGCTAAATTTCAGTGGAATTAACCGAATTGGCACTTGTGACAAGACAGAGGTCAAGATCCGAGAGACACAGACTAAGAAGGGACGTTCTGGCTGGAAAAAGGTATTGTGAAAAGTACTAAAACCCAACCTGGTAAACAATCCACAATAATAAAGCTGCACCCTTTCTGTTAGGTGCACCAGCATGGATTGTACAGAGTCAGGAAGATCACACATATGGCAATGTAGATTCCAATTTTGCAATCATGCCAACTGAACAGCTAGCCATTAAAATAGCCAGCTCCGGTTGATGGTGGCAAGCGGCATCCAATATTGCCAGTCCCGATCACTACTGTAAACTACTTCGAAGTAATTATTGGAGTCTGCACAGCACATGGATCCTGTGTGATCAACGCTGCTGTGAAAAAAAGCAGAGAACATTCTTTGTGCCACTGCTCTGCTCGGCACTATTGGACTGGATCCATACATCAGACACATGTGTTGGGCCAAAGCGCTCCAAAATACCACTAAGGTACTTCTTGGCACAACTACTTTCCTCGGCCGAAGGGAGTCTCCCTCCTAACACCGAGCACGTTGCTTGCGCATTGGAGTAGGTTGCATTACTGTTGTCCAGGAGTAGCTCACTAGGAGCAGCAATATAACCTTCTGACTGAGTACATTGCTGCCATGCTGGGAAGATATTCAGGCAAAAAGAAAGAAAAAAAGAGGATATTATTCAGGGCACCATAAACTGCCTAATGCTTGCCTTTTTCAGGAGTACTTCAATAGTGAGTGTATATGTGTGGCCACTTTGTTCCGAGAACATTTGGCACCGCAAACTCGTTGGTTATGAGAAATCGCGGAAATTTAGTCACGCAAATTTCGCAGGGATTACAGTACAGTCAACCGCGTGAATAACGACCTGGGGCCGGTATACTGTAAGCCATGTAAATATAACGAGGAAGTACTGTAATTTCACAAATTTTCGGTGTGCTATTATTTTCGGTACTTTCGGTGCGTCTGTTTCATACCTAAAATTTCAATACACCGAACAAACACTGACACACATAATCCAATAGGGAACTGCTTGTCTGTACCGAAAATTTCTGTTCACCTAACCTAGCCTGTCGCCCTCATACCGAAAATTATTGAGCACCGAAAATTTCTGCAATTAGAGTAAATCTAACATTTTAACGAGTTGCATTTCTTCGTTATAATAAGTTCTGTTGAGATTGTAGTGCTTCATATGTGTTATGTGCAGATATGTCCGAAAAACGCAAGTTCGTTAACGTACGTATGATTTACTGCACGAGTACAAACGAGTACAAGGGCAATACCGGCTGATACATGACCGAACGGCGCCAGCCGTGAGGCTCAAAATAGCTATCAGTATGTTCGCCAACGTAGCATGTACATTAAAGTACATGCGGATAATGCTATGGTATGCACAGGAGAAAATGCCTTCTCCACCTAGACTCCGTGTAAGTCAGGTCTGAAAGTTGGTTTATGCCTGATTGTTAGCAGTAGCCATGTCCGAAAGTTAGTACGGGCGTGACCACCAAATTTGAAAACAAGTTTGTACGTATTCATGGTTTTACGGTCGTGTTGTACACACTGAGCATGGTAGACTCCATTATTACATGCCAATATTCCACCTGAGCTGCGTAGGATGCCATATTCTCCCGAATGTAAGTATCCCTTTTACAATATAGCCCAAGGTCGAAAAAAGGGAGTGCGACTTATTATTGAGTGTAACTACAGTCAACTTCGCTAATAACGACTGCGGATATAACGACAATTCGCGAATAACGACATAATGTTCATGCCCGGAGCAAAGTCCCATCCAACTGTGACACATATAATGAGACATCGGATATAACGACACTTCGCGAATAACGACACTTTTCTGATGCCCCGCCGAGTGTCGTTATAAGCGAAGTTGACTGTATTACTTACGAGCTCGTAGCAAATGAAACTATAATTATTACTTCAAAATGAGGGAAAATTGGTATGCAAAAATTATACTCCGGTGATATTAAAAAAAAACTTACGATGACAAATTCCCAACCAGTTTGGATTTCTGTTGATGCAGCTCTTGATCCCAATAGAGTACGATGGAGCCAAGCGAGAGTAGCCTGGCTGGCAGACCAACAGATTACCAGGCAGGACCATCTGAAACCCATCGCCAGTTGTCTCATAGCATAGAGCTGAGAAGTAAACGCAGACCAGGTAGAAGACACAACAATCATTGGCATCGGCAAGTAGACTCAACGATGTGAACCTAAAGCAGAAGACTACACACATCGCCACATACTTACCGGATTTCCCACGTATCATGCACCCCATGCCAGTTGGACTAACACAATGACCGGCAATCCGGAGTGAGACGGATAGATGGCTAACAAGTCTCCATCGGCTGCTGCAAATAGCTATAGGAATGAGGTCTGTTTCGTTGTCTAGGAGACGACCAATCAGTGACGTTCCCGCCAAGGGCCTTATCAGAGTTTAAAGCCCGCTCAAGGGAATACTTTAACCTGTATCGCATCGCATAAGCAACTTCAGATATGTATCGCAGAAAACTGCGATGCACGTTGATGTTTCACTGTACCCTATAATGCACAGTGTGCATGCCAGGTGTGTCTCTTAGGTTGAAATAGATGCACGAAGCTTCGAACGTGCTGAGCGGCTAGACATCCTGGCACCAGGATAGACTTGCAACTAAGGTGTTACAGTGTACTTGTGGTCTGAGCTTGCACTCTGATCAGCTCTCCAGAAGGACAATGCTGTCAAGTGTTGAAGAAAATTGCAATGCAACATTATCAAATTGCTATTCAAGTTTGATTTTGCTCAGCAAAATTGCTATGCAAAAGATTGGAAGCAAATTAAGTTCCCTGCGCTCAATCGTAATTTTATTACTCTTTGATGATGCATCGAGGGCCTTGGATTAGTTTAAAGCCCGGTGAATATACTCTAAACAGGTGCGTACAACTTCTGGCACGCATTATAGTACGGTGCAGACAATGGTCTGCATAAAGCCTAGTTCACATTCGACGGGACGCGACGTAAGGATCGACGGGAAGCGACGGGACGGTCTGACGGCGTCCAATGTGAACACCAGGAACGGGGACGCAACCGTACTACCGTGCAGATCGGGAAGCGACGGGAAGAGTTGGATCGATCCAACTTTTTATACCGTAGACGGGGACGCAAGCGTACAAAACGGCTGCAATTCGAGTGTGAACAGGAGACGGCGTCGTGCGCCGACTACTCCCGATTCGTACTTGGAAATTTTTAGCATTTCGAATACTGCGCTTCCCATGATAACTCACAGAATGGCTAGCATGACTTGAGTTGAATTTTAGCAACATAAGATCTCATGTCACTTTAACTGTACAAGCAGAAATATTCGTCTGGAATTTAATTTCATCTTTTTCGTCCAAGGAGCTGTTGGACTAAATTAAATGCCGGACTAATATTGATTTGTCCAGCTTTTCAATACACTCTTATGATCCATGGACGAAATTTACAACCGGACGAACTCCCTTTCTTTGGAGTTGGACGAAATAATTGACCGACGAAATTTTCTGCTTATACAGTATTGTATTTAGGGATAGTTCAGAGGCGTGACAGACGAAGTATTCTATCATTTCCTGGGGCTATTATTTGAATGCCACAACTTTCAGGGCTAATTTTTTGGTCTTCACGAAAAACTGGTATTGTGAACTTGAGTGCCTTAAGACTCGCGCCGTTCGACGGTGAACGTCGCAACGACTGCTGCATGTCGTGTCGTACGAATCGTACAGGATTTTACAGCTCACCCCAGCCCTCCCGACAAGCCCTTACGTCCCGTACCGTCGGCGTTGCGTCGAATGTGAACTAGGCTTAAAATGTACTGTGTACAGTGGAAACTGGATATAACGACACTCCTTCGGGAGAGAACAAAATGTCACTATATTCGATCTGTCACTAAACCCGATCTTCACAAAGGACTTGCTATGCGACTTGGGCAACAGAATTGTGTCGCTAAACTCAATCTATCGTTATATTCAAGGTCGTTAAAATTCGATCTCCACTGTACTACTAAAAGCTATGCATTTCAGAAGTGTGTACGGTTTTTGCCTTCCGTACTCTTTCATCTGTGCAATTTTCCTTTGTCAACAGCTGGCGGAACCCTATAAAAACCGAAAATTAAAGTCATTATAGGTATCGAAAAGGGGCTCTCAAAGCCCCTAAATAATGTTAGCTCCACAAGCTAGGAATAAGAATGAAGCTCGCAATAAGAGCCCAGCATTTCATTTGCTTCCCGGATTCTCCTTTTAGTAGGCTAACCTGTCGGGCACTAACAAGCCATAAGGCCCTCCATGCTATACATAAACCTATAAGTAAAGTGTGTCCAATAATCTTACCATGCCGCTGGCAAAGAAAGCTAGCAATAGTGGATGGAGGATTGTCAGGAACTACTCGAGTAGTTCTCTCAAAAACCTCTGGCCGTCGAGTATTGTACTCAATAACCCCTGGTTGTGAGGTCCAGGTATTCGTTGGCGATTGTAATGCTATTAGGATGTTACGAAGACATTGTGTTGAAGCAGGAAGTTGACCGCCCAATGACTTGCAAAGCGCCGCAGCACTAGAGCGGTTCCTTTTTGGTGCATGGGGTGGCACGAAGAGAGTAGTTCGATTCCCCTTGCATTCCATAATGGCTGCACACACAAACAAGCACAGACACTCACACTCACACCCACATAGCTAATCAAACAAACACAGTAAAGCACATGCCAGTATCAGTGTATCACACGTCTAAAGAAGAAAAGTCAGATGAGCAGAAGACAGCTCCACACTGTCACCACCACTTACCATCACTGACATTCCCCCCCCCCCCCCCCACTGAACATAAAATAAGTTGTTGGCATGCAGAACCAATGCGCAACTTTATTGGCTGCAGACTTACGTTTAAATTACTTCTACAAAGTAAGCAGCTTTCAACATTATTTCATTGAAATCAAATTGCCACGATGAAGAATGAAACGTACATGTATTTTGAACATTACCAAGCCTACCGTAATGACCCACATTTAAGCCCATGTGCTCGTATGCCAGTTTTGCCAAAATACTTGACATGTCTTGAAGGTCGATTGGTCTCACATGCGCTTGTAATTCAGTTACCAGCATAACATCCTGTAACTGAGATGGTATCATGGTGGCGTCAGTGTGTTGTGGGATTGGGTTCACTTATAAGCCCATGCGCGTATACATTGTACGCGAGGGTGTGCTTTTACATAGGCACATGCACTTTTATGCGCGCCACTACTTTAATTAAAAAGGTATCCTGCATAACGTTACACTCTAAATTTTCTTGTCTGCCCTACTGTATTCAGGAGTCCCAGGATCATACCCCTCTCATGAAAGGGAACTTAGTGGCAAAGCTGTAACCGCATAGTGTTGCCTCAGTAGCATACAAAGCATTTTTGCAGCATTACACCAGCACTTACGGAGTGAACAATAGAATGGACGAGGATGCAACGTAAGGTGATAGGTCCAACCATCGCTTGCATATGCCTCTCCCCCAATTACTCCTCGCAACCAGGAATAGGGAATTGTTTGATCCTTCTTCAAGTATGCTTTCACGCATTTCAGAGATGTATGAGACGGAAGCAATCCACCCATTTCCATGCATGTTCTAGATGCATTGGGGTATGTTTGAGCAGTTTGGCCATTAGGAAGGACAAGAAGCGCGTTGGTTTCTGCACACTCATAATCACCTGCAAACAAAACAATAATGAGCGGGAATTCCAAACTGTAAATATTACAAAGCCAGCCGCAGCCATTCCCTTTACTCAACATCACTACCCATACTCCTCCCCCCCCCCCCCCCAGACATACTTCAAGTACATACACGACCATGACAACCACCACCACCACATGTCGTCTGCATACCTGCCAAGTACATGTACAGGCAGTGCTTTTCCGGGATTGTCAATGCGAAATCCCGGGATTTGCCTAATTTTTCAGAGACAAAAACTTCAATATCGCCACCAGGACAAACCGTGCGTAACCATTCCTTTTCAGTGTTGTGGCCGAGATCCATGCTGGAATGCTTGCAGTCTGCCAGGAAATCGTTTTAAAACTGCAGTTCACCCCATTTTTAAACTTTTCGGGATATTTGAGAAGAATTTCGGGATTTCGGGAGGTCATCCAAAGATGCGGGATACTTGGCAGGTACAGTCAACTTCGCTAATAACGACTGCGGATATAACGACAATTCGCGAATAACGACAGAGTTTTCATGCCCAGAGCAAAGTCCTATCCCACTGTAATACATATAATGAGACTTCGGGTATAACGACACTTCGCGAATAAGGACACCTTTTTGATGCCCCGCCGAGTGTCGTTATAAGCGAAGTTGACTGTATGCGTCTATCTGTCTCTCTGTCCAATATTAAGCAAGGGCTTGATTCTCCAGATGATGGCACACCAGCAATAGGTCCACTGAGCTAAAGGATTCCTCACAGACAACAGTAGCAGGCAGGTAACAGAACCACACAACAGGAGCAAGACTTCATATTGACAACTGTTAGGTGTCTGTCTGCGGCTCTCTTCTCTTCTCTTCTCTTCTCTCTCTCTCCCTCTCTGTCTGTCTGTCTGTCTGTCTGTCTGTCTGTCTGTACACCATTCTGAAGAAGACCCTGTACATGTATGGTGGATACGTTGTCTGTCTATCTGTCTATCTGTCTATCTGTCTCTAGTCTGCAATGTTTGTCTTGTTTGCCTGTATGTTGGTCTTCCCCTCGAGTTCCCCCTTCTCAAATCTCCTTGCTGGAGTGACCACAAGTACTTGTATAAATAGTATAATAATCAGTGCAATAACAAAATCCGACACCCTCCATGATAACAACTGGAGATGGATAGCCGAGACTATCTGAACCCGAGAAGACTGTACCAGCTTACCATTCACACAATGTACAATGAGGTTCACCAAGCAAAGTAGAACAGTGAATACGCGAAGTGTACTCGTGGCCTCAGCAAGCATTCTACTTCTTATGCGTTGAAGCAATTAACACTTGTAACCTGTTGGGCGCACAAACAAATGCACATGGCAATGCGCGCAAATACATGCACACAAACACGTGCACACAAATACATGGACACCTCAGACGTTAGATTCCTATCGCCAGAGGCGATGATAGTGATGCTACAGCCGTCTGAGAAGCCATGGCAAATGCGAGCTTTGGATGACGCCATTCAACAACTTGCAAAGCGGCAGAAGTGACCACCACTGTTCAGCTGGGGCTATACTGAGACCGGTACTAATACCGAAGTAGTAATAACAGTTACTACAGATCCGACAGTGGAAATGTTACCCGTGAATGTACGATGATCTTCCTGCCCGTCTGCGCACATGCATAATGATAATTATGTCACACTTGATTTATCGTGTGTAAGAAATATCGGAAATAAGAATAGAAAGTCGTTTTTCAAACACCCACGCTATAACCGATACCTACTGTATAAGTTACAATTGTTTTTTTTTGTAGTTACCGGTATGACTAACAGCAAGAGTCCATAACCCAAGAGTATGCAACTGTGATCTCTTTTCTATGGGCCAACCGCGCGGCGCGCTGCCTTCATTACATCATTCAGCTGCAGTCCGCGCACTGCGGAAAATCAAACACCGCACTTTCCCTCTAGTTTGAAATGAACTTTCGTACGGAACTGGAGTTCACGCGCCAGAATTCAGAGATTGTGTAGGTACTGGAACGAATCGAGCAAAAACGGATGGGCTCGTGCGAGAAATTGAGAGTTTGAATGCATGCTTTCAGAGCGTGATGAAGGCAAGTTACGTAATGAAGGCAGCGCGCCACGCATGCACCCATAATCACAGTTGCATACTCTTGGGTTATGGACTCTTGCTAACAGTGCAGTCCACCAAGGTAACACAAAGTTTTGTGCCTCGTTGTCGCACTATCTGACTGTATAATTATCTCGTTACCTTGGTGGACTGTTAGTCATAACTACAGTAAAACCTGTGACTAACGACCACCCCTTGGGGCCAGAGAAAGCGGTCTTTAGTGGCAGGTGGTCTTTAGTTAGAGGTTTGCACAGCACAACCACATAATATGAATGTGAGACCGTCCGTGCCTGGCGAAGTGGTCTTTAGTACCAGGCTGGTCGCTAGTCACGGTGGTCGTTAGTTACAGGTTTTACTGTAGTAACCAGGGTTCTAGCCAAAGGGGGGTAGGGGGCGCAACGCCCCCCTACTCCGTTTGCGCGCCCCCCTGTGAAAAAGTGCCGTCCCCTTCTCATTTTCCGATTTTTGTGTTTTTTCACGCCATTCAACGAAAATACAGTCGATAGTCACTACTACAGTCCATTCATTGGAAACTGGCACCCTAACTTTTTGGTGTCTCTCTCACATAGTTGTAGATATCGTGAAAACAACAGTACATCCTGCATTGTGTGACCCGTGCAATTACTCCTTGCCACATTTGAGGCCAGAAAAGTCCATGAACAGGGAAATAGAAATTCAGCCAGGTTTTACAAAATTAGGACAGGTATGCCATGGCAAAATGTATGGAGAAGCAGATCCAAAACCTAGATTTTTGAGATTTAAAGTGGGTTTTTGATCCTCAATTCGGCCCAAATCCGACTTTCAAAAGCCAGCGGGCCAGTTTCCGATGAATGGACTGTAGAAGGTTCATAAAGGCACATTTGTGAGGGGTGAAGTCGGGTCTTCACCCTGTATGTTACATTTTGCATGGCAAGACAATTTTGGACAATGGAAAAAAATGGGTCATGGGGTAACCTTTTCCCATGCCCGCCCCCTACTATATTGACCTGGCTAGAACCCTGGTAACTTATACATGTAAGTCCTTTTCTCTTTATATATCACTATTGGCTCAACATCCGAGTTTTAAATCGACATTAACGCGGATACTGAGCTAATACAAGTAAGAATTGTAAAATAGAGGGAAACACATGGGAACGAGTTATGAAACAACTTACTATCCACAACTGTAACAGAAAATTAGCAGTCAGAAAGTGTCATGGGTAGTTGCTTCATAACTCGTTCCCATGTCTTTTTCCTCTATTTTACGAATCGACATTAGTCCAGCATTTAATTTTGTACAAAAACTCCTTGGATCTTGGACGGAAAGGACAAAATCAATTCCAGACGATTATTTCTGCCTACAATACAAGATTTAGAAGTAATCATCATGCTTATACGGTCGGTGACTGTTTACCTTTACCTTTTATGTAATCCGGAGCTCCACTGCCACGGCCCGAAGGGTGCTCAATGCCCATTTAAGGCAGAGCTTCGCGCCTGATGAGCAACACAGCTTTCTCTTTCTACTGCTTTCACTTTTACAAAAACGATATTCCTCAGATCAAGAGTGGATTCCTCTGCAACGCGCGTCTGTCTCCAGTTCTGTCCGCCACCTGTACTGTGGTAGAGTCTACATATTAAAACTGCTAAAGACAAAAAGTAAGTACCGGTATGAGTGTTCTAAAAGGGTTTGGGTATAGTTGGTTCGTTGCATGCAACTGTTGCTATTCTTCATTTTGAAGTTTTGTGGTGTACCGGTACGAGTGCGTTTCTGTAGATCTACCGGTATACCGTAGTTGCAAAAATAAACTTTGCGGCAGGGAGTCGTATTTTACGACTCCCTGCTTTGCGGTTTCATACACACATACATGACACTTGTACTATGTTGTAGCATAGCTTTTTGATCGACTCGTACCATACGTACCAGGGAGTAGTACAATCAAGAGTCCATATATAGGCCATAGGCCATATACCTTCGATGGTACTCCGTACGAAAACATGCGTAGAATCAGAATGCTTTGATAGATTTTGCTGAAATTTTCTGTACACACTCAGTGACTAATGTAGATTGCAGATCAGTAACAGGCGTAGGGCACAGGAAGTGTGAGAAGGGTAGAGACAAGTTTTCACAAAACAATTCAGCAAAGTTCGCATGCTTTCCACTGGAACCAGCAGGTCAGTATATCGAATTTGATTTTTTGACCCCTCTGAAGGTATATGGCCACCTTAACCCTGGGTTATGGACTCTTGGTACAATAATAATTGTTGTACGCGTACTACTCCCTGATGTAAACGCACCAGTGAATCTGTGATCATGGCTGGTTGGAACGCCTCAGATCATGTAAACACCAGGGAGCCCTACACATATGTGTGTGTATCATTGTAGGGCTCCCTGGTAAACACAGCTCAAGAGTGTTTATGGACTCTTGTTATGGCGCCTTGTTATGACATTGTACCAAGAGTACACACCGGGGTTATGTACTCTTGATTGTACCTTTCAATGCATGTACAACTCTTAATACAGTGTACCAGAACAATTGGGGTTACGCTGTACTATATGGACTGTGGTACTACGAAGTGTACATGATGTACTACCGGTACCAAGTACTCTAATTTCAGAAATTTTCAGCGCTCAATATTTTCGGTATGAGGGCAACAGGCTAGGTTAGGTGAACAGAAAATTTCGGTACAGAGAAGCAGTTCCTTATTGGATTATGTGTGTTAGTGTTTGTTCGGTGTATTGAAATTTTAGGTATGAAACAGATGCACCGAAAGTACCGAAAATAGAAGTACACCGAAAATTTGTGAAATTACAGTACTGTAAAGCGTGAAATTTTCGCGGCGTTTTTAGTTCGCGTTTTCAGAATCCGGACAGGTTTGTGCGGTTTTAATTTTGCGATTGCAGAATGGCATTCTTGCTAAACCTGTGGCATTCTTGCTAAACCTTTCATGGATCTCCTTTTCGCGCTGTCTTAATTTCGCGATTTCCACGCGGTCGCGAATTTCGCAGAAATTAGACCATCGCAATAATTTCACGGTTTACAGTAGGGAGTACCGTGAAATCAGACCGCCAGAGCGCCCCCCCCCCCTTTGATTTTACAGCCAGGGAAAGGAAAATCGTACGGCAGAGCTAGAGTGCAACGAAGCTTGTACGGTGTGAGAACCTTATTGTACTAAGGTCCCACTATTAGCAGATTTTTGTGTGGAGCTTGTTTCCAATCGAAGGTACGAATTGTCTGCAGAACATGCAATATGTGTACAAAGTTCGTGTCGTATGACCTACAGACAGGAGACCACCTCCACAATACGACCACGAAAGGACAAGATTGTGGGGCGCTCTGGCGGTACTTTACGGTATTAGCAAGAGTAGATGAACAAGAGTGTGCAACTCCGCATCTCTTCTGCACAATCTGGAGATACCCCGTGGAGATACCCCGGCCCACGGTGGAAATTTTTGTTGACGTCACCTTTTCAGAAAACACGACGTGTGTCGTACAAAGCACGCGCATTTTGCCGCAGAGCAGTGTGAGAACACGTGCTGGTCACCGACCTTGTAAGGTGAAGCCCGGCCAAGTGCACGAGGCAAAACTTCCCAAAAGACTCGCAGCGCTTGCGTCGTAGAAAAGATTACATCAACAAACAATTCCGCCGTGGGCCAACCCATCCGCGAGTCGCACACTCTTGTTTATCTACTCTTGGTATTACCGTAAAATCCCGCCAGAGCGCCCTACCTCCGCCACCCTTCGAGTAGGTCCAGGTGGGGAGGGGCGGATGGGTGAGTCCTACTTACCGCATTCAGTACTACATGAAAAGTACTCAACCTACGAAAACTGCTCGTGCATCTCGTACACCGACCAAAGGTCAAGAGCCAGGAGTCGTACAGACCCATCAAAACTGTGCGATCCCTGGTCAAGAGGGTGCATACTTGCCAACCCCTGGCAAACAGTTTCCTTGACACTGATGGCGTTTTTCCTTGATTTTGCCCATTTTTCCTTGATCTGCAATTTTTACATCATAATTGTGCAAAACATTGTATATGACATCATAGTGACGTCACCATGACCACAAAACATTCGCAAATAGTGCAGCATGTACGACATTAATGTGCTTTTTCATGCGTTATCTCAAAAGTTCTCGCTCGCTAAACCTTGATGTGGGCACAGCACTTCGAGCGAGTGCTCAAAACCGAAAATCAACAAAAAAACAGTGCTGACGGACATTTTCGAAAATCCGGTAGATGTTATAACTCTTCCGGTATACCGGGACGAAAGCGAGGTTTCCTGGATTTTCCCGGAAATTCCGGTAGGGTTGGCAAGTATGAGGGTGGGCACTGTTGCATACATTTCCAAAGGGGTCGAGCACCCGTCTGCAGTACAGTACGGCATCACAAAGTCATACGAGGATACAACCAATCACTTCCCTGACAAGAAGTCAGGGAGGGGCGGATGGGAGAGACGAGGCGCTCTGGCGGGGTTTTACGGTAGTAAAGAATCTGCTTTAGTATGTGTACTAGTACCCTGCTACTGCCCGCTAGCCGCTTTGTAAAACTGAAAGAGAAGAAAATTTAATGTTCTGTTGTTTCGATGTTATTACACCTCTGAGACGAGATTCTACTTTCCTCTAACATGTACCAGCTCAACCAGGTTGAAGTCGGTAGATGTTGGCAGAGGTACTGTATTTTGATTCGTGTGGCCATGAGAACGGGCTTCCACCAAACATCGTATCGTACTGCGAAATCGACGTTCTGCCGAATTGTGTAGATCTGTGTTTATAAACTACTAAGTTATCTACCGTATTTTCTTTTCCAACATCCGCTTTACTCTACTCTACCAAGTAGACCAAAACGAACGCAGCCTAGTACACAATTCTTGCGCACGGTGTTCAACCTCACTCCCATCAACAGCATCAGCAACGCAACCATTTATTCCCACTTTCCAACATCCACTCTACTCTACCAAGTAGACCAAAACGAACGCAGCCTAGTACACAATTCTTGCGCACGGTGTTCAACCTCACTCCCGTCAACAGCATCAGCAACGCAACCATTTATTCCCACTGGCCGCTCCGTATCAGCTTAGACTTTTTGTTCGTATTTTCCGTTCACTAAAATTAATGACCTCGCAAGCCCCCTACTCTCTAGTTGTTTTTCGTTGCGCAGTGCATCGTCACACACAAACTCCTGTACACGCTCTCAAGTTTCTAAAGCCCTTGCTCTTCCCCCTGCTTCGGTATAGTCTTTTTTCTCTTAGCTTTCTAGGCTCAGATCGTTGGAACTCTCTACCTGCTGACATTCGCCTATGCACATCTGTTTCTCGCTTCCGTTATCTTGTATTGGCACATTTAGAGTACCCTGTAAGAAGGCCTTATTATTAGGCCTGTGGGAATTGCCCTATCAAAAATTTAATACCGTAAAGTACCGTCAAGAGTACATAACCCCCCCCCGGGTTATGTACTCTTGGTACCGTTGATCCGCCCCCCACGCCATGTCGCTTCCCAGCTGGATTTTCGGCAGGGGGCGGGAATTAGATCAAGGCTGTCAAGTGCAGTACGATGTACAACAACGTAGAAGTTCAGACTCGATGTGCTGGATTGTGCACATTTTCATCCTGGATTGGCAAATTTTGTGTACAGCAGTGCATGCGTCGGTTCAACATCGTATTTTCGTTGTATATGCCGAAGTCGCTTCACAGGTAGAAAATCGACAGGGGGCGGATCAACGGTACTTTACGGTAATAATAATATAAATTCGGAACGACGCTTCACGCAGCTTCATTATAGCAACTTAGATTGTGGCAACACTGGCCAACACTCAGATGCACTGCTTCTTCACACAGTTGAACAATTCTTCTCTCTTCTCAACGTTTCGGTCACTCTGACCATCTTCAGGAATAATAATAATAATAATTCAGCAATTGCGCAAGGCCAGTGCACCTTATACTGGGTACACATTTCCCCAAATTTCAATGCTGGAAACACAAAACAAGCTTTGTATGAGGGAACTCTCCCTGCAGTATATCTATGATCAATATGGAACAACCACAACCACAACCACAACAACAACAACAACAACAACAACAACAACAACAACAACAACAAAAAAGCCACACCAGAGTATAAATCGTAAAATGCGGACATGATTGGAGGACACAATAAAAGGGAATCACGACAAGCTCCATGAATACCAACATTACATCATCAACAAGCAAACAAAACAAGACCAACGTAACGTGAATCTCAGTAAATCGAGCAGCGCACAGCATCAGCAGCATTGGAGTAGTACATATATAATACGGGACATCAGCTTCAGCAGTTATAGCACCATGTTCATAAGCTTTTTTAAAGTGTTAAAAAGCAAACACCTGAAGAGGCATGCAGGTAATTAAAGTAAAGAAACCTATCCTATATGCTGTCAGACGGAGAGAAACAGTGAATGCGAAGGGATACACAGCGACTCCACTGCCATTAAAAAAAGTAGGCCTACACCCCATGCATAACGATTCAGCTTCTTAGCATAGCATAACGACAACCAATAATATGCCAGAAGTGTTCAGAACAACAGGCAATGGAATGTGAAGACAAAAGTGAGGACATATAACCTAAGCTAAGCTTCCTGCCAGAGGAGAGCTGAGTTACAACAAAAGCAGTGTGCCTTGACAGAGGCAATCACTATCAAGAACGGTATGTCAGTGCTTCTTTAGCCGAGGAGTACGTGCAAAGGGCTCCCACCTTAGTGCTCCTGCATCAACCAAGAGAGTGGGTGGTTTGTAGTTTGCACCACGGAGGTGATCGTCAACATTCTTTGGTGGAATACACACCACATGTGCTCCCTTCCAGTACTTGATCATATTGATTGACTGTGCAGAAGAAAAGACAAATGTAGGCCACATCATCAACAAGGTTCAAGGAGACTGCCATGCATCAATCCGATTCATCTGCCAGATATTCCCACTCATGAGTGCATATGACGAGCGTTTGCTGTGTGCCACCAAGTAACATATCGCAGCCTCTTGACCCACTTCAGGCTACTAAGTATTCCGGCCTTCAGCCGTTCCAGAGCCGGGCTTGCTCGCATTCATGCAAGTCATCATACCGACCAGTATGATGCAGTGCACACTGCAATACTCCATACTCCATTATTGGTTCAAGGAGGCTGCCACACATCATTCATCTCTTCCCATCGAACATGGTCCTGTTTCACGGTGTTATGCATCAGCTGATGATGTTGCATGAGGCGGCAGTAAGTCAGTGACCTCTTTGAAGAGCTGCATGCATTTACGTATGATTCCATTGCAATCGAGTAACCGCTGAACATCATCAGTGAAATATGGTTGTGTTCGATTGGGAGTAAGGGTTGAATGATGCAGCCTAATCGGACCAACAGTGGTCAATCTACTACAGTGGTGGTAACTGAAATCCGACCCCTGATTTCCGTGCTCGACTTCAGCACCGATTCTACAGTCCATTCAGAAAAAGATGGACTTCTAGCTTTTGGCCATAAATGGGTCAAACGTTGAGTTTTTTAAGAATTTTTTTCTGCAATCCCCTATGGAATCCTCTTCCAATTATGTTTCTGAAGTCTATTTCTCCAAAAAGCAAGCCATAGTGAGAATAGGATTTCGGCCAGGTTTTGCCCCAAGAGCACTGAATTGGGAAAATCCATCAAAATCCAGGCCGTTTGACCATGCCTGCAACAGTGCATTGTACGGTTCGAACCCCAGTTCAGGTACCCTTTTTGGACCCTTTTTCAACTTTCAAATTTCACAGCACTGCACTATGTACGATAAAATCTTGAAAAATCGCCTAATACGGGAGCTCGCCAGAGCCAATCTTTTTGTGAATGGACTGTAGTGGTCTCTCTTTGGTAGCATACACGCGCGTGCCGTGTCTTTGCAATGTGAGCGCACCGTGCTGGGGTCGGACTTCAGTTTCCGCCACTGTAGTGGCGCCCAGAAGACTACAGGTTGTTGCTCCAAGGAAGCTGTGATGCCCCGTTCGCCCTATATTCCCAATCGAATTTGCACACCTCCTGAAAAGAGTATGCCCTACTAGATAGGATTCTTGCAGAAATTTACATCACTACTTTCTTGTGGAAACCTGGATGAAGATGAAACTTTCAGTCAACTCAGCACCCGAAAGATTACAAGCATTGATATTTCGAGTTACATAACCATACTTCCCCTTTGAAATGTGTGATGCATGAGCACTTATGCAAAGTGATAAGAAACCTTCCGCTGCTGCAGCGAAGGCAGAGAAGTGTGATCATTTATAATCTATGTTCAACATGTGGCTGGGGGAGGGGGGGGGGGGGGGGGGCAAATAACCAACGTTCTACACCACCACTACCACCATCAGCATCATTACACAGGTACCTGGAACCTTGCTGCATGCACTACAAAACAGAAAAGAAAAAGAAAACTACAGCTAGGCACATGGACACAGCAACATTGACACACGCACACATGCACCAGTGCAACTCACCTGCAACGTATCGATGATATCACATTCCTGGATGGACGTCATGTCACTGAGTGTCTTAACGCTCCAAGTACCGTGCTTCTCATAGTGCTTCTGGCGCAGAATGTCCAGCAGCACCCATGTCCAATAGCTACGATAGCTCAACTTTCCCAAATCAGACAGAGGCTTCTCGGGCGACCCAACAACTTTCTCAATCTTCGATAGTTCGTAGCTGAATGCAATCATGAACTTGCCATAGCCTTTACGTTGAAAAGGTGGTAAAGTCATGATGCATGCAAGGTTGTAGTTGTCGGCTGACTCTTTCTCCTTTGAGAAATACCCCACCATGTGAGCACCATCACGTTCCACCTCACACAGCACATAGAACAGAAACGGCTCGACATCAAAGTAGAGAGTTTTGTGGTCCAGGAATAACTTAGCTACTAGACAGAGATTCTGGCAGTACACCTTCTGCACTTTGCCATCCACCTCATACACGGATATCGATCCCTTCCGATAAATTTCTTTCCCAGGTGGTTGACGTCTCTGACATTGAGGAACATGATAGCGATACGTCTTCTCCAACCGCATATACTTCAAGCAAAATTCGCAGATCCACAGCTTCGGCATTTTTCCATACTCGTCAGGAAAAGGAGCAAAGTACCAAGTATCAATTTCGAAACGTCCAAACTGTACTTTATCCACATACTTGATTTTGGTGATAGCTTCGTGCTCTTTTTCTAGCGCAGCCGTGGTGGGATCCATCTCGGCAATAGATTTCTGGACATGGTTGATTTCATCGTGCTTCCGCTTCTGATTGCGAGTTAGAGTACCTCTGTCAGGAGCATCATTCCCGTCCACACCTAGCAGATTTCCATCATGCTCTCGTTCAATTGGAGTTTGCTCGTTGACACGACTTCGGGGCACCCACTCGTCCATGCGACGATTGAAGCGCTCAAAATGAACATAATACTCCAATTGATCATTGTCTAATGTTCGTGTATCGATCACCTCAGCATTCTCCCAAACACCTTCTCTGAGAACTCTGAATGTCTTTCCGACGACGGTGGAAGAATTTTCAGAGGCACCATTCTCTCCTACCCTTCCACCATCTTGTGGTGGCTTAATAGGCTTTCCACTCATGCTATAGAGTAGAATGACATGATAAACTCAAAAGAGAGCTACGACGCTCCCATTGTCAATAGTAGACAAGAAGAAGTCAGTTTGCAATCAACTAGAAAAACACAAGTCTCCACTGACAAGACTGTAAAAACGTAAGACGAAAAAGCTGTTGTTCAACGGATAGATCGCAACAGTTACTAATTTTTTTTGTAGTAACGTTTTTTGCATATGCACTGACATGACGTAGCACAAGAAAAGTAATGAAGTCATAAAAATGAAGAAGTAATCGCTCATCCACCAATACATAATATGTACTACATCACGTTCAGGTCCGTTCACGCCAGTCGATCGTCTGGCTATACTACTATTACTACTAAGGGGTCGTCCGTAAATATCGAACTTTTTTCACAAAACGAAAATTTCGTTATGGGGTGGGAGGGGGTTGACCAATTTCGTTTCAGAAAACATTGATTCATGTACATGGCCGTTGTATATACATGTATATCAACATTTTTTACGTTCTGAGGAGGAGGGAGGGAGGGGTTGGGTCTAAACTAAAATAATTCGTTTGGTGAAAAAAGTTCGATATTTACGGACGGCCCCTAATACTAGGGTGAAAAATGACCCGAATCTTTGTGCAAAATGAAGATGACGACGCCGCTTTTTCCTGTGACCATTTTTGAGCAGAATCACCATTTTGATCGTCGTCGATTTGGCATGGAAGACTTTCATGAATGCTATTGTAACTAATACTTGGCCTGCTTAGGGCTAGGATAGTCCCTAAACAAAATCTGGAAGCCGTTCTCCCAGAGATTTTTCCGTCATGTTGCAGCAGAGTCACCTTTCTCAATTTTGCGTCGTACAAAATAATTAATTTATGAGTTTTGGATGCCAAAATACTTGATGGCGTGAGAACCAATAAAGAACTACCGGACACCGCCCAGACCTCAGGTATGTGTAGTTCATTGTAGGCTGCTCATAAAGCAAAAATTGTCTTGATAGTAACTAATCACTTGCCCAAAAATTTGGCGAATTTTTCCTAATACCCTTACCTGAGGGTGCGTTCTTATATTCTCTAGCTTCTAGAAGAGAAGAAAAGAGAAGTCGAAGAAACTGGGATTACTCAAGAACGGGTCTCGAAGAATTCGGAGATATTTTGCACATGTCAAGCAAAATGAAGCGCCAAAGGGGCCGCGATCTTGAGTGATGAATGTAGTAATGCACGTGTGCGTATGCGAAATGGGAAATGCGTACACTAATGATGAACACGTGCCTTTTAGTCGTAGTTCGCATGCGCTGATCCCAAACCGCGGGAATCTCCAAGTTTCAACCACCTCTGAAGCTTGGAGAGCTTGGAGAGCTTTGGAGAGCCTCCTAAAAGTCGGAGAGGATATAAGAACAGCTCTCGAACTTTTCGGAGAGTCTCCAACTTTTCCGAGAGGATTTAAGAACGCACCCTTAGTTGCCAATGCACGAGAATCACGAAAACTAGTTTGGCTGATGGATTTCTGATTTTCTTCTCGTGAGGCCACGTCGTTTTTTTCTATGGGTGCGTTTGGTTGGTACGATCTAGAACAGGATCGAACAGCTGGTGCACATGGAGCAGCCTCATGTCAACCAAACGGTACTCCAGAAACAGAGCAGATTTTTGTGAAAAATGTGCCAAACTTGGGGCATGATCGATTGGGCGAATCCCGAGCAAGTGTGCTCAGAGTGAGCGTGATCGTTTGGTCGAATCCGGAGTAGGTGTACTTGGAGTGGAATCCGACCACACCAGCCCCCACACCGGGAGTGGCTGGAGTGGAAATGGACTTTGCCGTTTTTGGACAGCTTTTCACAGAATCTTTGTACGATATGCGTACATTTTGCGTACTACACCCTTGTTTTGTTCGATTGGGCCAGCGTTGCTCGGACCACACCGCCTGCTCGCACTCAATCCAGATTCGCCAATCGATGACACCATTGGTGCATTTTTCAAAATGCGTATGGGTCACCATGGTCACTTTGTACGGTACAACGAATCCAACCCAAAAGCGTATGCACGTGATCATTTGGGACCAAAATCGATGTTCCCGCCAGATTTCACTGTGAAAAAGTGAAACTGCTCGGTCTGCTCCGGCCTGGAGGCCGGAGCAAGCAGAACATGTTCTGGCCGACCCAGAACAGGTGCAGTCCCAACCAAACGCACTGTTCTGGTGAATCCTGTTCTAGTTCGTACCAACCAAACGCGCCCTATGTTTCGCGTCACCTTATTCGATGAAATCAATGAGGGAGGGCGAAAAAAATAAAAAAAGCCATCCAAAAAGAAACAGTGTACGTGCATTGCATTTGTGTACACTAAAGCGACGCGGCACTGTTACAACTACAATAATATCTTTATTAGGATGACCCAGAGGCTTGTCGCCTATCAAGGGGTTCACTGCTTTGAAGGATGTACATGTACATGTACACGTATGAGCTAAAGTGAAAGTAGTGAAAAGTTGTGCAGCGTGAATGCGTTGGGGAGCACACGGGGGGGGGGGGGATGTACATGAATACATGAGTGTTACATTGTATATGTATCTCCTCTGCCATGCTTGTTGTCCAAACACAGGCGGCATGATGATTGTGTGACTTGTGGCCCAGCTTATGTACATGTACATGTGTGTGAGCTGAGTACAATCATGCGATAAATAGAACAAATATTTAGTTGATGCCAACATAATAGTTAGTTACCACGGCTGTTAGCTGCACTTGGATCGCGGCAACTTAGTTTTCTGCACGTGAACCATGAAAAATCAATGCATGCTCATGCATAACCAGTCAGCTGGCCTGTTCGCCCACACATTTGACAGGTAACAATTCCATCAAATTTGAGATATCGCTTCGTTCTAAGTCTCAAAACAGTTCTAAAGTCACCAAACCACGCTGGTATTCGATGGCTGTTCAATGTTAACATCTTCAGGAAGACTTCAGCCGTTTCCCGAGAGTTTGGGCATCGTTGCCGTTATTTTTCACAGTGTTCTTCTTCCTCCTGTCTGGAGCTGCAATTGCATCCTGGAATTATTTGAAAGGTATTTCGTGCGGGCTGTGGGGGGTTCCAACAGGCATAAACTGACATCGCTATAGGATAACTGATAACTTTCACCCTTCAAGGAGGTAGAGCAATGAGAATTTTTTTGTGGCGGTCGTCCAATTTTTGTGGCGGTCGTGGCTGTATTTGTGCACTTCCAATGCATTCATTCTGCCTGATACTACTCTCTACTGTATGGGAATCGTTGTTTAGGCACAAGTAGCTGTCTTATTTGGTAGATCTGCTATTTTCAATCACTTGGGACACTTTGTCTAGCCTATTTTGTCTTTCGTTCGTGCCATCTATCAGTTCTGTGAGGTGCCTTGGCCTGTATTTGTGAAGTTCCGAGTAAGACCCTAATTCTTGACTGGAGTCACGACTTGAATTGTATTTGCTGGGCGAGCCCTCGTTCGCGCAGTTGTCCTTATCGTAATAGTCAATATCTGCTTGCTGGACGGACTAGCGGCTAGAATAGGGATGACCAAATCATGGTCCAAGTGTGTGTTAGTACACGATTATTGTTTCCATCATCGTGAAATGAGCGTTGTGGAATTGCAGTCGTCTGCCTTTGGCACTGAGGACATGAGGAGAGTTGATTGTTACTTCTGCTCAGCAATGAAGTGATCATCAGCTCTTTTTGTTCTAATTATTGAGAGGACATACCGGCATCGCAATCAAGTAAAGATTAGGCAAGCCTCGCCGACCTCCAAAGAGAGTCGAAGATATTTTCTCCAAATGCAAAGACGATCTTTGTGAGTTTGTGACTTGCATTTGCGTGCATACATGAGCAAGTCACGGACCACGGCACGTGCGCGGTTACCATGCCATCTCGAACCGACGCCATCTTTCTAAGTTGCCGCTTCTTGACAGCCGTGTTACGTGTAACAATCATGTTCGGGTTTTTTTCCCTTTTGGGTTATATTTTCCGGTTTTCTGGGTTTGCATTAAATTTGTATTGCATTTTCAAAAAAAAAAATTTTTGTTCCGTTTTTTTTTAAAAACTTCGGCTGTGAAATAGTACATGCGCGCGGGGGACGCGAAACACAGATAAAAAACGGTGTGGCCTAAACTTGAGAACAAAAATTATCTACAATGTTACAAATATTAATGGGTGTTTTGAATGTGAACAGATACACTTCAAAAGGCTGATCGCGTTCTCAGATCAGCTGCAAACGAGGGTCAAAATTGTAGTTCAGAGCGATGTCCATTGAGGCATTTCACCTGATTTCGAAGTTCATACATGGTAGTCATGGGAAGTTGGATAGAAATAAATAATTATGTATGCACTCTTAATTACTCCATAGACAAAGACGCCGCTTTTTTCGACTTTTTCTGTGACCAATTTTGAGCAGAATCACCATTTTGATCGTCTTCGATTTGGCATGGAAGACTTTCATGAATGCTATTGTAACTTGGCCTATTGAGGGCTAGGATAGTCCCTAAACAAAATCTGGAAGGCGTTCCACAAGAGATTTTTCCGTCATGTTGCAGCAGAGCCACTTTTCTCAATTTTGCGTCGTCCAGAATTTATGATTTTTGGATGCCAAAATACTTGATGGCGTGAGAACCAAAAAAGAACTACTGGACACCGCCCAGACCTCAGGTATGTATAGTCCATCACTCCACCACTCCACACTGCACTCTTAGCCGACCCACACCGCTTGCACATCACCAGCACAATTGTCAGAAAGTAAAATTTAATTCCCGTAGCTATGTAGAAGACGTTACTTCAGTAACGTCTGGCGCTAGCCAGGGTCCACACAGCTTTAATTTGGTGTTTGTTTGTTTGTGTGTTTGTGTCACGCCTGGCGCTATCCCGTATCTGTCCCGAACCGTACCGTACCATCCAACACAGCTGGCCACATACAGCTGGCCACACTATTCAAATAGGGCTTTCAAACGCAAGATCATCACGTGAAGCAACTTGGAAGAATGAGTATGAATGCAAAGTGTATGGGGGAATGCATGTAGGGCGATAGTGCGGGTTCGAATCCCAGGTAATGCCTAAAAAAATAGGAAAATTGAAAAATTTATAACATCCCTATTCACAAGAGAGAGTTTGGAAGCTTTGTCACAACTCTGAGTTTCACGTATCTCTACGATCATCAGGCAACTGATGGATCCAAAACGGGCAGCCAGAACATAAGGGGGAGCAAGGTGGGAAATTCCGAGGGGTGTCATAGGCGACGCGTATCATAGCGCAAGAGTCAGGTGCAGGCGTGAAGTTGCCAAGTCTTCAGACTTGGGGCTATGCAGCAGTAGTTCCGGCATGAATGATATAGAATAGAGCTGGGGGCAAATGCCAAATCCACACATGCCCACACCACAACAAAAATATACACCCACACTCTCTCCCTTTTCTCACATACACATACACTCACACGCACGTCCGCACACACATTCTCTAAATCTCTCTCTCTCTCACACACACACACACACACATTCATTCTCTATATCTCACACATGCACACGCACACACACATTCATTCTCTATATCACACACACACACACACACGCATTCTCCAAATCTCGCACACACATTCTCTAAATCTTACATACACACACACATTCTCCAAATCTCACACAAACATTCTGTCTCTCTCTCTCTCACACACACACACACACACACACACACACACACACACACACACACACACACACACACACACACACACACACACACACACGGCCACAATACTCATCCTTTCATTCTCACACCTACCGCACACATACTTGCACCCGCACTTATCCAATCACCCACACGCACTCTCTTTCTCACGAATGCACACAAACACACACACACACACACACACACACACACACACACACACACATGCGCGCTCACACTCTTGTACTTGTACTTGTACTTGTACTTGCTCACTGCCAAAACTGGTCACGTGGGTCTCCCCGGGAGAGGGGAGAGAGACTCAAAAGGAATCTTGGAAAGATGACTCAATTGGCTATTGAACCACCCAACGGCCGACACCCCCTGAAATCCCCAAACTAGGGTGGACTTGAAATGATCCCACTTATGGGCTCACCACACCTCAGTAAGTGGGTGAGGACAAGGTGCAGAAAAAGGATTGACGGCATCAGGGTATCCGTCCCGGGATCCAACTGCAGGTACCCCTGCCCCCAGTGAAGGTAATACTTGGTACTAGTGTGGGTGGCTAAATCAGAGTGGATCTGATATAATCTTCACTAGCACCATTGATTACACAAGAGTTAATCTAGCCAGAAGCAGTCCATGGTTAACAGGTATGTATACTTCAAATAGAAAGTATATGAACCCAGAAACCAACAAAGGTGGTAGGTACAACAATACACCTTCAAGCAGCCGAGCCCGTTGGCAACAGGCCCAACACTGTCTGGCATAAGTGTACCCACCAACCGAACTAGCTGGCTCACACTCACACACACTCACACACACACACACACACACACACACACACACACACACACACACACACACACACACACACACACACACACACACACACACACACACACACTACTACTACTACTACTACTACTACTACTATTGACAGCTGCCAGAAATGGCCACGCCGCTCCCCAAAGGGAGGTGCTGTCAGAGAGGTTAGGGGAGAGGTAGGCAGTGCTTCAAATGGCGCTCCAGGTCCTGTCGCCTCTGAAACTGGCGTTGACTACAGACTCGGCAATGATGTTCAAAGTGCTGGCGATCAGTCACTGTAGGGCGCTTCGGGCGGGGTCCACAGCGATGGCGCTTGAGGCCAGCAGTAGACTTGAAAGTACGCTGGCAGGCAGTACACACCGGGACCTCGGCAACAGGAGGAGCATCAAAAGGCGGTCGGTCGTCACAGTTGTCACTCCCTAGGCACTTATGCACTGCAAGCCCACCCCTGCTCCGGAGCCATCTACTGCAGGCAGGACACTGCACCGACCCAGGCTGCTGTGATACGGGGAGCTGTCGGACTGCTGTGCACTTGTGCCGGGCCATGTCGGCGCGCCGACGAAACAGGCGGCCGCAAACGTGGCACACAATCGTCTTCGGGGCAGGCTCCTTCACCCCCGCTGCTGCCGACACTATGTCACGCCACTCTCCGCGATCGTTGGCTGATTGGAACCAATTGTGCACACCGGCCACAGTCAGATCAGCCTGGACAACGTCCTTCCAGCGATGTCGGGGGCCGCAAAACGGGCGGGTCCGTGGAAGATGAGCGAAGAGCAACTGCTTGGGTAACCGATTGTTATCAAGCCGAGCTAGGTGCCCAAGCCACTCCAAGCGTCTTCGCTGTACCATGCACGACAGTGGAGTAGGGTCACCCCACTGTGTGCGTAGTTGCTCCGATGTAATGTGCTGCTCCCACTGGCGGCCGCGCGAAATGCCAAGGATTGACCGTAGGTTGGCGTGATGGAACCTGTCCAGCTTGTCCAAGTCCGACTTCAATGGGGTCCAACACTCCGAGCCATACAAAACCGTGGTGAGAACACATACCACATACAAATGCCGTCGAGTAGGCAGGTTCAGGCTCTGATCATGTAAAATCCGCCGAAGACAGCCAAAGGCCCTGGCACCCTTCGCAAGGCGGCTCTGGACATCGGCATGAGCTCGCGAATCCGGAGTTATAACAGATAACACACACACACACACACACACACACACACACACACACACACACACACACACACACACACACACACACACACACACACACACTTGGCAACGGGACTACCAGCTAGATTCACTTGACCTTGCGCGCAAAGTTACAGAGGTAGAACTTGTTTTCATGACGGCACTTGGACACAAGCTCTGACCTCTTGTTGAGGGAGCGGGTCTTGTCGGCCCAGGCAATCTCCAGCTTCTCGGCCAGACACAGGTTGCAGCGCTTCGAGATGTTAGAGTATGGTGCGGCTCTCCTCACAACGGACCACTTGATACTGTCTGTAAGGTTTGTTTTCATCCTTCAGTCTCCAGATGTGTCTGGACAGTCTCGTTGAGGTCTCGTGCTTCTTGTGGCGAATAGTATGTTGATGACCATTGAATCGTGTCTTGAATGTCCCTTCCGTTAATCCAGTGTACTCCTTCATGTCGCTGCCGGTTACATGTGCCCTGTACACAATGCTCGATGCTAGACAGTTTCCTTCCAAGGGGCAATCATTTTTGACACGGCAGTTGCAGGTTCTCACATCCTTGGTCTTATTCTGGTGGTCGCTGCGGAGGATACTATTGTTGTGTTGCTTGATGATGGTGGCGACATTTGGCATGCAACTGTAACTGAACTTTAGCGTGTTCCGGTTAAATATCTTGTATAATTTGCAACCCTTGTGGAAGTGCTTGCTGACGAGTTGCAGGAATCGCTGACCAATGTTCGTGGACACATTCTTACTGAACGGTGGGTTAAACCATGTGATATTCCGGTGTCTCTTCCTTTGTCTCTTCCTTTTCCCACTCTTCCGTTCCTCCAAGAACTGGACGGTCTCATTGTACCCGCTGTCTCTGAGCGCATTGTTGTACATTTGAGATGCGTCCTGGAATGTCTCCTCATCCGTTGATATGTCCGTTAGTCGTCGGCTGATGGAAGAGGGCAAGTTCTGGATGATGACTGGTGGGTGGTTGGATTTGTGATGGACATACAGTGGCCGGTCGTTGGGTTTCCGATATGGACGGTAGTTGCCAGTGCGTAGGTCCAGCGTGATGTCTAGGAAGTCGACTGATTTCAGGTTTGCCTGGATAGTAATTTTTAGTCCTAGGCTGTTGAAAACTTTGGTCATGTCCTTTCTGATCCTGTCCACTTCCGGTCCCGATACGTTCCGGAACACTGCCAGCCCATCGTCGCGGTAGAGTCCAATGTCACTGCCGTTGTACACCTCGGATAGTTTGGCCAGGGCCAGCGTGCTGACCAACTCACAGACTTCAGCACCGTCATAGCATCCCATCGTCACATCGAATACTCCGCTTCCCTTCTTCAACCACTCTTTCCCGAGGCCGAATAGCAGGGATTTCCGTGCATAGAGGATAGCTTCCTGGTCCTCCGAAGACACCGACGTGAAGCCTCTGGCAAACTCCAACGACGTTAATAATAGTTCTTCCGAGATAGACGGGTAGAACTCCACGACATCAAAACATACAAAAACGCAGTTTTGCTTTTCCTCCAGCCCCTCGAACCAGTCGATCACGGCGGATGTGTTCTTCCAGGCATTTGTTGGCAGTTGGCGCCGGATACCCTGGACTATCCTTTCCAGGATCGCCTTTGATACCTTTCCGACCTCGCTCTTCGCCGGATTGATGAGGCGGCATGGGAGGTTGTCGTTAAAGTTGTCTTTGTGGTCTTTTAGAGTCACGTACGCGTCCTTTTTTGCCATACTATCCATTCTCTCGTCCAATCCACGCGCATTGGCTATATTCCTAGCCTCCACATTTATGTCGTCGTATGTCTCTTCCGGTGCTTGCTTGTAGTTCTTGGTTACATTGTCATGCATCATTTTCTCGTAGCGGTCCTTGTTGACGGCATACATGTTCCTTGTCTTGTCCGCCGCCACGAAGATGTCGCTTGACTCCCGGATGTGAGCGATGTCATCCTCGAGCCGCCGCTGGAAACTGTCCGTTGTCCTTTTAAAATCTACACTCTCCATTCATCCATTCATCCCTATTCTTTTTTTGCCGTCATCAAGGCGGTATATGGTGTCGTATTGCCCTCGACCATACCTGTCCCGTACCGTACCGTACACTCAAAGACGGCTGGCCACAATGCATATTCAAATACTGTAAAACCCGAAAGTCTAACGACCAATTCTTTTTCGTTATTTGAAAAATACGTTATCGCTAGATGTCTGTGTTAAGATGCGCATACAGATGGGTGGCCAGGTAGCCTTCGTTAAACGTTCTGCACGTTATCATGCCAAAATTACAAAAACGTTAGACTTTTTATTCGTTAGACTTTCCGGTTTTACAGTAGGGCTTTCAAATACAAGATCATAACGTGAAGCAACTTGGAAGAATTAGTATGTATGCGAAGTGTATCGGGGGATGCATGCAGGGCGATAGTGCGGGTTCGAATCCCAGGTTATGTCTAAAAACAAAAAGTAGAAATTTATAAGAATTTATAACATCCCTATGCTTTTTTTGTCTAGGTCATCAAGGCAAAAGAGCATAGCGTAGGGCCCTGAGCTTCCAAGCTCTCTCATTGTCATTTGTACAACTTCCAGCCATTTCGTGCCGAATCAGTCCAAAAATGTAATGCAGTAAAACCTATCCAGGGGGCCACTACAATTAGTATCACCTGCCCCATGAGCCAAGAAGAAAAGACAGCATTACAGTGAACTGACCCTGGACAAGAGGACCATATCGTAATGACCCATGCGCTTATACGCAAGCTTCTTCGTATTTGTAATTTTTGCAGGTCGATTGGTCTCACACGAGGCGCATGTGCTTGTAATTGTGTTACCAGTATGGAATGTGGAAGCTGCACATTAAACCCTGTAAAGATGGTATAAGTAGGGCTGAAGCGATTACCCGGTACATGTATACCAATTACTCGGTCATCGATCGATAATTCCTCACAGTCAACTAATCGTACCAACCAATCTATCCTGGAAGAAATCAATGACATCATCGGAGCAAGGATGCGGCTAGCGAACGAAGTCAAGAAATTTAAGTTGATGTGGTTTGGCCATGTTACGAGACATGACGTTTTCTCCAAGCCCTTCCTGCAAGGATCAACTCCTGGATCTCGACCGAGAGGAAGGCCCGCGACATCATGGATTTCTAACATTAAAAGTTGGACGGGTCTTCCCTTGCGTGCTCTCTCTCATGCAGCACACGATAGAGTTGGATTCAGAGACATCATTCACAATTCTCTCGCTGATTAATGCCTCTACGATCACCTTGTGATTATGAGTTATACATACATACATACATACATACATACATACATACAACTAATCGTTACGTGAAAGATTACTCGTTAGGGATGTTGAGTCCAAAAAGTACTGGAAACCCCGTTTTGTGAAGTTTGAATCAGTTTCCACTGTGAGAATGCAGTTGCCAGGGTTATGGCTTGTGCTGTCCCCCGTGAATTCCGCGGCAGAATATCAGAAATTCCGTGCACAATTCTGCGGCTGAAAACAGTAAATTCTGCGCTAATTCTGCAAATCCTTCCAAATTCTGTGACACTTCTGCAAGGGAAATGAGCGTAAAAAGTTCTAAAAACAGATTGAATTTCCGCAACCCCACCGAAGTTTGTTGTCCCTATCAATTCTGAACCAAAATTATGCGAAATACTGGTCCAAAAATTGAAAGCTCCAAAATGTACTGTGCAAGTTGATTTTGAAAGTCACAAGCTGGTTAGTTTGGCTGTGAAATCTATCAAAAGTCTCCAGAAAAAGCAGTTTTTCTCCCTTTTCTGCAATATTCCGCGGGATTTTCTGAATTCTGAATTCTGTGGACACTACTGGATTTTGGGGAAATTCTGCAATCCGCGGAATCGCGGAATTCACGGGGGACAGCTTGTGTTATGAGGTTCAATTGAATTCAAAATACATTGTAGTTTACTTGTACATGTATACTAGTCATGACGCTTATCACGTATTGGTGCGGCTTTTCGATTTGTTGTTGTCCATGCAGGAGTCAGGATTATGCCGTCTTCTGAACATTGTCGCATGCGTTCCTTTAGAGCATGCTGGCTGCTCTCATGTTTTCCTTCCTGATTATGGACCTCAAGTGTGGATCAACTGGTCAAAGAAAAGAAGGAACGATCGTCATGGTGTACTCTCAGGCCAAGGATATGCCTTGTGAAACGTGCCATATGCAGTTACTAGAGTGGTCTCGTTCTTTGCAAGCTCTTCGGTCACAGGCAGTACTGTCACATCCAATGCAGAGCTGAACTGGTTAAGAGTATGTGCACACCCATTATGTGCTTTGCGGTGGAATGTGGTCCACCGTTTCGAACACAGTGTTCGCTGACCATTTACAGCTCCTTTGCAGTGGATCGTGTGAGTTTGGTCTGGTGGGATTCGTAGCCATGTATGTGGCATACACAAGCCACTGGAGACAGATTTCACAAAGTGTCTCTGTTTTGGTTGAGGTTTTCCCAATCATATTCTGTGCACATATCCAAGTACCTATCGAGTATCATGGTCATGGTCACTACATACAGACCCATGTCGCTCTCGAATATGGACAACAGTCTTCTGTTTGATAGCCAAGCCTGGTCCAATTTCTCTGTTTTTCCTTGCGGTTAGCTTTCGCCTCTGACCATCGTTAACCATCTCATTGTTGCGTCGTCCATGACGTGGCTGGCATCGGAGTTGGACGCTGCCCTGCCATCCACTGGCATAGTGTTGAACCCAGCTGACTTGTATGTCACATACTAGCTGGAATTTTGTTCAGTTTCAGTCTTTTACATGTATGTGCATGTACATGCATGTTCCTATCCTACTTGTAGACCCTTCTTCTTTCTCTCACGATTGCTGTGATGTCCCTGCCATCGATCGAAGAAGCTTGCCGTCCTTTCATCGTCTTCTGGCACTGTTTTACTTCTTAATGTCCAGATTCTCCGTGTTTCCATTTCACCACGTCACCAACCAGAGATGTCTATGGCAGACTAAGCATCTTGAGGATCACCCGCCGCGCCGGCTCACTGCCACTGTACTGGTGAGTGTTGTCTCGACCACTGTTGGAACTGTAAAGAAGTACCACTGCCATAGACATCTCTTCGTTGCTGACGTGGTGAAAAAACTGAAATGGTGGAACACCGGGAATCTCGACATCAGGAAATAAAACTACAAGACTGTCAAGAGCGCCAGTAGATGATGAAGGACGGCACAAGCAAGCTTCTTCGATGGGACATTATCCCAATGTACAGCACACTCGTACTCGATGGAGAAGCTTCTCTACATACCGGTTCATCCCAAGAAGGCTTGGCTTAGATCAGGAACCGAGCTAAATAAGGGTCAGGTCAAAGGTCAAGGGTTCATATAGCCTGATGTGCCAAATAGATAATAGTGATCCCAGATAGCACCTTCGGTTAAGTCTTGGGATTGCCGAGCTCGGGAGCTACTTGTAGGTCGTGGGTTCGAGTCTCGTCGGCGCCACACAAGTTCTGGTTTCATTTATGGCTTAGGATCCGTACCAGTTCCTCCCTGTTTGGTGTGTTCGCAGTCGGGTTTCAACGTGGATTTCGTACATGTATGTGTATGCATGCATGTTCCTATCCTACTTGTAGACCCTTCTTCTTTCTCTCACGATTGCTGTGATGTCCCTTCCATCGATCGAAGAAGCTTGCCGTCCTTTCATCATCTTCTGGCACTGTTTTACTTCCTAATGTCCAGATTCTCCTTGTTTCCATTTCCCCACGTCACCAACCAGAGATGTCTATGGCAGTGGTACTGCTTTACAGTTCCGACAGTCGTCGACACATCACTCACCAATGAGTCGGCGCGGCGGGTGATCCTCAACATTTTCAGCCTGTTCACCGTGACTCTTGTAACAGGATGGATGGTGAGTTTTGGGCGTTGTCGCCTTTCACTTTCTCTTGCACATCGGCAAGGCACAAGGCACGACATGTTTTCGGCTGTCGAATCGATGGACATTTATGCGTTCTTCACTGCCACTTCGGAAACTCGAGGTACATGTATGTTCCTCGATCGGAAAAGAACTTCCACACATCGTTCCAGATCAGCTGCTGACTCAGGTTGCGTTTGGTTGGGCATTTTCAGAATGTAAATGACAACCATTCTGGAATGGGAATCGGCAAGAATCACCTGACCAAACTAACGCGCCAGAATCAATTAGGAATCACTTGACATAACAATTCCATGATGTCGTTGTGGAACTGGGCTGTCTTTTCTTTTACCCGACTCTAGTTTCCTTGAGAGAGTCATGGTACTTCTGAGTGCATGATTTGAGGCACTTGAACCTGTTGCTACATTGTTTGGCTCGTGGCAGCCATTATCATTTTTGATTCCGGAATGAGAATGCTCATTCCAGCATGTGAGGTGGAATGATCATTCTCCAAAAAGAATCATTCTCAGCGATTCCCATTCTGGAATCATGTGGTATGTGACCAACCTAACGCACTCTTTTGACCAACCAAACGGGCGAGAATGATTCCGAGTGATTCCAAGTGATTCCCATTTGGGAATGTGACCAACCAAACGTAACCTCAGTACACACTGAAGTGCATGCAGTGACCCATTGTCTCCTTAGAACACTGACTCAAAATCCCCCTCCACGTTACAAACCATTTAAATAGCAAGAAAGAGATACAGCACCTCAATCTTGCCATAAGGCATAACGCTTGAATAATGTAAATCAGGATGCTTGTTGATAAATAAGCCAACCAAATTCTTCAGGGCACGTGAACACTCCTAGCTGCACATACCATTGGTAGCAAAAACCAAGGGCGTGAATGCACCTCTCTCCACATGTATTACCCTCTGCAGGTATGCTCTCTTCTTCTGTTGCTTATTCCTGGTTAGCTGAGCAAGAACCTCCGCTCTCAACAGCAAGGACGCTGAAGGATGAGTCACCCTAACATCAAAGAATGTGTCTTACTGCCGAGTCCAGAAGCCCCTTGCACAGATATCCAGACGAGCCTCCGGACGCCGGTTAGTCGTGGCACCAGGGAGCGCTTCACCCTCGAGTGGGAGCAGAGGAGGCTCAATTCGCACATCGGGGATGGCCGCATCCATGGCCTCGGCAATCAGGTCACGCAGAGCATTGTGCCGGAGAGTGGGGTACCCCCCAGTAGGGCACGTTGCCGCATGATCGACGCTGAGGTCCGCACCACACACGCACGAGCTTGGAATGTCCCGCAAGGGCCAGCCATATCGTAATGACAATGCATCAACAAACTCCACCTTGTTAAGAATGAAGCCACTCTCTGCCAGGGGCTCAGCAGTCAGCCAGCTTGAAACCCCAGGGTCAGCAGCACATTCCACCAGCAACCTCTGCTGATTGCACAGCCCCAGGGACATGTCCGCCTGCAACTGACGATATGCAGACGCACGCAACTTCTGCTCACCCCTGCGAAGAGCCCCTGCCTGAGCAATAACGACGGCCGGTGGAGCAGCATCAGATTTGCACTCTATCATGTCCACAATGGGCCGCGTCACCCTCAGACTCACTCTTCGCTGTTCACTGGCGTCCTGGGCAATACTCGGGAGGGCGAGGCCACCGAACCTGACAGGCAGTGCCAACAGTTTGCATTCAGTATCCGACAGGCTGGGACGATCAGTGAGGGCCGGAATCAGGTCTCTTCCAATGACACTATCCAGTTCATCAAAACACGCAGATTCTGGGTCTTTGTGAGATCGCAGATGATAGTGCCACTTCCCATGCAGGCCTCTGGTAAAAGCACTGTAAGCCGCATGTGGTTGCGTCCTGGCAAACGATGCCAACGCACGTACCTCCTTACTCCACAATGCCACATGACGGCACAGACTTCCAGTTATGTACTCCTGCGTGCCGATTGCGCCACCCAGATAACCGACACCATCACTCCGTATATCAATTGGTGTGTCAGCAAACAAGATCCTTGCTTCCTCCTCCAATCCAGGCTTGACTAGTAACTTAGTCTTAGCAGCATTTGGATTGTATCCATACTGTGGACCAAGGGAGGTGATGTCACGCAAAAACGCATGAACTGCCGACAGCCGACCACCAGCCTCGCCGTCATCCGCATACCAGCACTGCTGAATATCCGCGTGATGTTGCCGAAGGTCACGAATCATAGGTGTCACTGCTAACGCGAACATGGCCATTGCCAAGGAATCACCCTGACACGCGCCCTCCCGAGACAAAATCATGCCGCCGCCAGACAGAAATAGCGGGATGGGTGCACCATATGTATTGGCAATGAAGTTGGCCATTGGAGGACATAGGTGGCTGATGTTATGTAGAGCAGCTTTGCGATTAATTGCATAAAAATGCGTTGGACGCACCAATCAGGAGAATTGCCTCAGTCTCCACACTGGAATATTGAGACTGCACCGAGATAGTGGCAGCCTCACAAGCCGAGGGAATGTCAACACATAGCCCCCCCCTCCCCCCCCCCCCCATCCTCTTCCCTTGCTCTTCCGACAGCCAAACGTCGCTATGGTTTATTTTCTGTCACTTTCCTTGGCTCTGACCGCTGGAATGCCCTCCCAGCGGAGGTCCGCTCAAGTTCTTCCTTGCATACCTTCCGTAATTCTGTTCTTCATTTTTTAGGGTACCCTGTCAAAAGGCCTTAGGCCTGTGGGGATTGCCCTATCAAAAATTTAATAATAATAATAATGTAGAAAGGAAAAGGACATATGGATACGAGTTAAGAGTAACTCTCCATCACTGTAACTGGATACTATATACAGTCAGAAAGTGCAATAACTAGGCACAAAACTGACAAGAGTACTGAGACATTCGACGTCCTGACACCTAGCTTCAACACATCTCCGTAGCGCTAACCGACAGCCTTCCAACTTGGAAGGTTCAAGGTTATGAAAAGACCAAAGAGGGGAAGGCAAGCTTTGGTCTTTTCATAACCTTGAACCTTCCAAGTTGGAAGGCTGTCGGTTAGCGCTACGGAGATGTGTTGAAGCTAGGTGTCAGGACGTCGAATGTCTCAGTACTCTGTCAGTTTTGTGCCTAGTTATTGCACTTTCTGACTGTATATACTTGAAGTAGTATCCAGTTACAGTGATGGAGAGTTACTCTTAAGGTGGCGATCTACCTTCGCGGATAGTCCACCGTAAAATACAAACATCTCAGCCAATTCTCTTTGGAATTAGGTCAAATTTTCTGGAGACATTCATTATGTACCAAAGGACAAGGAGCAGCACAAATAGAGGACAGATTCCGCTCATGTCCATTGTTATTGCCGAATCGCGATAATTGGCCGCACCCGCACCTCTTAACCGCAAAATTGAAATATGCATCCATCAAGTAGAAAATAACCAATTGCTACAGCGTTCCTAACATATATTTCTGGGTATTGAATATCAAGAAACAGTTGCAAAGTCCTTTAGATCACAATGTCACAACAAAGCGTTTTGACGCGCGCATCCGCAAAAAAAGTCATGATCGGGTCCACAACCAATGTGAGAACAAGCAATGATAAATGGCTAAACGAAGACATTCACGAACTAGCTGATGCATCACAGAGCTCAGAAATGTATAGGTTTAGGGGTATAGCACCTACCACTTTGCCGCAATCGTGGTAGAAAAATGCGGGATAGGCTAAAAAGTTACCAAAAACACACAAAAAAGGTCTATCCAATTCCAGCCTACCTGCCTACAAATCTTCACATCAGAAGCCATCTGGCTCGTAGGTGACCTCATTTTGGTCTCCTTGATGATTAGTAATGCTCTTCTTCAGTCTTCTTTACTTCTTCCTTGACTTCTTTGTCACTTCCCACAAGTTCCCAGCTCTTCCTGGTTGTATCACAATGGTGTTACTTAGTGCGGTGCCGAGCAGAAACGCGATGCTATCTGGTTTCAGTGTTCAGCTAGAGTCTTCATTTCTTCTCTAAGGGCTTGTTCAATCAGGATCATTGCAGGCAAAATCAAGTCGGAAACCCAGCCTTCACTGGTGGCCTCTCTCCATGGGTATGGCAATATAGGTGCTGATGAATGAGGCATATCCAGGGTGCAGCCATGCCGTTTCCGTCACACATCACGGCGATCGCATGCGGTTGCAGCACTGCCACTTTGGTAAATTGCCTCAGGTCCAGCGTAGCAGATCACATGTCTGCTTCTGAACTCATCTCGGAGAACATGACCACAGATTGAATAGGATCGCGTTGCCGCCACAGGTCTTAGTATATATGGGCAGTAGAATATTGAAAACTATGCAAAGCGTCACTGGCGGTGATGAATTCGGCGCATACTAAATACAGGCCTGTGGACTTCCAATTTGAAATTGAATTTCTCAGAACTGAATGGACTTCTCTTCTCACCACACACAATGAAATCCCAAGGCAAATATCTGGGTTTGCCTGCTCGCTTAGTAGATCTACGATGGGATGTGGACTGGTACAGCTGACAGCATACTGATTTGACCAGAAATAGCAGAAATCACTCAATATTTCACAGACTAACTCCAGTAGGCTATATTTTGCACTCACTGCCTGACGCCGAAAGAGAGAGAAAAACTAATCACCACAATAGCTAGAACTGCTGTTGACATCGTCATCGTCAGAGTAGTCAGAGTTGGAGATGAAGTTGAAATACGTCTTCGCTTGGCAATTTTTTTGCCAATAAATTTGAACAGCGTCGTCAACGTCAGGGATATTTTCAGCGGATAGATGGATATCGAGAGCTTCTGGCAGTCATATAGGCTGCTTCGGACAACCAAGACGACGGACAGTACTCATTCCACCCGATCTTGGTGACAGGCGACGACGTGAGACGTCTCCAATAGACTTTCCAAACACAATTGTTTGAATTCTTCACAAATTATCGAATTATTGATTTGCGCATGCGCACTGTGTCCATGATGACGTAATATGTGCGTATTGGTATGGCATGAGTCAGCAGTGGTATTTCTGACGAGCACAGAAAATTTGAACAAAATCCACAAGGATTTACCGTGAAAAGACTGATTTCTACGTTTTCCCCCAAAAAGTTGCAATTGTGCGAGTCAAAGATATGTTACATTCGGTCTTTGCAAGCTCATAGCAGCCATATGGATAAAGCAATCTCACTCAAATTTTCAGAGATGATGTCTGGGATCTATACGAGCAATTTGACACCGCATTGGACGAAATTAGAGCAAGTTGAAAATTTCACAAAATTTTGACCCCTGAAGGTAGATCGCCACCTTAACTCGTATCCATATGTCCTTTTCCTTTCTACATTTATTTATGGCTCAACATCTGAGTTTCAAATAATAATAATAATAATAATAACATAGCTGATACGTGTGTGACTAGTAATATCAAGAGTACATTATGTACTCTTGGTAATATGCAGCAGCTAGTAGTACTACATGTACTTTGAAGTACAATGTAGTACATGTAGTACAGGTCATTATCACTCCCTTAGTATTGACTCCCATAGATTTTTGCGATATCTAAGCAGTCAAAATATTCCTGCATACATGTACATGTACATGTACCGTGGCATGTACTATTTCACTCCTTAGCCTTTATTTGACACCTTCGTAGGAACACATGCGCTAGGCCCATAGGCTTTGGCTAGCACTTGGTCAGCATAGGAAATAAAAAAACCTCGTATTAAAAAGACCTCGGCTTCGCCTCGGTCTTTTACTCGTCTTTTATTTCCGACCTCGTAGATCTACTCAGTGACCTGGTGACTCAGTACGACCGTAGACTACTCACTAGAGCCGTGTGGTGTGAACCATGGCCCATGCCATGGCCTAGGCTATGGCCAGTATGGGCATGGTGAACAGTCCCTGATAAGTGATATCACTGATGTCCAGTCTGTGTTGTCGTAGTGTTGATATGACTGGACAGCCTTTTTGCCTGGATGCCAGGATGGACTGGAGTCTGGACAGCTTCCCAGCGGCCAAAGACAAGTGCAGCGCTGAAGCGCAGGCCTGCAGGCCGGGCTGCATTTCTTTGCGAAGATTCATAAAACCGAACTAGAGTTGGACCGTGGAGCTGGAGAGGGATCACCTGTGCAAAACTAGTCAAAAGGCGAAATCTGGAGACGGTTTCACTTGATCCACATTTTACATCGGACTACCCACACCAATCGAGGTCGTAGTAAAGCGGAGGCTTGCGCCGCTATTCTTGTGACTCTTATAGCTGACAATTTGACGTTACAAGAATGCCGTTTTCAAGAGAACAAAAAGCGAAGGCAAAGGCCGTTCGCTATGGCAAGGGCGACGACGGCTTGGACTCGATGGACAGCTTGGTGTGCTGCAAACCGGGCGGCTGCCTGAAAGATGAGAAGAGCATCGCCAGTGAAGACAAGCCTGAGACTGAGCGCGTTGTATGCAGCTGGGAAGGCTGCACTCGAAGCGGAGTCATGCACAGGGTGTGTTTCAACGATTTCGAAGATCAGGTGCTAACATACCTGAAAGGCGCGGGACGCGCTAGAAGCTGGTCTGAAAAGCAACGACGGCAAAATGTTTGGAACAAGAAAGGATATGACCTGGCGTACAAGGCTTGCAACTGTGATTGTGGCAAAGGATTCCTGCGCAAGGATATGGACTACAGGCCATCTGTACTTGCGGACGGCGAGCCCACCTCCCTTGAAGATGACAAACGAAAGAAAAAATTGAAAAAATCCAGTGATAAGCCAGTCATAAACCCTGGCATCAAGTCACACACGCGTACACACAGTTCCTCGTCAGGCTATTCAACCAGTTCAAGCTTGTCTGGAAGCATGGGTGATGTTTCAAACTTCAGCATTGTTAGCGGCCAATCGGGAGTGTCACGTAAGTCATCAACGGAGGGCTACCTTCAGCGGCGGATGGACATGACTGCGTTTAAAAACGCTGTACCAAAGCATCGTATGAATGCGTACAACGTGCGCATGGACGATGAAAAGGATGCAGGTCCAGACGACTTGCGGCAAGTTGTGTCTACTGGCCTGATCTCGCATCGGCTTGGCAAGGTGCCTTGCTGTTTATGCCGTAAACAGCTTCCCGTCTATGATCGGTATCCAGTTGTGGATGGTGTCATATATCTGACACCATTGGAGCCGAAGCCACCGCAGCGGCTCATACCGCTTCGCCATGAGTCTTCTGTTGTCTACCTGTTGGCCGTGTGCCTTCAGTGCATTCTTGGCCCAAACCGCACCACATGCAGTAGCTGCTCAGCACCATGGATTGGCGAGCAGCTACTCCTCGGCTCGATATATTCGTTTGACATCTTCTCGGCATCTCCGTGCTGTGAGTCTCGCACCATTTGTGCTCAGTGCCACGAGCCAGCAATTCAGTTGACTGGTGCTAGCATGCTGAGCTATTCTCAATGTTCAGGCGTGTTCGGTTGTGAAAACTGTGGCTACGAAGACGCTCATCTTGTGCAGCCACTCTCCTCCTACGATGTTTCTACGGTGTCGGCGGCGGCGGCGACCGCAGCCGCAGCCTCATGATGCGTGCGTTTCAGTCAAGTTGGTCATACTACTTCCTGCTGTCTCTGATCAGTGCACGCTCATGCACTCAGGACTACTGCATCGCATTCAGCGGTCCACCGCCACCGTGAATGTTGCCAGCCTTGAACCAAAATCATCGTCATAAGATCCGTGTTACGATACTGACAATGTGCATTTTGGCATGACCCATCGCTACCGGCTATAATCCAGTATTTCTCTCTCTTGTATATGTACACGTGCATCTCATAAATCCACAGTCCACCCTCGGTGCCAGTCTCATGTTAATATTTGAATGCTGCTCGGACTTTATGATATGACCACGACTCTTCTACTAAGTCAGGCAGTTGCGCTGCCCTTTTAACTTTTTCCCGAGATTGTATCCATTAGAGTAAATGTGTGTTATTCCATGTGGTGAGCATAGTTTCGAGTAGTCATTGAGAAGCAGAGAGTTGGTCTTATTGATAGCTAAACATACTGCATGCGTATTATTCCTGTTCCCCAGTAGCATAGTCCACTGTTACTCAGCTTAGGGAGTCTGCATTCTTCATCAGCCAGCGTCAGAGCCTTCTGTACATAGCCCACCGCTTGCTGTCTGATGATTGCCCTTATGCGTTCGGAAACTCCAATTTCCACTGAGCTAGACTGCTTTTGCCCTTCTCTGCCTGTGTAGCGTTTCAGCTTCGTGTGAAATCATGACTATTCACTCACTTTTGGCTGTTTCATGTGGTTGCTGGCATGTTGCTCCATCCTTGGCACTGAAGGTGTAATTATTGTACCTCGACTCTCCTTCTTCTATGCTCCATTCCTAGCAGGTACTAGGTTAGGTATGCCTCATCAGGCTCATGAGTCATGGCTCAAGAGTCTGTGAATGGTTATCATGGTTATGTACAGTCATGTAACTGTAAGTGTAAGCTATGATTTCACAAAGCTGGCATGCCATGATGCCGGGCCAAGGATGATTTTTGTTTCTGATCTCTACAGGCCGCTGGCACTCGTGCACACAGGCAGTCGTAGATCTACAGTTTGTACGACGCCCTGGTCCAACTGCTAGATAGGGATCGAATACCTGCAGTGCAGAACTGAGGTGGAGTCTGTGAGCTGTACCAGCCATCCCCTAATGGGCGGCCCTATGCCTATGCCATGGTCATGCGGCATAGTATTGCCTACGATTGGGGTACACTGACTGTAAGTAATATTTTACAATGTAGTTTGTTGGCACAGTCAAAGGCATTGCGCTGTTGCAGTGCGCTCTGCAGTCATGATGATGATGATTGATCTGTCCCTGTCTTTCACTAACAGTAACACTGCAGTAACACATTCACTCACGCACAGGCAGTGTTGCCCAAGCGAGTGTTGTCTGCACATGTGGTGTACGGCAATTGGCTCGTGTCCCACCGGAGCCGCTGCTGAAGAGCTGTCACACCTGGACACGGTCGGCCAGGTGCTCACCACGCTAACTCTGAACTCGGAAGACCCAACTGTATTTTTTATTCGGGGCTTTCGCGCATCATCACGAATCAGCTATGGTGAATCAGTCGGTCTTGTAGCTGAGTGCGAGATGGAGAACGTCGTTGCTACTACAAAAGTACTGACTTACTGTAGCCGAACGGCGAACGGTTTGGTGACAGCATGCAACGCGGTAGATCTACGCGGTACGACACCCGGCAGCTACAAAGCTGAACGGACAAATGCAGTGCATCCTGGACCTGAACTGGCTGAAGCGCCTTTGCGTGGGTCGGGAGGAGGATCGGGGGTTTAGCAGCTGGCACGTCATGTACTACAAGTACAGTACAGTGTACAACTATACTGTACATGTGTATGATTGTAGAGGCGACGGTTTCAAATAGGAAATAGGTTGCAAACCGGAACGGACTCAATATTCACTTTCTCTCTTGGTATTTTGATTAGAAAACATATGTCACAGTGAGACTACGATGTGTTATACTCCGAGCCAAAATTTCATGGCTCTGCGATGACCAGAAGCGCCATATCAAGCAGGTGAGTTTTTGACGTGTTGCTTCGCACTGCGACTTGAGTTTTACGACTTTCGAAAAATCAACTTCTTGTCGCAGGTAAACAGCGGCTCGCCTCTCGACAATAAAGCACCGCATACCAATCAAAACTAATGGAAGCACACACAAGGCTTATTGTTACCCTGTACTGGCCGTCGTGGAGCGATAGCAGACCCAGAGTGAATTTGACGGGCACTCTAAAACGTGTCCGGTTTGGAGCCACCTCTGAACTTTTTTGAAGCGAAAAATTGGGCAACTTGGAGGCAATGGGTCAACACAAAGGAGTGGCTCAGTTCGATTGACTCTGGCCCCAGAGCAAACTTCAACATGCCAGTTTCCTTCCACAAACATATTTCGAGTGAAAAATCAACGTTGATGATCGTTTTGGGTCTATACAAATTTGGCTGTCAAAACGTTCCGGTATCGAGCCGTCTCCTCTACAATCAATAATAATATATTATAATTATGTAGCGTGTACCTAACTCATCACAACCACGCGCTCTTCAGCCGAACCATACAGACACCAGCAAGGACACTTCCGTTGACAGATAATAATTATTGCTCCACGCCTCTAGACAGCTGTTTCGCTCCCTGTCGGAGCTCATCAGTAGAGAGTAGCGTGTACCTACTATTAATACTATTATTTTGAAATGTGTGATTTTGCTGTTTTTCTACAAACGCTAAAATAATAAAAATTTTAGCGCTATATATAGCTATAGCGCGCTGCCAAAGCGCGGCGAGAATAAAACGTACAGAACATGAACAAAGAGTCGTTATCGGTCAGACTCATGGCGACTCGTCGTAGATCGTACTGCATGCAGTAGATCTACGTAGCCATCGCGGTGTGAGTCGGACTAGCGACGCCGCGGCTACACTTTTGAACGGAAAAAAGAAAGACGCAACTGGTAAATCCCAGAACGTGCAAAATGGGCTTAACTGAGCGTCTCAGATAAATCTCAAGTGAAAGAAAAGACTAAAGCCAAGCCCCCCCCCGGCCCCCTTCTCTCATTTTTACGCATGCGTGGGATCTACTACAAAAAACCTTTGCCTTTGGCTTTGGTTTCCGCATGCATCTGCCGCGCTAGCTAGACTCAGGTCGCGTGATATCGCGGTGCGCTGTGTCGACTCGATCGTCGTTACGACGCGTCTACTGCATGCACTGGCGCGGCCATGGGCCATGGCATTGGCCTTGGCAGCACTGCGTAGCCGGCTGCATGATGCATGGACTGACATGGAGGTCAACATACACAAGCTGTGCTGGGTGTACATTTTGATCGCGATGCATGAAACTGCACGCGGAACATCTTCTGTTGCCAACGCTGGCCCGTGCAGATCCGCAAACTCAAGTCTCTACGTTTGCATGCAGATTATCTGAGCAGGATTTTTGTGGCGTCTCTGCAGTGCAGTGCCTCGGCTCGATCTGTACGTGGAGTTTACAGTTGGCTCGTTGCTCTGCTTGCTCGGATTTATTGCTGTTCTGGGTTGCCAATGCCATCGTGATTTGGAAGGAGAGACAAAGGTGGCTGCATGGCGTCTGCTTTGGATAAGCTCACTGCTGCCAAGAACAGTTTGGCCGGTGACCAAGTGAATCTTACTGTTTGCAAGGCGACCAACCATGACGTTCTTGGTCCCAAGCGGAAGCACGTTGATGGTGAGTGTCTCTAGCAGACCAATTTCCCAAGAGTTTCTAGAAATGAATGATAGTGATCTCATCTGGGCGTGTACTGTGTCTTACTACAGTGCTCCTGACATGGTCGAACAACCCCAATTTGTCCATCCCCGACCTTGCTGATCGGTTGTTTGGCCGAGTTGCTGATGCTAACTGGATGGTTGTCTTCAAAGCCATGATAGTATGTCACGAGCTGATGGCGAAAGGGGGAGAGGTATGGTTTATTACATCGTGCTGTTTCCTATACGTTAATTGTGTAGTAATGAACCATTGAACTGCTCGAGAGTAAAGTGCTTGTAAAATCCCCCCGAGCAATATTTGTACATGAACTTACTTTATTGCAATTACTTTTAGTGTGGGGTATTCTTCATTGAATGTTCTTCAATTTTGTCATTATGTGATAAAATTGTTTCGAACATTTGGTATAATATTATGCTCTTCCCGAAAATTTGAATTCTAAATTGCCACATGGTGCGGCAATTTACATTCACGTGATAAAACGTGTACCATATGAATGCTACTTTGTACTCAGTTATTGCTCTAATGCAAACGAATTTAGGAGAATGCTTCCCTGGTACATGTACAATAACAATGTTTGGTAAATGTGAGAATACCTTGATCTCTGCTGTGGGATATCTTTTTGTTGAACATTCCATAGCCTATGTTAGCTGAGGGTCATGGCCCATTGGCCTCAAAAGTGTCTCTAAAACACGTTTTGAAGTTGCATTGAAGTGCCTTGGATTGTGACAAGGCTCAGAAGGATATGGGGACATTGCATTCCAGATTTGCCAGATAGGAGATTTGAAGTGGAAGTTCTGCCTATTTCAATACACAGTCTTCTGGCGACATTGGTCCATGGAAGCTGCAATGCTCTGTTTGTCCTGTGACCCCCTTGAAATTTGTACTCCTCCACCAAAATGAGAAACGTGAACTCTACCACTTTCTGGAGGCTACACACTCTTGCATGTAGTGTAGCTTGAAAATGCACACATTGCGGTCAAATGTGAGTAGGGACGGCTCTCTCTCTCTCTCTCTCTCTCTCTCTCTCTCTCTCTCTCTCTCTCTCTCTCTCTCTCTCTCTCTCTCTCTCTCTCTCTCTCTCTCTCTCTCTCTCTCTCTCTCTCTCTCTCTCCTAATCCATAATTTGTACAAATGTGATAATGTAGTCCCCACAATTCTTGATAGTCACTGGTTTGAGAGAAAGACGCAAACGAGAAAAGTCTGAAGAAAAAAATTGACTGTCATCACCAGGACTCTAACCAGGGATCCTCGCTCGAGGCCGGCGATGCTCTAGCCACTGAGCTATGGTGTAGTCGTCATCCCAGCAGAGATCGTTCAACATTTTCCTCAGACTTCAGAATTCTTGATAAACATGGTTTTATGCCATTACATGCATTTTCCATTTTGGTAATGACATCCCCATGGTTATCAACTATTTCACCCACTTCAAAGTACCGTAAAGGCACATCAGAATGCAATTACCCAATCACCGTAAAGGAAGGGTGTCTTGCAGTTGATGTTCTTGGTGCGTGCTGTTTACTCCTATGCCACACACAGTGCACAGCACATGTCCTGACCAGCATGAACCTTTATCCATCCGAGGGTGAAATTACAACTGTAGTCAAACTCGTGGATAACGACATCAGGCCAGCCACAAGATTTATGTTGTTACCTCGCGGGGTGTCGTTATTCACACTGTGCTATTCAAATGACTTTGTATGTAGTGACCATAATTGGAAAACATGCATGCGAAATTTCTGTTGAAATTATTCATCTAACTGCATTTTCTTGAGGATACTTTGACATCTTGCAAGGTATGGGTAGTAGTTTGCTGAGGATACTTTGACATCCTGCAAGGTATGGGTAGTAGTTTGCTGTGTAGTAGTGCCGTGGGTTTCATTTTCACACGGTGAAGGATCTATCACTAATGCTGTATTTTGTAACATAACGCTTCTTCCTGACTGCTTTCCCTTATTCCAGCGCTTCATTCAGAATCTTGCGTCTCGATCATCCAACTTTAATGTGACGTCCTTCTTGGACAAAGGCAACATTGTTGGTAGGTGGACTTAATCACAATATCACCAAAAGACTGGGTGGATTTGCATAATCCTTGCAGATTTTCATGCTGTGCTCTGGAGAATCGAATGGGATCAAAATGTGTGGTCTTGCTACTGAAGGGCGCGTGTGCACGCACACACACACACACACGCACGCACATTGACTTCGACCATGACACACAGCTGCTGGCTATGGTGCCGTCATAAAATAAACACAACAAAGAGAGGAATGGAGGTATGATTACAGCTTTGCGGTAGAGCACCCGGTCTCGTGCACAATAGGCTTAAGTTAGACCACGTGGTCTATACGACACAGCTTTTAGAGGTGTTTTTTCTGGCAAGTAGTTCCCTCCTTTTGGTCTAGCTTGTTTGTTTATCATACTCACATGCACATGCACATGCACACGCACACACACACACACACACACACACACACATATACACACACACACACACACACACACACACACACACACACACACACACACACACACACACACACACACACCATGTATACGCCCGTCGCAAGAGTAGCACGCAAATCTGCAAATGCACTGGATGTGCACCCACAGATTTTCTCTTTATAGCAACGATAGCGGATCTGATTCTGATTGAATCAGAACAAGACAAGCGCCAGATAACTGCACACACACTTTTAAAACAGGTTGCTGCCCATTTTTCTGCTTTTAGGCTATGACATGTCCCCGTTCATCCGTCGGTATGGCCACTACCTGAACGAAAAGGCCCTGGCATACCGACAAATGGGCTATGACTTCTGTCGGATGAAGAAGACGTAAGTGGAGCTCACTGTGTGCTTGTACTGCGTGTATGTCTCGCATGCTTTATGTATACATGTGCTTATCACTTCTGGTGTCACTCTCGTCACCCTTTCCTATATTAGTCTCGTATCTCCCAACAGTCCCAATCTCTAGCAATGATGTGCGATTATTTGGTCAAAGTGGACTTGTTGTGTTGTTGCTTCTTGCAGTGAGAGTGGCACGGAACTGAGAACCATGGACTTAGCAAAGGTACTATACGTTTATTTTGGCTGCGCAGTTAACATTTCAGTCTTCACAGCAATCCCTCCAATGTTTGCTGATGACCTGTGCTACTAGCCAAACACTGGGGGAGGGGGTAGCTGGGAATCTTATCCGAAGTATGTGGCATATACAAACCATTATTATGTGAAACATTGTACATGTACTGTAGAACGGCTAATTGTAGCGGGTAAAAATTTTAGCGTTTTCTGAATCTGGATCAATTCACGATGACATACTTTTGCGATCCAAGTTTCAGACTTTAAAAAGAAGGATGACTAGTACTGTACTGTACATGCACAATTGTGATTGGGGCGGCACAACTTTAGTGAACAGACTCCTTTCACTAAAGTCGCTATAATATCACCGTCGTTAAAATTAGCCGTTTTACAGTAGATGAGTTCTGCACAGGCATGGTTTTGCATTCTACTAGGATTCTCTTCAATCTGAGAGCTACCAGCTCAGGACCCTCGTTATGCTGATCCAATAGTAAAATGTAAAAATGAGAAAGGACACATGGGTTACGAGTTACGAGTAACTGTCCACTGCTGTAGCAAGATAATGAGCAGTCAGAAAGTGCGATAACTACGCACAAAACTGATAGACTACTGAGACATTCAACGACCTGACACCTACAGTGCTGGCAACTGAAATCCGACCACTGAGCGGTGCGCGCTCACATCGCAACGACCCAACACGGGGTTGTAAAACTACGAAATAGAGACCGCTAGAATGTTAACGCACCGCTCAGGGGTCGGATTTCAGTTGCCAGCACTGTAGCTCTAGCTCTAACTTGTTACAGTAGTGGACTGTTACTCGTATCTCATAGCCCATGTGTCCTTTCTCATTTTGCAATATGGAGATCGGGACGGGCTTATGTTCTTGCATTGCAAAGACATTTCTATCAGCTCGAGTAACATGCACGATGCTTCACGCTATGATCCTGCCGTTGAAAGCCTTGTTTGAATATGGGGATGAGTGTGGGTGACCAGCTCTATTTGACCGGTACAGGACAGTACGGGATAGCGCGCCAGGCCTGGCGCTCACGTGATCATGCCCGATCGTCTGGACACACACACACACACACACACACACACACACACACACACACACACACACACAGCAAACACACACATACGCCATGAAAGCCCTATTTGAATCTGTGGGTAAACACGGGTGGCCAGCTCTCTTTGACGGTACGGTATGGGAGTGTCTGCTCCAGAGCCGTGTCAGCCAGGTTAGCAACCCGGTTGGGAGGCACTTGGACCCGTTTGGAAAAAAGACCCGGTTGAGAATACATAATATTATTATACATCAGGGAGTCCTAAAATATTTACTTCTCCCTGATGTACATCCAGTAGCCACACTTATACGTACCTGGCTCTTGACCCGGTTGGAAGAGTTGTGCCAGGTACTCTAATTTCAGAAATTTTCGGTGCTCAATATTTTCGGTATGAGGGCAACAGGCCAGGTTAGGTGAACAGAAATTTTTGGTACAGAGAAGCAGTTCCCTATTGGATTATGTGTATTAGTGTTTGTTCGGTGTATTGAAATTTTAGGTATGAAACAGACGCACCGAAAGTACCGAAAATAAAAGTACACCGAAAATTTGTGAAATTACAGTACACGTGTACCTGGTTGGTTTGAAATCCTAGAGCATACACTGGGGACATGTACGGAATTGTGTGCAGACGCTACCACCGGTATTCATACCGTCTTTTGCATAGCTTCGGGAATACAGTAGCTCACTGGTTGTCTCCCGTGCCCATTGTGTTGTGTTTGCACGCTATGTAGTTGATGAAGACCCTTCCCGTTCTACAGAAGGTCTTGGATGCCTTGGTTGATTTCCAGGTAAGTGTACGTGCGTGGGCCGTGGAGCATGTACAGGTCATGTGTTGACATGCTATTCTAATCGGTCCAATTTTATTGGAATGAGCGTGGTGCGATGGAACCAAGAGTAAATTAATAAGCTCCCGGGAGTGTGCAACATGCGCTTGAAAGTTGTCGGAGCTAGTATGTCTCCATACTGAGGACTATGTGTGCCCCCACCCACACCAGTACATAACCGAACCTGTACCAAAGCAAACCTGGAAATCTTTCCTCTTTTGGTAATTAGGTAACGTTTTACCCCTTGTGTTCTGATGATAATTTGTGCGATACCCTATCGCATGCTGGTCTTCTCCTTTTTTATACTGTTATGTATCTTATATGTTGTACTCCTTTCGTTGCTGCAGGCTCACCAAGGAGAGTTGTCGAATGGTGTCATTAACTCGGCATTCCTTCTTTTATTCAAGGTATGTTGTTGTCAGTGGGAGTTGCAGGAGTATACAGTCCATTAACCCCAAACTGGCACCGCAACTTTGCTAGTGGTAGACGTAGTGAATATAATTATATCCTGCTTTGGGTAACTCCTACAATCCTTCCTTGCCACGGTTGAGTCTGGAAGAGTAGTAGTCAGTCTGTCTGGTCATGTTTTTCTTGGACCCAATATTTAGTCTACCAAATTTGTTTCATTCATTGGTCTGAAGGACTGAAAGGGAAGTCTGATAAAATTGACTGCCGCCACCAGGACTCCAGGGACCTTTGCTACAGTCCGGCTGTGCTCTAACCACTGAGCTATGGTGCAGCCATCAAATTTGTTTTGATAGGAATTGTGAAGTCGCGAAGTAGTGGGGAAAGTCGTCAGTGAATCTGTGGCATACCTGAGTGCTTGAGTGGTTCAATAATCTTTCATTGGCCGAACCGACTCTGCATGGAGTGTTATGCACCTGTATTGTCTTGCTCATTCTGATATACATGTAAGCACTGGTGTTACTTGTGATACGGCTAAAAGCCTAAAACCTATCGTACGTTCAATAATTGTTCACTTCTGTCACACTTTACAAAGTGCATACTGATAAATGTTTTGTTCATCTTGTTGCAGGATCTTGTGAAATTGTTTGCATGCTATAATGACGGAGTAATAAATCTTCTTGGTAAGTGGCTAGCTGTGTACAACTTGCTGTTTTTTTGATGGCACAACTTATTGCTTCTGCCTACTTTTCACAGTTGGGCATGCCAGATCTGTAGAGAAAGGCAGAAGTACAGTAGTTGAAACGCATTTATGTGCATCTTCTTGTTCCGTGCCTTCCTGTGGCGGACACTGGATATCCGGGGGGGGGGGGGGGGGGGGGCAGCCAGTTCAGTATGAAGTACAGTCGTCCCTCTCTAATCCGGCACTTGTTTATCCAGCACCCTTGCAAACCAGCACACTTTCTGGCAAAACGGATTTTTTCAGTTCATTTTCTACACTTTAATCCGGCACCAGGATGTACACAGTAACTAACGGATGGGACAGAGGCATTGTACAGATCACGTGCATTTAGCACTTACCATCGACCATGAGTTACAAACCTATCGCCGTTGTCTGTTATTCTTGTTTTATTTTTTGATCTTTCGAATAGATCCCGTGCATTGAGCACCTATCATCGAACATGAGTTATGTGCCTATCGCCTGCTGTCTTTAATACATTTATTTTTTTCTTTTATTTATTTTTGTTTTCCTCTCTGCCCACTCTGCCTGTCTCCTGGCACATGCGAATACGTGGACTTACCGTTGACGTAAACGCGGGCGTGCATATAATAATAATAATAATAATAATAATCCGGCACTTGAATTCCGCCTCCAGCAGCGATTTTCTGCAACAAATCACTCAAACTGTACATAATTCGATTTTCTAATCCAGCAGTTGTACATCACATACTTTCAGGGACCATTGTAGCATACACAACACATGTAACATACACTTGAGAGTATCCTATGCCAGTGCATAGAATATTCCCGGCAAGTGTATGTTAAAGACATGCATTCCACAAAGTACTTGGATTGACACAGAAAATCCCTACGTTTTGACGTACGACACAAACATGTATGTTAACATGTGGGTCGGGTTGGAGGGCAGGTTTTGATAATCCAGCACCCTTGTTTATCCAGCAGAAAATGCTGTTCCAAAAGGTGCCGGATTAGAGAGGGACGACTGTACGCTCCCAACTTACCCAGGGGTGGGCAACTCTGTATGGGCTTTCGATTGGGTCCGCCAACTGTGGAAACTAGCATCACGTGGTGTAGTGTCCACGTTGAATGGTCCCAGTCTGTTTTTAGCGAACCGTGGAGTTGTAAAATAGCACTCCCCGACAGTAATCCACGCAGATTATGCGAGGCATCCGCATGATGGTCGCAGATATCCGGACGGCATGCATGCTAGCCTACGCTGTGCGTAGTACGAAACATTCTTGGAAGACTTGATGTGGAGTTTCATCGTCAAAGACCCCATGTCCAGAGTTACAGTCTTGGGAGCTTATTTAGTCTTCGTACCCTGAATATAGCATAATTGTCTTTCTATTGGCACTGGGCAGAATTATCGTGCCTTTATGAACCAGCCCTCTATTACTGACTATTGACTGCATTTTCATTGAATGGCATGAGAACAAGGTACAAAATCGACGAATGAGAAGGGGATGCTGCCCCTCTACCCCCTTTGGCTAGAACCCTGGAGAGTATTTTTTCACAGTTTTTATTTTCTTGTGTCTAGTGTCACACGTTGCGCACTCTTTGGACTGTTTTTCCACCTGCAGAGAAATTCTTTGACATGAAGAAACCCCAAGCGAAGGAATGCTTGGACCTGTACAAGAAATTCCTTGTTCGCATGGACACCGTCTCAGAATTCCTGAAAGTGGCTGAGGTAGGCAACTGTGAAATTTGCACTGCACTTTCTACGTATATATAATGGTCCAGTGTGGTGTGTTGAGTCTGGTACCTTGCCTTTGATCTACAATAGGACTGCAGTCATGTTTGCGTGGTGCATGCATGGCTTTTAGCTTTGCGTTTTCTAATCTGTTTCTATTTGGGTTCTGCGTTCACTCCGTGCAGAACCTTGGAGTGCATAAGGACGAGCTGCCCGACTTGTCAAAGGTGAGAGATTTCTTTGTTTAGGCTCAGGTTGCACTATCTTGTGCCATGTGCTCCTGTGTCTCGTTTGGCTTTCACTCCGCACAATATTTGTTGTAGTGTGGTTTTGTAACAATTTTGGTTGCTTCCAACACTGGAGTTCGCACTTTCCCGCCATCTTGACTGTATACTTGAATTCAACCAAATTCAAAGGATCAGTTGGGGAAGTGAACTGCCTGAAAAGAGAATAAAATGCCAGACCCTCCAGGACTCGAACCCGGAACCTTGCTTGTCATAAGCAACGCTTTAACCATCTGAGCTATGGGACCAGGCTGAACCTAGAAGGCGCTGACAAGTTTTCACTCCAAAGGCATTCACTTCCCTGACTGGTCCTTTGAATTTGAAGTTCTCCCAATCCTCTCAAAATCAACCAAAATTCTTATAATTATTGCCGAAGTCACTATTAATTTTCGTGGCTTTGTAACATTAAACTAATATAATTGTACTTTTACACCGTTCAGGCACCAGGCAGTTTACTGACAGCCCTCGAAAACCACGTTCAGACAGTGGACAAGAAGACCCACCAGTCTCCGGCAAGACCTGCAGCAGCTGGGTAAGAATTCTGTTTTTGTTTGACGCGTACTGCTTGTATGTTGATGAGGGAAACAATGGAAAACTGTCTCGTATGCCAGTTGCCTAGTATTTGGACACATTTAACATATCTGTCCAACTTGTTATGGAATGGACTCGGATGGAGGTGGTGTTAGTGGACAGTATACCGTAAAGTACCGCCAGAGCGCCCCACCATCTCATCCTTTCGTGGTCGTAGCGTGGAGGTGGTCTGCTGCCTGTAGGTCATACGACATGAACCTTGTACACATATTCTTAGCCTGTCACCAGGAAACCCTATAAGGGTTTGACATAACGCTACACATAAAGACCCTATATATAGGGTTAGGACCCCTAAAGAAAGGGTTTGATCAGTCCTCACAACTGGGCACACAATACACACAGTTTCACTTGGTTTTTTTGATATTTTCACTGCATTGCCATTGATGTTAGCAGGAGCGCTCCTACGACGTGCGCGAGTGTCGCCGCATTTGCTGTTTCCGACCCACGTGTGGATCAGCTGATGCAGAAACGGCAATGGCGGGAGCGGCAGCTGCGACAGCCGCTGTTGATGCTTCGCCTTCTTCTTCAGGAGCATCCGACGCTGCTGGAACATCGACATCATCATCCTAAGTCAACACCAGGTCGCCAGGAACATTCTCATCGCCCGAGTTCGTCTCCACTAACTCAAGTTGCTCTTCCTCCATCGTGAAAAATCAAACCCTAGATATAGGGCCTAGAATTTTTTACGACAGCGCTGCACTAAAACTAACCGTACTCGAAGAAAATAGCAACAAAATGTTCACGGTCTTCAGCAAGAGAACCCTTCGTACATTCTACGTATGTGGGCACAGGCGTCTAGTTGCCATAGCAGCCAAGTGGGCTCTCAAGAGAGCACAAGATAGAACGCGCGGCTGCAAACCCTATAAATAGGGTTTGACAGGCTAAGAGATTGCACGGTTTGCAGTCAATCCGTACCTTCGAGTGGACGCAAGCTCCACACAAAAACCTGCCAAGTGTGACCTTAGTACACTAAGATTCTCACATCGTACACACTTCGTTGCACTCTGCCATACGATTTTCCTTTCTCTGGCTGTAAAATCAAGGTGGGGCGCTCTCGCGAGATGGGGCGCTCTGGCGGTACTTTACGGTAGTTGTAGTTCCTTGGTCCTTTTTTTCTATAAACTTGTTAGTGTGTCTTACTTACTTGCATTTTATGGTCCGGATTGTGCTGTGTTGTATGGAGGCTAAGTTGTATGTAACCATCAGGCCTTTCCTTTCTCTGTCATACTCTTGTGTTTTTTCTGTATCTGCAGGTCAAGTAATGTCAAGGTTGGATCTCTTGTCTTGCCAGCCAGTACTGCAGCTGCTCTTGGTGTTAGTCAGGATGCTCCCCAATCAGCAGTTACAGCATCACCCACCTTGCCTCCGCCAGGCCAAGCGAATAACCAGCAACAGCTTGCGGAGAAGAAGAGGCAGCTGGAAGCAGAACGTGAACGCCTTCTGGCACTCAAGGTAAAGCCTGTGCCTTTCAGTATTTAGTTGGATTGCAGTCATGTTCTTCCTTACCCTTGCTGTCTATGGGGGCTTTTGTGCATTGAATTGATTGGGGCACTATCCTGATGGCCTATAGTATCTCTCGGGTGATGGAGCTCACGAATTCCCCTTTTTCAGTTTTTGTCAGCTGTTGTTTGCATTTGTCGTCATTCTCTAATTTACTTTGGGGTTGAGTGTGGAGAGTCTAGAGGTTGTCCTTATGATGAGCTAGCCCCCATCTGTACGCAAGCGTTCATGTAGCACTTGTTTGCTTATTCGAGATCAAATGCGCTGATTGGTTTTCAGATACTAACATTACATTTCCCTTGGCTTAATCATTGTGTTATATATTTCTCTTGCTTTGTGCATCTTTTGCCAGCAGCAACAGTCAGGTGCACCAGCATCGACATTGCCTCCTAGTCAGCCGCACCTGGCACAAGTAGCCGCCGCAGCACCCGCTCCAGTTTCTACAAATCCACTAGAGGATCTAGCTGGTCTTTCTCTGGGCGGTGCTGCCCCAGCTGCAATGCCATTCCAGGCACAACACGCTGCCAGCCAAGATCTCTATGCCCAGCCGATGAAGGGCCCCAACATGGGCATGGCACAACACGCTCCTAGCCAAGATCTCTATGCCCAGCCGATGAAGGGCCCCAACATGGGCATGGCACAGCAGCCACAACAGCAACAAGCATTTGGTGCACCAACAGCAGGTTAGCATTGTTGTCTTAAAGTTGCATCTGGATTCTAAATCAAGCTGCTGTGTGAAACCCGTCGTTGCAGAAGGACATGTGCGGAATACTTGAGTCCAATCTGTTCATTCCATAACAGGCTGTGTTGTCCATGGACGGGTTGTATGAATGGGTAGATCTAAAATGTGTCTCCAACTTACTGGTTTTCTTGATTGTTTTCTTTCCCCTTCATGCAGCATCAACTAATCCGTTCGGTGGTGCCGGGGATGATTTATTTGCAAATCCTCAAGCTCCTCCAGTAGCTGCTGCGCCGGCAGGTTCAACCTCCGCACCACTTGGTATGGGCGAAATTCTACAGCCGCAGGTTATGGGAGAGTTTGGAACGAAAGAAGAGCCCAAGAAACAACAAGGCCTTGGAACGGATCTCGATAGCAGTCTTAATATCGCTGCGCAAGGTTTAAGTAAGTGAATCTTTTGGTTGTGGTCAGCAGTAATATCTTGAATTGCCATCAGATATCCCCACCACTTGAGCGAATCCAGAACCAGTCGCTTGAAAGTAGTCTTTGTACACGCAAGGCAAGACATCACAGGCTTCTACCTTCGGGTCGGGTTCCACTGCTGCTCCGTGGCACTTGGTTGCATGCAGCGGAGCAGCGCGGTTCCACCGACACTCACCATTTGCAGTACTGCGGTTGATGAAGCACTCTTGCGTGAGTGTACGGTTATGGTAGATACAAATTCCCGTAAATCTGGCTGTCCAACCTGTCAGTTCTCCTTAGTTGAGCGTACAGTGACTGGCCCAAGCGATCGTAATGAAGTTTGTGACGAGGAAAGCTTTTATAATCCAGCTCAAAACGTCACAGTCAGAGTGTGCTGAGACAATTACAGCAAGCTTTGCACTTGTCTAAGGGCCATAATGCCTAATGGATGATGATGATGCAAACCAAAATAATAGTGCTCTGCCGAGACAAGGAGAGGCAACGAAATACATTGACGTTCTGCTACATTGCTCCCTTGTACAGAGAGGTGGAAATGGGTAGTAAAGTGCACTTTGTTTACGCGCCTCATGCACTGTACTGCGTGGCATGTGTGAGCATTCTTTACATCCATTATTTTTGTTTTCTCTCTATTTTCTCTCTCTATTTTCTCCCTCTCTCTGTGCAGCACTGAATGGCCAGTTAAGAAAGTAAGTGCAACTACGCAACTGATGTGATGGTTACAAAGGATGTGTGCTTTACGTGTGCGAGTGTGACCATGGTTTTTTAGAGAGCTTGTTTGGTATAGTAGAATGGGGCCGTCCAACCACTACCACCAGCAACGTTATGTGTAGAACATCTATCTAAATGTACTTTGCACCAGCGTGGTGGGCATTTACAGCGGATATTAAGGTAAACGTTTTCTGGTGGTGTCCTTGGCTCTGTGCATTTGTAGGCAAAATCAATTCCAGCCGCAGCCGACAACAGCCCGGACGGGAGGTGCAAACTGGACACCATTGCAGCAGAGTTCAACTGTAGCACCTGTAAGTCATTCCTTCTCTCTTAATCTCATCTTGGACGAATAAAGTTCACAATACCGTAAAGTACCGTTGATCCTCCCCCTCTCTAATTTCTACCTGTGAAGTGTCTTCTGTGTATATGTGGAAAGGGGGTGTTGAACGGAAATGTACCCTGTTGGAGACGATACATGCCAGTGCAGGTAGGTCTGCGGATTAAGGTGTGCGCAGTCCAGCACGCAAAGTCGTATCTTCCACGTTGTACAGTTGACAGCCTCTATCTAATTCTAGTCCCGTGCCGAAAACCCGGGTAGCGATGCCACGTGAGGGTCAGATCAACGGTACTTTACGATGCATGCCATTTCTCTTGAATGGCTATTAAAATACAGTACTGGCCAGTGAAATGCAGTTTGTCCTCAGGTATAGCGCCCAGCACACTGCAGACCAGTGTATATGTATCATAGTACGCGAACAAGTTGTGCAACAGCAATTTCGTATTTTTTCTGGCCCATTGACTTTATGAAGCCCATGTGTGTCAGTATACTGAAAACCTCTCTGTTTTGTTTGCTTCAGGCACCAGCAATGACGACTGGAATGGCTGGGAACTGGGGTTCCGGCGGAATGGTGAGGAGAGATATGTCTTACTTTTGGTGTGTTATTATTATTATAGTCTTCGCCAACTGTATTTAGCTTTTCCTTCTTACTATTAACAATAGTGTGCCTTCTATTGCAGCTGATGTGGACAAGTATTTTGTGTGTGTGTGTGTGATGCCTTGCAGGGGGGCATGCAAGCCGCTGCTGGCAGTGGTGGTGCAATGTATGGTGCCCCAGCAGCAGCACCGATGGGCATGGTACCAATGCAACAGCCGGCAATGGGTGCAGGAATGGGTATGGGCGCTGGCATGGGTATGGCTCAGCAGCGTCCCATGTTCGGTGCTGCTGGCATGGGAATGCAGCAACCAGCAATGGGCGGTGTAGGTATGGGAATGGGTATGCAACAGCCGCAGCAAATCGGTAATCCTCAAGATCCTTTCGGCCCTGTGCCAGGTGCTCAGGTAAGCCGTAGATAGTGCTCTCATTTTTTTGTAATCCTATCAGTATTAGGTCTGGTTTACATTGTATTCTTGTGCAGGATTGTGTGATAAGAGGTTCAGCAACTTGTTGCCAACGCCTAAATGAAGCGAAATCAATTTCGTGTTGTTTTGGAGTTGTGCTGCATGCTTGCGATCAGGTTCAGTGACTTGTCGACGAGGTCAACCCCGAGTGCAGTGCGGTTGGGTGTTGAATTTCTGTGGCCAAATGTCCACATGCATAATGCTACGTACCAGTATTATAGAATGTACCCTACTTCCTTTCCTCACAGAAGACTTTCTAATTTGGGGTGCAATCTCAGAGCTCCTTGTGAATCCAACAGCTTTTGTTAACGATTCCTATTCCTAGCCACGAGATCTCAGCGACACTCCAAGTCTAACCCAGACCTGGCCCAATTACTCGCTTTGTGTGAAACAAGCAAATCTCTAAACCACAGTACAGTGTTGCCTGATGATTGCGAGAGCATGAAACTTGAAGTAGCAGCAAACAAGCCTTGATTGTCCTTGTTGTTTTGTGCTGTACCACTATAAACACTGCATGTACTTGGATGTACTGTGCACATAGTACATGTGTGTGTGGGGGGGGGGGCAAAATTAAAATGGAGAGAAATTATTCAAGAAAAATTGAAAATGGGGAAATGGGTGTTTACTGGCCAGGAAAAGCTACTACAATTAACAGTCTGTTGGAGACCAGTCTAAAAAGTGAGTGGCGGTCAATTCATCGGTCTTGCAAGCAGTTGAACGGTATAATTCCAGCACAAGTTGTGATGTCTATTATTAACACAGCTTGTTTGTTATCATTCCTCTGACGATGGATATGCGTGTGTGTGTGTGTGTGTGTGCGCGCACGCGCGCGCGCGTGTGTACACGTGGATGTGCGTCTCTAAAGAATGATGTCATGGTAGTGCTCCACCGTATGGTCACTTGAAATGTTGTTGACACTGGATTGGCATGTTCTTGTGTTTCGATACCTTGCTTCTTCTCTATGTCTGCAGAGCCACTTCTAGTATGTATGATGTCTTCTAGTTCCTGGGATGGCAGCTTCAGCGCTGGCCTCCCCAATGAGATATTTGCAGTCTATCATTGTCGTCGCTATTGTCGTTGTCGTCCAGAGCTGTATGTGGGTGGTTAGATGCACTCAGTCAGCCTCATCCTGCACCACTTCATGAAAATATCAATACATTCAATTTCACAGCCAGCCCACAATGCACAGACGCTTTTCGGGTTTCCCCTTTTCTTTTTTTGTATATTGCCATTGTTCTGTTGTTTGTGGAATTTGAAATGCTCTTTTATTGCTCTCTTATCTTGCGTAACTTCGCTACGTGCCTGGCTCTTAATCAGCTGGTGTGCTGTGGCTTGCGAGTGTGTGTGCGTGTGTGTGTGTCTGCGCTTTTTTTTTGTTATGTTGCCTGCCAGCATCACAGCTGGCTATCATACTTGGTATTAAATATTATTCTTCTAGTTGATTGTGCTGGTGATTTTGCAGAGTGAATGGCATTGGGTATTTATCCAATGACGGTAGGCCCATTCTAGCTATTTCCTTTTTTGTTTTTTTGTTTTTTTCATTTGCGTCGTTTGCTCTTCCCCTATTTTCACCAGCATTTGTTCTCCTGCACTGTACCACACAGCTGCAGTACCCTTATGTGTTTTGATTTATTTTTTTGGCTTTTGAGCTGTGGAGCAATTGTCACTTAGTGTATTAACCATGTGTCTATGTCTATATCTGATCCCCCCCCCCCCCCTACCGTTCCCTCCCGCTGTCCTCTTTCTTGCTTCATCTTTCTCCTCCCTTGCGTCCCATGAAACTCGTGCTCCTGTTTTCTATCCTCATCAACTTGTTTATGAACCAGCAGCCAACTTAGGCTGTCGTCATGTTACCACCACTTTGCCAATGTGTCTACTTTTAGCTGATGTGGCAACTGGTACTTCAGTATGACCATCACCCGTATTTTCCGGAGCATAGCTATAAGCCGCACTTTTAGCGCTCAAAATTCACCCGAAAGGGGGGGGGGGGTGCGGCTTATCTCCGATGATCAAATTAACGGTGATACATAGGGTGGATGTCTGTATTTCGTGGCAAAAAAATGGGGGTGTGGCTTATACTCCGGAAAATGGGGTACCTCACTTGTCCAGACCATGATCCCTAGGCCCTTGTCATGGCTGAAAACTTGTGAACACACTTGCCAATTCATGCAGCAGTGTGAGTACCAGGGAGTCGTAAACAGGGTCACCTGGTCACTGTGTGGTACCGTGCTTTCATTGTGGAGATAATCACACTAGCTACAAATGGAAATTTTTGATGGATGATTTAAAAAGCAATGTGCACACCTCAACCTGGGGAAAGCCGAAAGAAAAAAAACCCAGACAACGATTCAGATGGTACATAATGGTAAAATGATAGGCACAGATTGGTAATAAAATAAACCCACTAGACATAAGTACTAGCCTACAGCAGTCTGATGATCAGACTTTGGCGTGAAACTCTGAGTAACAGCTACTTGTAACAACCAATAACTTGTTCCATCTTGTCCACAGTGTGCAGCCAGCTCCACACGTTGTGTTTTGGGCACTATGGCAGCAATAGTACCTGCTGCTTGTGTGTAGCCTACAGTTCACTAGTCAGATGAATATTGTAGAGGGTAGCACAGCAGGGCGGCAAGACGGAGGACGGTAGTTCACTGGCAGCAGTGTAGCATACGGTAGCTCGGTGGTAAGGTACGAGGTCAGGACATGAAGTGAAGCGGTGGCCATTGAAACCAGATCGACAGCACCGGAGCAAGCTGTAAGCGTGCACACGGACACTGTCACACATCCATCTTGTCTGAGCTGCGTCAGGCATGAATATTGCTTCAAACAAACACATGGCACGCATTACTAAAATAATCAATAGTGGCAACAAACCTGTGATAATGACTACAAGCTGGGAAGGCGATCCCAGATAAAGAAGTAAGAGTACAGTCATAATTAAAAATTCAACTCAAAACCTATAATGTCACATCCTCTAGTGCATTCAGTTGGGTAGGTGCTAAGTCAGGTACTAGATACTGCAACTAAAAGGTTAGCTATCACAAGTGTTACAAAAACCGCTAAAAAGAACTAAAAAGTAATCACCAGTGGAATTAGTCGAAGGCATGATAAAAGTATTCAGGAGTTGTGGATGTCAATGCGGCTACAAAGCTGTGCGATACCGGGGTGTGGAGCTGTGTCGCCAGTACACAGCAGCATCTTGATACTTTGAGGAAGTATGACAGTTAACACGGTGATGATGTAGCGGAGCAGAGTGCGAGCCGATGCTTAACTAGTGAAATGGGTGGAGGATCTAGGACCCTTGCCTAATAGTAGGTCCAGGGTACCTACTTCTATGTGAGACTAGTTATTGCCTTATTGGTCTAGTGCAGCGCATCAGTGAACTGCAATGTAGCCTGCAATGCAACATGATCCGATGATTGTACATCATTGGGAAGTGCCTCTTCCTTCCTGACGTCAGTCTGGGAGGGCAGTTGGCGAGCAGACAAGAGACGCAGTGTGCGCCGATACGCCACTGGACTGCTGGTCTCACACCAACTGGGACTAGGCGCCTGGCTGCTGAAAAAGATGTAGTCCACCGTTGTACAAGCACGTAGGTGCAGCGTGGTGAATTTGTTCTCGCCAGGCGAGTGACGGTATGCTGAGTCCAGGCACATGGAATGTCTTAGCGTGTGATGGACCGAGCAAGGTGCTCGTTCAAAACAACAGTTATTAGAAATCCCTAGCCGTTCTGGCAGAAAATGGGACCTACCAGCGGCTATTTCTCTGAGTGAGTCCCGAGCTCCAGAGACATGAGCATGCTCACCATCAATCTCCTTGGCATTCAGGTTACTGTAATTTAATTTACCTCGAAGCACCAACTGGTGCAGTGGGCTATTCGGACGCGCGTTAAAGTCTCCAGCTACCAGCACAGGACAGCGTGTGTGAACGCCACCGGGTCCTATCAAAGTCGCCATTTGCTCCACTTCCGCCAACAATACCATTACCTACACCGCAAGCACACATTCAGCCACAAACAAGAACACAGAAAATCAAAACAGCGCCCAATTTCAATTCCAAAAAAATGAATCAGAAACATGTTCAATTGACAGCTGTGCTGAAGACTCACAAGTAACAGTTATACTAGCCAATAGAGCATTCCGTTGAGTTCCTGAATGCCACTGATCAGATTGGATCAAACCATCAAACACCACCGCAAATGTTAACGTCAAATAGATTCGAACCAATTTCAAGGTGTATCATTCTCCATCTCAATCGGTCGTTATCTTCGTACAGGCCAACGGGCGCTGACAGGGCACTCGCTTCTACTCATACACTACACTGTAAATAATGATATACACAGGGTATGCAGGGCAAACCAGCTGATAGCAGTGCACATTGCATGAATGTATAATGCGTAGTATACAAAGTGTCAGACTCTGAGGTCCTTGCTGCAAAATACCAATAACTTTCTCGTGACTCCAAGTTTCGTGTTCAAACACACTCATCGGTCTGATGAGTGTTTTTGAACACGAAACTCGGAGTCACGAGAAAGTTGTTAGTCTCTGTTGTTCTGGCTTGTGTGATGTGTACTTGTAGTACACACAGAGCAGCGTATGGCGTACAGAACACGTGCAAACAGACTATGGATACAAACGCTTTCATCATAGTACCTGGGCCAGCTTGACATCACCACGGTTGTGGTTGAAGAGCAAATGTGTATTCGCCACACACAGCATTTCTGGAGGGCTGCCTCTACGAGAACCCATCGGCGAGACGCTCTCCAATAGGAGCAGCACGGCAACATTATCACGGTCCAGTAGATGACAGTCTTTCTTCCTGTACTCCACAAACTTCTGGCCGACTAATTTAAAGCAGCTCGTACGGTAGAAGGTTGCACAGCCATCAGTTTTCCTACCTGTCCGTGACATGAACACGCCTGCATAACCTGCAAAGCGTTTAATATACAGGCAACCATGGAAATACACACACACATACACACACACACACACACACACATACACAACACACACACACATAACACATACATACACAACACATGACACACACACACACACACACACACACACACACACACACACACACACACAAACAACAACGACGACAACAACAACGGCAACGGCAACGACAACGACAACAACAACAACAACAACCAAACACACACACACAACAAACACACACACACACACATACACACAACAAATACATGCACACATGCACACACACACACACACACACACACACACACACACACACACACACACACACACACACGCACGCACACGCACGCACAGTGGACATTTTGCGCAGCTGATACCGGTACTTCGTCAAGAAGAGAAATCTGAATATAGATCTTCCATTCAGAAAAGACGGATGATGACAGTAACTTACACATGCCACACACGTACAAACATACTGGGACAGTCTTAAGACCTGTATAGGGCACCAAAGAAACTCAACTTCAGTGCAAAGAATAAGTTGACGGCCATGTAGTGCAGCCCAGGCCGAAATGGATCAAAAATCTGGGAGCACGAGAGATCCGAGAGCAACCTTCCTTACCCTGGTCCCGGAGGCGAGGAAGGAAATGCTCCGTAAAGTGCTTTTGCTCAACCTCTTGCAGGCACACAATCTATGCAAGACAACAACCATGACAACAACACACCACACACTAGTAGAACAGGGCCTGCAGTTACGGATTGGCTGATGAGCGTTTACTGATACGTCCACTCAGGAAAAACAGCGGCAGGTTGAGTTTCCGGTCACACATGCACTCAAGAGTAGTGCTTCCGATGACGCGATACCGCAGCAATACCATAGCAACTGCGAAAAGCAGAACTATCGCTACAGGGGAAACTCAAATCTGCTGGCTCAAAAATTCTGGGAGTGGCGCTCTCGCTTCTGCGGTTTCGCTTCTTCGGTTTCGCTTCAGCGGAAAACACGGCGTCCTGCTGCATATGGACTTGCTAAGAAAAATGGTATGCGCATGATGCGCATGCGCGCGCACCCACCCACACACACGCACACACAATTGTACAACAAAAAATGTTAAAAACATTCAAATCTGGAATAAGATTGAGGCTTGAAGAGCCCACTTGAGTCAGAACGTTCTACTAGTACTAGCAAGACGTATGGGGCTATGTGCTCTTTGTACTAGTAGTAGTACTCATGAATTGACAAGCCACTTACATCTGCCTTGTAGGACAGTATTTCCTTCAGCAGCCTCCCCTTGCGATACTCCCAGTTCAGATATGGGCCGTTTCTATCCGGGTAAAGGTCTGGATTATTGAAAAGCAACTTGTCTGACAGCACGTTGTATGTTACGATGTTGACTGTTTGCCCACCACCATCTTTTCTAGCCACGGTGTCCATGTGGCGCGTACTAAAAACGTCATCTCTTCTTCTCTGAGCCATTCTGACGATCAGAATTTCCAAACATGAGAACAAGTACTGAATAGGCAGCACAACTTTGAAATACCTCGAACGCCTTTTATTGCAGTGAGGTGGGGGGCTTTTATGAAGCACTCCGAGAAGGAAGTCTATCTCTGGTGTAACTGTGCACAAGCTGCTGGCAGCCTGCAGCCCTCACGATCACATGAACCTCAACCTCCACTGGTTGTTTCGTTTGTTTCTTTCTACTGGATTCTGTCATGTAGCTGCAACCTGCACACACAGTCGGCCTCACAGACACACACAGACAGCATGCATAATTCAGATCAAACAGGCCGCCGGCTAGCTCAGTACTGATCTGACAGTACTAGCTAGCAGCGTACATGCTTCAGCGTGGGGAATTCCCCGTCGGGTTGCCATGCCCCACAAAATCAAAACCATGCACCTGGTTGATCTGCTTCTCATCCGTGATCACGAGTGCCTTGCAGCCAATAAGAAATTTTGCAATTATTGATTTGGTGCATTTTCCTGTTAGCCACTGTCCTTGGCCTATGACTATAGGTGACGGTCGCAGGGTTGTTGTTTTACTTTTAGGCAAGAGTGGTTCGAGGGAGTAAGAAGTAGCAGATAGTTCTGTACATGTGAGGTCAGACGCCAACATGGATATTCTTTTCGCCGCCGTGCTATCCTTTGACTTGATAGTGTTTCTTTGGGACAGCTATTTGTCCAGTCGACAGGTAAGAGCGCTGTTCAACTACTGTACTACATGTATCCACTGCTAGAATGATCAGTAGATCTACTGGTCATTCTTTGTTTAGTCCTACTAGTACTAGTAGTGTAGTCATTGCCTTTTTGGAGTGTGAATGATTATTGGAGTGTGAATGATTATTTTAAATTAATTGTAAGTACTCAGATGGTGAGCCAAGGAAAATATTAAATTGAAACAACCTGGTTTAGTTGGTGGACTCTAACGCATAACTTGTGCCCCACCGGTTTCCTTGTTTCAATTTAAAATTAATTGTGTATTTGTAAAATAGCGATGAATAAAACTAATTGTGTACTTATAACCATGTATAAAACGATTACCCTAAAATCCCGCCAGAGCGCCCCTACCTCCGCCACCCTTCGAGTAGGTCCAGGTGGGGAGGGGCGGATGGGCGAGTCCTACTTACCGCATTCAGTACTACAGTAAAACCTGGTTTAAGCGACCTCCCCACGGTGCAAGCAAAAGCGGTCGTTAAAGCCAGGTGGTCTTTAGAACCAGGTCCCACAGTGTCTGTGTAGAACTGTCCGTGCATGGAAAAACGGTCGTAAAGAGCATGTGGTCGCTAAACCCAGCGGTCGCTTACACCAGGTTTTACTGTACATGAAAAAGTACTCACCCTACGAAAACTGTTCATGTATCTCGTACACCGACCAAAGGTCAAGAGCCAGGAGTTGTACAGACCCGTAAAAACTCAGGGTTTGTGCGATCCCTGGTCAAGAGGGTGGGCACTGTTGCGTACATTTCCAACGGGGTTAAGCACCTGTCTGCAGTACAGTACGGCATCACAGAGTCATACGAGGATACAACCAATCATTTCCCTGACAAGAAGTCAGGGAGGGGCGGATTTTACTGTATTAAAATGAAAAATTCCAGAATGTGTATTTGCAATCATATTACGGAGCATCAGCAAATCGAATATTCGAATGAAATTCGAGAATCGTCACGAAAAGCACTCAATCAGTCGAAACTAGGGCTTTGTTCGACTGAAAAATGCCCGCAAACAGAAAATACTTTTCGAATACTTTTCGAATGCTCCGCGCGTGCTCTAGTACACGGCGCACTACGAGTACTCATTCTTGCGCATGTAGCTACTAGTTCTTACAAAACTTAAAGTACTAGTCAGGACTTCTTGTCAATCTTGACGCTTTCCTCTCTCTCGAACTGTGAAACGTTTTATCAAGTGTGCATTTTGTTTCATTTCAAGTATCCTGGAATCATGGCTTTGTCACCAACTACCAGCCCCGGTATGCCTCCTGCTCCCAGTACTGCAGTAGCCCTGCTGGCGTTGTCTCGGCATCTGCGTCTATCGTGAGTTCCCCGCAGGGAGAGGGCAACTCAAAGTGTGCCAAATATTTGAGGGTCGACCTTACCATGGATCTCATTCTGCTGAGGCAGTGTAGGGCCCACCCTCACCTATTCGTCCGCAAATCTCCTGATATGCAAGGGATAGCGGAGGAGCTCGGCCGAGATCCGCCTTTTCAAGGGGTCTCCAAGAGAGATCCTATCGCCAATAGCCTGAATCGGATGAAGCATCCGCCGCTTCGCGTCATCCCCAAAGGCAATGAGAAACAACAGCAACTCCGTTCATTGCACATCCCAAAATCCCAGTCCTCAACTGCTCAAGCTAAAAAAAACTCGATTCGAAAATACTGGACTGCGCTACATGCTGAACCTCTTTTTCATTCGAATTTTCTCTCTGATTTTCTTTTTGCCATTCGAATAATCAAATCGAAAATTCGATTTGCTGATGCTCCGTATTATCTAAACTTAGTTCAGACTACCGATAAAAAGTGACCGATTGGGAAAGTTTCTAAGGTGATTTGATCACGTGACGTTACTGGCACATTACCGGCGGAAAGGTTTTGCTGCTGCGGCGGTAACTGCATTCCGGCAGTAAAAAACGTGCTCAGGCTGAGAAAAAGGGAAAATCGCTTCTCAGGGCCGCGGTGAAAGCTGCAAAACTTACGTGACGGTAACGTTAGTTTATCGGTAGTGCAAATGTCCTTCACTGTTTTTAATATCGCCATTTACGTTTTGATGGTATTCACGGTAGTCTGAATGCGCCCTTCTAATTTAACCCTTTTACCACTGCATGCACTGCATGCAGAGGGGTACTGCCATCTGTCCACTAACGACCAGCGAAAATGGGTCATTTTACTGAAACCTACATCTCAAAAGTTCGTAACTCTGGCATCCATGCTCCAATTTACTGCATCTAGAGCTTCCTAGAAAGCTGCTGCGACGAGAAAAACGATGAATTAAAGCGCATGTTTCCACAAGGTTGTAGACCAGCTGTAGAGCTAGGCGAATCTGTCCCAAAGTCATGGCGCTGCCGAGCAAGTCAAAGAACTGAGCTTTCACCTGCCATTCCACTCTCCTTGCTCGTATCGAGCTTAATTTCTTGTGAACACTCCCGCGAGTCCACTGCTCGATTTGAACTGCAGTTGCCATAGCACCAAGTGGCAAAAATGCAGAAGAAAAGAAAACCGAACGCCCGAAATAGTTGCTGTAGCCGTGTGAAGTTGTGTGGCCGTTGGGCGCCATAACTCAGCGGTCCTATATCCTATCGCTTTGGCAATTATTGCAATCGCAAGCTGAGAGTTTTCTCTTCAACCTACATACTTTGAATGTGAGAATCGAGTAAGAATCGAATGAGTTACGATTGTTTGAATATATGCCCATTCTGAGCCCATATACTTTACTCATTTCCTCTGCTTCCTTCACTCATTACAGCAATATTTTTGGTAGATTAATACGCTATTTCAGAGTTAGTTGCATAGTATGCGGGTGTCATAGCCCGATCAATATAGTCAACGTTCTAAAATAGTTCATGCAAGAGCATAGCTCACCTTGTTGTTTCTTGTAGTACATGTACTGAATACCAAGTGGTTAAAGGGAATGACTGAATTGACCAAGGGCTCAGCTGATAGGATTCGATTGGATGATCCGTACATAACCATGACCATGTTCATGCGCACAGGTATACGGCAACCATCACTACTGCTTAGTACTGGGTGCAAGTGAGTATGTGCTGATGATCACCATCGGTCATCATCATGACCGCGTATTAGCGAGGGATGATGTAGATGTATGAGTCGTACATTGTGTCCGTCTGGATTCTTTTCAAACAAGTCCTGCTTGGTCCACCTCAGTAAGGGGTCGTCTTCATCTTGTCTGTTCTGTTGCTGTACTGACAGTATCGCCTGTATAAAGACACACCCAAAGTTCCTGATGAGGTCAGCACGTTTATGAGTCAAGAAACGTTTTCAAAGTCTCGTCTTTACCAGATGGACAAGAGCAATTTCGGTTTTTGGCATCATATCTACAGCCAGGTGGAGGGCATTGTAAGTATTGATTCAGCCTGCTTGCTGACTGTTTAGTCACATCCTGTGGGTTTTAAAAAAAATACTTGTATAATTTGTTCCTTCTGCAGATGTTTGAGTTGTGTGCTATTGAAGCCTTTACATGAACCAGATCCACTCTAATTCAGCAACCCACACTAGTGACAAGTACTTCGAAAAGAAGTATTACCTTCACTGGGGATGCGTATAAATGCAGTTGTCAGCTGTTTGGTGGTTCAATACCCAATTGAGTCTTCTTCCAAAATATGATTTCTGAATCTCTCTCCCCTCTTACTGGGGAGAACCACGTGGCCAGTGTCTGGCAGTGAGTAACTACAAGTAGAAGTACATGTACTTTGAAGTACAAATGTGTCTGTGTGTCTGTGTCTATTTGTGTGTCTGTGTGTGTCTATCTTTGCATGCGTGTTTTTTGCCAGGTGAGCTTGTTCTATGGCCTCCCTATGTTGTGGTATGCATCGAGTGTACTGCTGGAGTCCTTTGGCTTTTCACCAGATAGAGAGGTATGTCCAGTCACCATGGTGGTAAGGTGTGTACATGTACATGGTGCCTTTCTCTGCATGTGATGTGGGAGTAATGGAAGTAATGATATTACATGCACTTCAACGTTACTTACTTGTAGAACTTTGGCAAGTCAAGTGCTTTTAAAAATTCAAAACCTTAGCAGCATACTGCTCAAATGTGCACAAAATTTGAAAACCAGCCTCATTTGTTGGGGAAAGGGCTTGGATGGCTCCTTGATCATGCACACTTTTGGACTGTATCAGCATGGAATTCCCTCATCCTTTCTTGGAATCAAGATGAATTTGAGTTTGTGCAAGCGTATATTTACCACTTTGTGCCTGGTGTGTCTTTCCCTTCATTATTCTTTCTTGGAATCAAAATCAAACATTTGTGATCTGGGATTGGCATTGGGTCTATGTTCTACCAATCCTGCAACTGTGTGTGTGTGTGTACGTGTGCGCGCGTGTGTGTGTGTGTGTGTGTGCGCGCGCGTACTTGTGCTGTTCTGGCAGATTGTACAATCATGTATCTTCCTAGTCTTGACACAGTTAGTCTCGATGGTGCTCGAAGAGCCATGGTCAGTGTATGGCACTTTTGTTATTGAGGAGCGCCATGGCTTCAACAAATACGTAAGTGATCATCAAGGTTTTACCCAAAGTCTGCATGTTAAAAAAAGTGTTGTATGATGGCTCTGCCATCATACAACAGTACACTCAACCGAATGTTTGGGTATTCCATTGTCGTATGATGTGTTACCCTATGCGCGTTAACTCTGGGTCATCACCTAACCCCCTTACTTCACTTCTCTGGTGTGAATGATGATCCGTTGTTGCGTCAGCTAATGGATTATGCATCGGTTGCCTATCTTTTTTGCTAATATTATTGTCTTTTTGCTTTCAGTACCTTCAGATAATGTGCCTCTTGGCGTAGTCACTCGTACAGTAGCCACTCATACGGTAGCGACCTAAAAGTTCAAACATTGACAGTGTGTCTACTGCAAGTAGTACTGAACTGTATACAGCAGTATGTTCTTTTCATCGTGCATTCTTCTGTTCATTAGACTGTCGGCTTCTACATCAAAGACAAGATCAAGAAGTTCTTGGTGTTCACTCCGCTAACACTGGTTATTACCTCACTGCTGATCTACGTCATCCAGTGGGGTGGAGAGTACTTCTTTGTCTATGCATGGCTCTTCTGTGGAACAGTTATGCTGGTGAGGCATAAGCATTGGCGTGCACATAGAGATTACTGCTAGATACTTGTAGTTTGGTCAGCTAGATGGTTGATTTAAAATGTTGATGGCACCCGTAGGCATATACATCACTGTTGTCTAAAACTCCAATGGTGTTACAAGTAGCGATACTAGCACATGTGTGTAGAGGCGACGGTTTCAAATAGGACATAGGTTGCAAACTGGAATGGTCTCAATATTCACTTTCTCTCTTGGTATTTTGATTAGAAAACGTATGTCACAGTGAGACTACGATGTGTTTTACTCAGCGCCAAAATTCCATGGCTCTGCGATGACCAGAAGCGCCATACCAAGCATTTGAGTTTTTGACGTGTTGCCTCCCACTGCGACTTGAGTTTTACGACTTTCGAAAACTCAACTTCTTGTCGCAGGTAAACAGCGGCTTGCCTCTCGCCAATAAAGCACCGCATACCAATCAAAACTAATGGAAGCACACACAAGGCTTAGTGTTACTCTGTACTGGCCGTCGTGGAGCGATAGCAATTACCTAATTTCAGACCCAGAGTGAATTTGACGTGCACTCTAAAACGTGTCCGGTTTGGAGCCACCTCTGATTTGAACTTTTTTGAAGCGAAAAATTGGTCAACTTGGAGGCAATGGGTCAACACAAAGGAGTGGCTCAGTTCGATTGACTCTGGCCTCAGAGCAAACTTCAACATACCAGTTTCCTTCCACAAACATATTTCGAGTGAACAATCAACGCTGATGATCGGTTTGGGTCTATACAAATTTGGCTGTCAAGCCGTTCCGGTATCGAACCGTCGCCTCTACCAGTCTTTATGTCATGCAGTGCTAGAAGCCAGGGCTAGTTACTGGCTGTATCGGGATGCACATTGTTTCCTGACGGATTTCTTTTTAAGTAATTATCCCTGTAATGTTGTTCTACTCTGTAAGACATTTCAGGCCTCTGTGTACCTGTACAACCTATACTACAACCTAAGCTACATAAAGCTTGCAGTGCATTGAATACTCTAAAGGCACACCGTGCACCAGGACACCACCTCCAGGCACCAGGTGCATGCATCATAGTGATCTTGTATGACCGTGTACTGGGCGGACATATGCTTGTGATGGTCCTTTCGACTTTTACTAGGCGTTCATTACAGTTTGTATGATTGTATTGTTCTGCGTTTTCTCATTGCTAGGTGATGGTATTCATTTACGCTGACTTCATTGCTCCGTTGTTTGATAAGTACACACCTCTTCCAGCTGGTGAACTACGCACAGCAATCGAGAACCTTGCCGCTACCGTAGAGTTCCCTCTAACCAAGCTCTATTTGGTCGACGGAAGCAAGCGCAGCGCACACAGCAACGCATACTTCTATGGATTCCATAAGAACAAGCGCATTGTGCTCTTCGACACACTTCTGCGCCCAGAAATGCTTCCCGAGGAAATGCGCAAGAAGTCATCCGGTACAGAAGACGAGTCATTAAAAGAAACTGCCGAGGAGGAACATGAGCAAGTGGATAAGGGAGAGGTGAGGCAAGATTTTGCCCTATTGATATCATTGCTGGTAGTTTGGCCTTGTGAGTGCTTGTTTCTGATCTTTGATCTTGGCTTGTTAACCATAGAGTGCTGAATAGATGGGTGGCGTTGTGGGTAATGAATCCCACTACTGATGATAATATCTATGTGACTCTAGGCGGGGTAGCCAAATCCATCGTCTGCTTCAAATAGTGATGGTCTTTGTGTTTCAACAGGGAGAAGATACTCCAGCAGAGACTGTAGCTTCAAAGGACAGCAAGACTGAGGAGGAGCATGGCTGCACTCTGGACCAGATCCTAGCAGTGCTGCTGCATGAGCTGGGCCATTGGAAACTCAGTCATAACTTGAAGAACATCATCATTTCACAGGTAATAACTTCTTTGTTTTACTGGAAGTGGGACTTCTCTCTCTCTCCCCCCCCCCCCCCCCCCCCCCCTCATCACCACCTCAAGCCAGTGCATCACATCTACTGTTATGGGCACTTCCCTTTGAGCTCAGCATGATTTTGCCTACTGATGGAGCCCTGCATGACTATTCATCAATGTTTGGCTGGGTTGTTCCTTTTACACGTACTTCGAAGTATGTTCATAACATGACGTTGTCTTACATCATACAGTGGATTGCCAATCGCTGACTGTGTTGCGAAATCTTCATCATGATGTTACTTGGGTTTTTTCCGTGCCCAGATCAATCTTTTCCTATGCTTCTTCATCTTCGGTCTGCTGGTCCATCAACAATACCTGTACTCCAGCTTTGGATTCCCTGACAGCCGGCCAACACTGATTGGTATGGTCATCATCTTCCAGTACATCTTCTCTCCCTACAACGAGGTAAATGTGCCTGGTTGCTTTGTATCCCTTCCTTGGCTCATTTTCTGAAGTAAATTCTCAATGTTTCGCTGGCGATTGATGGAACCTGAATGTGCTTGCGCTATAAAAAAAATTGTTATGAGTTTGGAGGTTGAAGAAATATCATGAGACGAGAAACCAGGCCTGTCCTCTTTTTTCTTCTTTTTTGTTTACATCATCCCATACTGCTGTGCCACGCCATGGCTAACGTTTCGACTGTGCTTGTATCCATGTGTTCAGGTGATGGGTTTCATCATGACCCAGATCTGCCGCCGTTTCGAGTTCCAGGCCGATGAGTTTGCCGCGAAGCGGAATCGTAGCAAGGAGCTGGGTGAGGCGCTGGTTCAGCTGAACAAGGACAACTTGTCCTTCCCCGTCAGTGACTGGCTGTACTCCGAGTGCAATCATTCACATCCATCACTCATCCAGAGACTGCACGCTCTCAAGAAGTATCAGTAGGGTCTGGAAGAGTGGGTGACTTGTGCCAACAGCAGCCATCATTCTATTCATCATAGTCGTGTTGCCTTTTTCATCGGACCCTGTTGGTGTCTTCCTGTGTGTTCGCTCTCGAGTTCACGTCGTGGTCACGTGGTGTGTAGCACTGTATTCTGCAAGCTCACTGAAAGCATTCATATTGGAGTACAGCAAGCACAGGTCAGATAACCTTGCTGAGAAGCTGGTGGATCCGATATATCACCACATAGATCATGCTGTATCCTCCGCATTTCCAGGGCATTGGCTTTATCTTGTATATTATCTTGAGGCAGACTTTACCTACTTCAAGTACATGTACTTCTCGGTACACTGCTGCCATGTGTTTTTGTTCGAGCTCTCACTAGTGCTACCACCCACTCTCTTGTGTGTTGCTTCCTGGCCAGGGCAGTGATATCTTCATGCATGTCTGCATATTTGTTTCGCAGTGGTGCGGAAAGTGCAAGCTAGGTGAAGACTTAGGATGCTTTTTTTCATGTTTTATATACCTCTGCGGATTCCCGTGGCTTTTACTGGCTGCAGCCTTTCCCATCCTTATGATACTAGTACATTTGAACTTTCTTTCGAGTTGTGCCTGTTATCCGTCGTTCGCGTGTGTACATCACTGCAAAGTTAGTTGTCTGACTGGGGACTCAATGACCATGATCACCAACCTACAGTCTCCAAGCAGTCGTAAACAGATTTCCAAAGCAATGTACATGTACTGTGGTAGCACGTGCTTGTAATTATTTTCTAAACTGCTGGCCCCTGCTTTGGGTACGACTCCCTGAGGCAGTGGGTCATGCACGACAGATTGGGTAGCATGCACTACAAGAACCAATGCCTGTTTCAATGGGCATGTGCAAGACTACAAGTTGTACTTCAGTAGTTTGATAGTACCAAGAGTTCATAACCCCCCTACAGTGCATTTCAAAACTATAGATGCGTAGGGTTTTTGAAATATTTCAAATTTGGCTGGAACTTTTTGAGAATAGTTTTCGGAATATTGCTCAGGATCGCTCCATAATTACTCTCATAATTATAGTTTCTAAAGGATTGGATAACAGACGCCCAATTTGGAAAAATTTATGCACAAAGTGATCACAGATTTTATGTGGTATAGATGCTGGCATAACGGTTTTGCCTAGGTACGCGTCTATAGTTTTGAAATGGACTGTAGTCCACATCATCCTCCCTAGCCGAAAAAAGTATGAGGTCCACTGCTCAATGTTCAGCTTGCCAGGCCTCACATCACCAAGAGAGCATTACCAGCATTACCGGGCAACACATCTATCCACATGTACATAGCTTCCCGCGATGCACACGAAGGACACAGAGAATGGATCAGTGATTAAAAAACCTAAATCTCTCGTTGGAAATGATTCGTTTCTTTCTTACTACAGTAAGTTGAAGAAATTACAAATTCAGCAGGTAGCTTGGCAGGAACACGACAAAACAACTTGGTAGAAGCCTTTTTACTTCCTATGCCGAGACAAATACTACGCCTCAGAAAGCATCGCAGCAACACACATATCAAGTTGTGCTGGCTGTAAATGCTTGAGACTGCAACTATATCTAACAGATGACTACTACAAAACCACAAGAACTGGCCCAGATCCAAAAATCAAAAGAAAGTCCACGAGTGGTGGCATCAGAAGAGAGAAACTCAGAAGGCACGCTGTAGCAAAAAAAAAGCTGTCAACTTCATAGAATAGGCACTTTCAATGCAAGCGAAAAGCTACAGAATGGTTGGAGCTAGAGCTCAGGAATACATTAGCCAGCACACACCACAACATGACGACATGTTGATAGTGGTAGCAATAATTAGCCAGACACACCATCACCTGGCCATGAGGGAAGTTCAAAATTGTCCGGAGCTTCGGGCGACGACAGATCCGAGTGAGGAGAAGGATTTTCAGTGGATACCGTCTCACTCCCCGCAGTGTCAGCTGAACCCTTATCAAGTGGGGGTAGCGTGTGTGAGATACGATTAGCCTGCTTCAATACATCTGACGCTGTAGCTAACGTGCTAGAGAGTGACGCCAAACAATCGCCACCCTCCACATGCCCACCGCGTACACTGACAGCATTGCCAATGTTGTCAGATTCAAGCAAGGCTGTCAAGGCACTTGTGCTGACAGCGGCAGCAGCAGCAAGAGCAGCAGCGCCTGGTGAAATAGATGAATCAACAGCCTGTTGGGTAGCCTCAGTTGATGCTGTGCCTGTTGCTGAATGTCCAGCAGGACTGCTTATCAAACCACTGCTTGCAGCGAGAGGTAACTCTGACGTTTGAGAAGAGCTCGACAGTTCCTCATCTGGACTGGCTGGGTCTGAGAGAGCAGTTGGAGGTGGTATCTCGTCAATGCTGTGAAAAGAGGCATTGGCTAGTGGCGATGGTGCCACCCCTCCGCTATCAGCCTCAGTGATTGCTTTGCCATGACTCGCTAACCCTTCAGACTTGCTGTCATCACTGACCGCAGGATCTGTTGAGGCCTCCTACAAATACACATGTGGAGAAGAAAAGACCAATAACAATTCAATACATGCACAGTTGATGCAAAATCTGCTGGCACAAATACCCGCTGGCGTCGGGTTCAATGCAAAGATGCGATCAAACAGGGTGCTGGGGAGTGTGGCCTGACCAGCCAACCCCAAGGATTCGTCGGAGTATTCTGGCATCGACGAAGCACATTATGTCCTGGTGTCCAAAGTCCAACTCATATCCTGTACATCGTGCACTGCACTGCAGCCAGACTTGTATCATTGCCAGCTATGAACAGGAAAAAAACCCATATGCTGTTCAGTACTGCAGGACAAACTAGAGTTATATCCACTTGAAGATAGTATTTGAGTAGCAGCGATTGGCTTGCATAGTTGGACTGCCAAATTGATTATGCGAGGACGTTCCTATGGGTATTGAGCACTCCTCGGACAGTGGAGCACGCTACTTGATTACGAGCATGTTCACCAAAACGTTGCTCAAAATCACACACATTAGCACGCAAGAGAGTGGAAAGTACTCGGCAACACTGTAATCACTCCTGCTTTCATGCAAGACTGATAAAGCAAGCTGGGGGATAAGAGAGGATGATAACATCTTTCAACTGTATAGATGTGCTAGCGGTAGTGACAAAATCAGTACATGTACACGATCCAAAGCCGAGTCTGGTAGCCATACACAAAGACATCATGACCAGGGTTCTAGCCAAAGGGGGGTAGGGGGGCGCAGCGCCCCCCCCCCCCCCCCCCCCCTACTCTGTTTGGGCGCGCCCCCCCCCCCCCCCCTGTGAAAAAGTGCCGCCCCCTACTCATTTTCCGATTTCTGTGTTTTTTCACGCCATTCAACGAAAATGCAGTCGATAGTCACTACTAGAGGGTTCATAAAGGCACATTTGTGAGGGGTGAAGTCGGGGTTCACCCTGTATGTTGCATTTTGCATTGCAAGGCAATTTTGGACAATGGAAAAAAATGGGTCACGGGGTAACTTTTTCCCATGCCCCCCCCCCCCCCCCCCCCCCCTACTATACTGACCTGGCTAGAACCCTGATGACAAAGGAAAAACGGAGTAAGAAGTCACACTTTAGGAACATGCACCAAAGTTTTCACCAGTGACCTTCGCTGTACTTACAGTCCATTTCAAAACTATAGACGCGTAGTGTTTTGCAAAATTCGATGGGATTTATTTAAATATTTTTAGTTTTTTCTCCAGATTCCGTCTCTGCATCGCTTCACAATTCTGGCTATATACTTTGTTTTCGCTACAATTGAAGTTTATTTTTAGGCCAGGTTTTCCGGTTTTACATGTAATTTCTGTTTTGAAGGGTTTGACCAGTTTGTTTCGGATTTTTGCTCCTGCTGAGACAGTGCTGCGCCCAGACCATCGCGGGTGCATTTTTGTACGGGTCCTGGTAGCCTCATGGTTTCGATCCGTGATTTCCAGTACAAGTGTGGGGCATTCGAATCCCATCACGCCTCCTGCCTTTTTTTCTCTCTTCTTTTCTGCATGTTTTGGATCTTGTTGGGTGAAATACAGTAGAGATGATAATTATATTTCCTCTTTTTGATTTGATTTGAGCCTCCCTAGCCCTGTTCCCTTCGCCCGACACAACGAGTGACAGTGGTTTCACTCACGCCAGTTGCAAGGTGAGTTCGACGACGAGGATTTCGGATACTCAAGCGTCAATCAAAATCCAGCTCTTGTTCGAAGAAACAATGAACACGACTAATCATATCTTTCTCGGCATCACTGAGATTCTTACGGGCCTTGGAAGCCATTACAGTCAGGCACTCAGAAAATGCAAACAAGAAGAAGATTCATTTGAGACTTTCATCCGATTTCTTTTGAGACTTTCCTCACACCTTTTCATTTGCGACTTTGCGTGTTTTGCATCTTTTGTATTTCCCGCGGCGACGAAGAAAAACCTGAAAAACACATCTGAAAACCAGAAAACACTCATGCAAAACTCACGGCTGTCGTGCGCTACAGTACGAACGGCTCGTACGGATGAGTTCACGCGTCTATAGTTTTGAAATGGACTGTAGTTGAACAACTGAACACAAATTCTTTTTGAGGGTTACATGCTATTGGGTTGATGCCCATGAGAAAATCATCATTAATTTTTCATTCCCCATTGCTGCAGACGCAGTGAAGAGACAATCACAAATACACAACACTAACCTGTGACGCCTTCAGCTGCCGAGCAAACTCTGTACGCTCTGTTTGCAGTGCCCTGCACAAGCGCTCTAACCGTTCAGACTTTGCTTGCAGTCCATGAAGCGTTTTCTCACGAATCGTACGCTGAGCAAGATAAAAAGAAGAGAAACAAGTTGCACTAGAAGTAAAGTTCCACACAGATTACAGGAAAACTCCACCCACAGATTACAGCAACACTCCACACAGATTACAGCAACACTCCACACAGATTGCAGCAACACTACAGATTACAGCAACACTCCACACCGATTACAGAAGCACCACACAGATCACAGGAAAGCTCTACGCAGACCGTGCCAACCAGCAGCAGAAGGGGTACAGTCAGACCTCGCTTACCTGCACACATCTGTTTTCCACAAAAATATCCGGATAGGCGAGGGAACCGGATAACCGAACACTGGTTATGTTGGATGCACCACGTATGCTGTAAATCTGTAGCCAGCTATTTTCTTCCGGATGGCGAGGGATCCGGATAAAAGAGGACCGGATAAGCGAGGTCTGACTGTAGCAAGATACAACATTAACCTAGAAGTATACCAGGGGAATGCGCTGCCCGACCTCTACATTGTACTGTATTTCACACCACTCTGCCATCATATTTACTAATTCAAAACATTGCACAAAAAAAAAGATACTCTAACCTCATATGAGCAATCTTCCATATCGTGGCCTGAATTTCAGGACTTTCAGTGCTGAACGTACACATTTGCCCGGAGTCCACTTATCAAAAAAACCTTTCTCTCCCCCACCCCCCTCGCCAGAGACTTCCTCGATTGGGGTCTAGTAGCATTAGCGTCTGAAGAGTCATGAAAAGAAAATACATAATATGACTCAGCAATACACCATTTCAGTGCCCTCACCTCCTCCACCATTTCAAGTAAAGAACGATTGCTGTTCTCCCATCTGGTACGCCACATTGTTGTCTCCTTCTCCAGTTTTCGGATAGTTTTGGTCATCTGCAGCAAAACATCATCATCAGTAAAACCATTTGCACAGGCTACATAACAATTCGCAACGCAAATTTACTCCCTTTATTGAACATATTACAGTCATACATATTCCAAAAGACAGAATATGGCACCAGGGAATAGCGTTGGTGTTCATGATGGTTTGCAAACTCCGCTGCGGCCACCTACACTCACACGCGATGGTATGTGCGTGTTCAGACTAGGCGACGTGCAGGGAAAGTTAGCCAAGTTACTAAGTGAAATGTTCCACCAGAAGTCCAGTTCTACTACTGATGTACTACTTCGTTTCGTTTATATTTTTGCAGTTACTTCATCCCCATGGCCTATGATCACGTTTTACACACTATATTTCGTCACCTGATCTCTGCTTAGTACAGTAGCGACTTCACGCACGTGACCAAAAGGCAGAATCCTTCATCGCACGGATGTATGGTGCAGGGGTGGTGTGCATGGAACACTTTCTCTAGACGTTCTACGGTTGCCTTCACGTTATTCGTGTGCCCAGCACCTTCGATTTTTGCATGGTCAGCAAGCATACACGAATGAATAGCTTTCCAACGGTATGTCGCATGTCATGGTTCATCATTTTCTGATATATCGCCCCGTATTTTTAGTTTTCAAAGCGAATTTTCGGCATCTCAACTACCTTGGCCGTCGATGATCATGTCACCATCATTCAGTGTCCTTGAATTAGTTTAGATAGGTTCACGGTAATGTCCTTCTCCGTAGCCGTTTGAAAAGTTTGTGCCCAGCGGCTGAAGTCGACTATTGAAGTGCACTATTTGAGGGGTCGGCATAATGAAGCGAGCAGACTTTTGGCTGGTAAATCAATGGCTGTTACTGTTCTTCATGTCGAGGCGGTGGACGTGCTTGAGAAGAAGCTGATAATTTCAATCCATCGAACATCTACGACGGTTTCTCCGCCACTCTCCAACAACACCCTAATCCCACATATCGTGTATGCATTCACTGTGTACGCATGATATTCATGAGGTCAGAGAAACCCACTTTCGTGCCATCGCTCAGCATGCAATTGCATACATGGTCTCTGACGATTAAATACCAACTGCGTGGCCTCATAACTCCGGTATGGATACGATATCCCTATGAAATGTTCGGTGCATGGTCTGCAGATGTGCCTCTACCCAGATGTGAAATTTGTTGGCCCATAATTCCAATTTTAAACTTTGGGACTGAAGTCCCTATTAGTAGGTAACTTTTCCTGAGCATGCATTTTCGGCTAAATCATTGCTATGCAACTTCATGTGTGTGCTCAACAAACGAGACCTGCGGTGGAATTATTTTCTTACTGAAATGGAGACGCTTTCAGAATCTTTGTCTTGTTTAAGCCCCAGTCTTTCTAAGACAAACCACTTGCTATAATTCTGAAGTACATGTATAGTATACAGCTCATAGTTCACAGTACCTTGTCCATTTCTTTCTTAAACGTAGCAAACACCTCGTTGCTCTTCGTCAAGGTCTTCTGGAACTCCTCAAACTTCTCTGTGTACAACGATAGCTGAAGTAGATATTGACACAAAACACAAGCCCAGTTGAAAATCGTTTCAAAGTCTGGAATAGTGAAGCAAGCCTTTCACCTCCATGAAAACTACACACAAGAGAACAGCAAACCAACACATCCATATCCTATGCATGACGAGCAGCAGTAGGCACAGGGCCACTGCTCATTCATGTGCAAGCTAAAAACAATACCTGACTTCGAAGTTCAACTTCCTGCTGTGTAAGAGCTTCACATTTCCGCTGTTTTTCTGCAGTCTCGGATAGAAGCTGCACATACGCATGCACGCACGCACGCACGCACACATACACACACACACACAAGTGCAACAAATCACGGTTGGTGTACACGGATCTGCAACTCTAGAAGCGAAAAAATGAGTGAGCGAGTGAGTGAGTGAGAGAGAGAGACCTGAACTAGGAAAGAGGTAGTGAGAAACAGGCAGACAGAGAACACCAACACAACATACCATTTGCTTTTCAGCGAGACTTCGTTCCTTCTCCTCAGCAGCAAACATTGCCTGCTGTGCAAGCTTTGCTTCACATAACTGAACCTCAAGCTGTTTCTGTTTGAACAGTTTGTCACAGTGCTGCAGACAACACAACATACAAAGTCATGACACTACGTTGAAGCACCAGGAAGGGAATGTCAGAGATAACAATAGCACATAGCATGAGGTGGCAACATAGCAAAAAAAAGCAGCATCTGAATGGAAAGTGGTGGCAAGTGGAATCTGATCCCAGGCTTTCTGCGCTTCAGTGTGAGTACAGTACTGTCGGGCGCCGAAGAACGGAGCGCCGAAGAACAGCCAGGCTAGAATTTCATCAAGCACAGCATACCAATGTATACGCGGTGACTCAACTGCGCATCGACTGTAATACATGAAAATAAGAACGGTCTAGGCTAGGAGGCTGACCCCCAGTTCTTCGGCAACCGACAGTACTGTACAGGTTTGTATCCACTGCTCATGATTTGTCAGGCACACATGCGCGCCCATTTCGACGTTGGAAAGCATGAAGTGATATGGCCATCGAGCCACATGGGCTCTTACGCATTTGTGTACACTGCACATATCGTACACTTTCACATGCTGACAACTAGCAGGCGCTGAGATTTGCCTTACAGCAACTGTAGTTCTAGATGTGGATCAAACTGGCACAAATACATCCACATTATTTGAGAAGGTATAGTTTCTGCGTAAAGTCCGAAACATCTCTTAGCACAGCAACCATGCACTAGGAAGCTCACAGCAATACCTCATACGATCTTGCTAGAACTATAATGCGTGCAAGCCCTATACGAAGAAATCAGTACACAGCTCTTGCAGTACAAGTTATGTGGCTGCATGTTAGAATGAAGTGTTGTAGTGCTCCATGACATGGGTCAGATTTCCATATCAGCACTGCAGCATGCTCCTGAGAAAAGCCATAGTTCACCCATGCAAGGGTCTCCCCTACTTCAGGCACAACATCATCTAAGTAGAGAGCATAGTGTCTGCTCAGCCTTACTTCCTCATGACGCTCAAACTGCTCCACCATATTCTTTAGTCGCGTGACCAGACTGCAAAATACAGAATTTGCAAAGGAGAGAGAGAGAGAGAGAGTGAGAGTGAGATACCACCTGTCTATATAATTTAGCTACGGACTTGGCAGGCAATCATGTGCAATCAGTAACACAAGGCTGGTGTTGATTAGCTGTCACAGTGGTCAAACATACGTATAGTTGGTTTTCAAATGCAAGTACAGTAAAACCTGTAACTAACGACCACCGTGACTAGCGACCGGCCTGGTACTACCGACCACTTCGTCAGGCACGGACGGTCTCACATTCAAAATGCACTGTGACTAGCGACTACCTGCTGAACGCGACCAGCGACCGCCTTTTCTTGTCCCAATGTCGAATTTTGACCCGTAACTAGCGACCGCGATGTAGGAAATCAAACATTGCTCGAAGCTTCTTCTCGAAATGTTGATGATTTTCCATGGTCCTGAAAGGACCATATACAGCTGGACAAATGAACGCAGTCTCATTTTGACTGTGGAATCAGTGTGGACTGCACTACACCTGTCATAATTTCAAGTGCTGTCAAGAACAAACATGATAGGAAACGTCTTGGAGAGCGCATCCAAAGCGCTCTTTGATCGATGTTACTACTCGAAGGAGAAACTAAGACTGAGCGGCTCTCTGTCGAAGTGCAATCACACAGCTCAGTCACCAGGTCACACTGAGTCCACAGAAGTCAGAGAAATATCCGGCAAAGAAGCACTGTCCTGCATCTCAACATTACAACTGTTTACGTTGCAGCGTGGCTTGTCTACCATGGCAATGGATGTAGAGAAACTTGGTGCCTTCATGAACAAACTTGAAGCCCAGCGCAAAGAGAAGCTTCAACAGGGAACTCTTGACTCCTGGCTTCAGAAGTAGGAGCTGAATTTAATGTCTGCAATAAAACTTGATTTTCTTTCTCTCCAAGTGTTGTGTGATCTGAAAGAAGAATGTCAGTGCGCAAGTGGTGGGGGATTGTATTATCTGCATTTTGACATACATATCATATAATGGGATCCATATATGGTCACGCGGTGCAAACCTCTAACTAAAGACCACCTGCCACTAAAGACCACTTTTCCGGGCACCAAGGGGTGGTCGTTAGTTACAGGTTTTATTGTATTACGTACAGGTAAGGATGAACACTTGGATTTGGTATACTGGATCGTCAGAAACTAGGCCGGACCGTTGTTGTGGAATTATCCACCACCAGACCAGCGCAAGGATATAAGTTGCACTATAATTATAAATTTCAATTCCAAAATGCACAAGAAGTGTACAGAAGAAAAAAGCACGACCTCGACCAGGCCAGAAGCAAGACGAACTGAACACAAGATATTGAAAACCCTTCTCCTCAACAAGCTGCATCACGTACAACGGAAAACAACTGGCTGCACCAGCGCGTGCACCAGCACTGCACCAACGTGTGCACCAGCGAAATCAATATCGAAAGTACGTATCAATCATTACATTACGTACAACATGCGCAAGAGGGTTACTCTACTTCACCACTAAACACACAATGATGAAGGTTGATAGGACATGCCATTTGCATTATTGTTATGCCCCCCCCCCCCCCCCCCCCAAAGCACAATATTCTCCCACATACTCAATGTTCTCAGCCTTCAGTAACTGGTTGCGCTTGTGATGCTCATTAAGCTTGACTGTTATCTCCGAAACTGATGTCTGCAAAACAACACAATACAGAAATGTTGTTGTATGTTAGATGCTGTAGTCAAGGGTATACAACACAGTACATACAACAAAGCAAAAACGGGGTAATGTAATCTTCGCCATTTGGGCAAGGGGTGCAAAATTTCAAATTTCAAATGTTATTATTATAAAGGTTTTCGTGCCATGGCCCTTATTGTCAGCACGCAGATATTGTGTTGATACTTCCTCTGCCCAGGCAAAATTTTCGCTTATCTCTTTCAGCCCACTGACAGGTGTCTGGCAGCTAGTTTGTTCAGTTAAATAGTTCGACCAAAACCAACGTTAGTTCAGAATATATCTTAGTCTGGAAACTCCATGGACGAAAAGGATGAAATTAACCCTTTTAAAACCGGTCTACCATAAGCGAATCGATACTATAGTATCGGTACGTTTGGCCCTCATTTTTTTGGGGTCTTGTTGCTAGGAGACAGCTAAAATGGCGCTCTACGCGTAGCTGAGGTCCAAGGCTTTCTGACGATGTACAAAACAACCATGCTTTCCATACAACTTTTTGCCGTATCGATCGACTTGTTGAAATTGGAAAAGACGACCATCCGCCATGCGCGCATTTCGAGAATGCGAGTGCATCTCTTGGGGCCGTGTTTGACAAGCGTTCTGAGAGCAGTAACATCACCAGTCCGGGCTAGATCTCCCGGGAGGTTTTGCAGTGTAGTGTGTTGAGAAAAAGAGCTCCGTTGAGTCCTGCTAGTTCAAAAATATATCGTCCACGAATGAAGAAACAAAATTCTCCAAACAGAGAGGAAGCCTTCTTGCTGCCGACACGGCGACAGCGACTGTCACAAGGACTCGTCAGGTGCGATCAGCTGATTCGTCTGGCCGTGAGAATCACGGCATGCGTAAGCTCGCGCCTGAGTACTCATCTGAGCGAGAGTGAATCTGACGCGAGCCGCGCTGAGATGAACAAACCGAAACTGTGATATCGTGGAATGGGAATTGCTGCTGCTGGCGTATCGCCGATGGCGAGGTGTTGGTGTTCAATGGCGGTATTGTAGAGAGCCTACAGTTCTTGTAAAGACGTAGCCCTTACCTGATTGTTTATCGTACGACTTCAGCTCCATCACGAACTTGGTATGCCCTTCGTGCTGTGATATTCGTGTATTTCATTCGCAATTGTATTTTCTCTCAACTTGAAGGGCTACCATGGGCCCTACCCTTGCCTGGACCTAGTCATATTTGAATTTTCTGGACGCGTTCAGGCATACCGATTTTGAAAATATATTAAAAAATATATAAAAAATTCGACGGGGTTCGCGTACCGGGCAGGTCAAGAACAAGGAGTCGTACAACTCCCTGCTCAAGAACCACCTTTCCGCTTCCGTGGGACGCCACCACCCCATGATCAGGCGTCAGATGCGGCTCCTAAACGGTGGGGGAGGATAGATCAGATCCACCAACCAGAGGCCAAAGGCTTCGATCCCATTTGCCACATCCATGTATTACTCATGCCAGGCCACTTTTTGGAAAATATATGGTTTACCCATACCTACATCACATGGTTCTTGAGTTATTGCTGGTTGTGTGTACATGTATTTGCGTGACCACCCCTCACATACTTTGAGTTAGACCGGACAATGGTTAAAGGGGAAGTATACCCTAAAATCAAATTTTCACCAGTTGTAGTCTTCGGGGTGCTGAGTCGAATGGTCTTGGTCCGAGGAAGCTGAGACGCTCCCTTCCTCCTTTATTCCCAATTGAACTCGCGCACTTCCACCGAAACTGGATGACCGCGCCCTACTAGATAGGGATTTGTAAGGAAAAAGTCACTAAAAACAACGTTTCGTTCTTATAATAGCACGGATGACCGCGATTGGTCCATATGTTGTAGTCTTTTGGCCGCTGAGTCGACTGGTTTTGGTCCGAAAAGGCTGCGATGCAGCGTTCGGCCCTTATTCCCAATCGAGCACGGTTGAGTAAGCGGTCACGTGCTCATTTACAGCCTGTTTGGGCCCGTTTATGTCACTCGAGTTGAACCTTTGAACCCGGGAGTCGTAAAAGCCTCTTACGACTCCCTGCTTTGAACCTTTGAGTTGACCGTGCTCATGCGTGTTCGATTGGGAATAAGGGCCGAACGCTGCATCGCAGCCTTTTCGGACCAAAACCAGTCGACTCAGCGGCCAAAAGACTGCAACATATGGACCAATCGCGGTCATCCGTGCTATTAGAGAGGTTCCGCACTACGTAAAGTTGAGCAACTTTACGTTAGTGGGCAGGAAAACCCGTGAATTCGCGAGTTTGCACTCCACTTACGGAAAGTTGTCTACGGAGAGTACGTAGATAGGGCTCTGATAACGTAGCTGGTCCGTAAGTGGATTGGGGTACAAATTTATGACTCTCTCCCCAGGTTGATCTGGTCGTACACTGCCGCGTTCGGAGTTGCCAAGGGCAGCTACATGATTTGAAAACTCCGTATGGCGGAACCCAGATGCGCATGCAGTTTACGTAAGACTTTCCGTAGATCGACTACGTTTTTTACTAACGTAATTACGTTATGCGGAACCTCTCTATTATAAGAACGAAACGGCGTTTTTAGTGACTTTTTCCATACAAATCCCTATCTAGTAGGGCGCAGTCATCCAGTTTCGGTGGAAGTGCGCGAGTTTGATTGGGAATAAAGGAGGAAGGGAGCGTCTCAGCTTCCTCGGACCAAGACCATTCGACTCAGCACCCCGAAGACTACAACTGGTGAAAATTTGATTTTAGGGTACTGTAATTTCACAAATTATCGGTGTACTTTTATTTTCGGTACTTTCGGTGCATCTGCTTCATACCTAAAATTTCAATACACCGAACTAACACTAACACACATAATCCAATAGGGAACAGCTTCTCTGTACCGAAAATTTCTGTTCACCTAACCTGGCCTTTTGCCCTCATACCGAAAATTTTGAGCACCGAAAATTTCTGAAATTAGAGTATACTTCCCCTTTAAATTCCCGGCGAGTATTTCTGCCTATACAGTACATGTACCTCCCAGTGTAAAGAGAACATGGACAGGACAAGAAAACAAGTCCACAGGCTGGATTTACAGAAGGGTTTCGCAGTTCAATGTGCGCCGTGATACGGCAAGCAATGGCCAAGATGCGAAGTGAAATTCACAGAAGAAGTCAGCAAGGTGTTGCTGCTTCGTAATTTTTTCTCAGAGTGGAACTCGGGAACGCACGACTTTCTGACACTCCTTGATACAATTTTTTGTGCAATTTGTTCCAGCTAATGTGGCCAAAGTGCAGTCGGTGCCATTCAGTGGAATCCTGGATGCTGTCAAGGAGAAGTACGTACCGTAATTCCGCGCATATAAGCCCATGGGCTTATATGATGGGCTTATATGTGAAATAATGCAGTTTGGGGATAAAATATCCAGTAAAACATGTTCGTTTGTTAGCCCATGGGCCTATATTCGAATTTTGAAGGTTCACGAAAAAGTACAAGTCCGTGCTCATAGTGGGTCTACCATACTCTACTGGTAAACTGCACTGACCTGCTGTACCATGGTAGAAAGAGTGAGTATTGTGGAAAATTCTACTTGACACGCGAGTTGCATTTCTGTCTGTTTAATAGTGTTTATTAGCCCATGGGCTTATAAACAGAGGTGGGCTTATATGCGCGGAATTACGGTAGACAGCGAGTCGAGAGTCAAGAGGCGATGATGAAGAGGTTGACCAGCCAGATATGGATGAGGAGTGCATCAAGCTTGCTCCACCACCGCAACCGTCTCATGCTGATGCTCTCCGCAGTCTGTTAGTCGTCCGCCGTTACCTGGAGACCGTTGACAGTGCTGGTACATCTGCCAACTTTAATCTCTGTAGCCACCTGGAGCAGTATGTGCTACGCATATATTGATATGCATATTGATGAGGGAAACACCAAACACACACACACCTGAAATTTCATGGCAACCTCTTGCCGTCGCTCCTCTTCATCTTTGTTCCGTTGCTGGCACTCCTCCTGCACCACACCAACATACAAGATGCACCACACAAAGCCTTGGCATACCCAGCAGAAGCAAAAGGGCTCAGACTACGCTTTGCAGCACCAGGTACTACATTATTTTTATACTTACTTATAGTACACAATCCCCACATCAAATTGTCCGGCAATTCTAAGATCGGACGTCTGAAATGCATACTTCTTGAAGTAGTCAGAAACGCCATGAAATCCACACACATAGAAAAGGAGTGGGATTCCTGCTGATAATAATTTGAAGTTCCCTGTACCCGGTACTGGCCAGAACAGTGTACGTGAACACTCTACTCGGCCAGCTCACAATAATGTGATGCCCATGCCTATAGTACATATTCAAATCTGTGTGACAATGTAAGCATTTTGACATTGATACTTTGTTGTGGGTGCACTTTCAGCAAGTTTCAGGCAATGAGAACTTCCAGATAATTAGAAGCCCCCCGGGCAATTTGGGGCTTGAATTATCAGGATTCTTCAATGGTATTTTGGTAATGGCCACGTGGCGTTACCTATTACTGGCAATCATAAAGCAAGGCATCATTCTAATCATTCCAGGAGTGATGTCATTTTGTCAACTGAGAATAGTGAACAAGGTGGCTTGCACCCAACATTACAGCTAGCGGTTGCTGATGGGAGCAGCCACCTTATTATAATATTACCACTGAAATTGAAACATCCCAGTTCGAAACGCTGATTTTATTACATAAACGCATAACACTACCATTGCAAAATCCAAAATAATTTATTTTTTGTCGCAAGTCCACCTGCTAAACTTTGAAATTATAGTCCCGAAATCTTCATTATTTCGGGGCATGGGGGTGCTTGATCACTCTGTCCTCTCCACCGACACACAATTGCAACCAGCAGTCTGGAAAAATCTGGGTGGACTAGGGTGCGAACATGCATCTCCCTAATGCGTTTTGTCTGGTGGGGCAAACAAAAGGCGCTGGACATTATTATTATTATCAGTTCTTTTCGCGTTGACGTCACCAAGCAAGTTTGGCTAGCCTTCGCAGAAGCCAAATGGAATGAAAAAATGAGGAGTGAGAGGGGTCAATGAGGTTCACATACACATGAAACTTTATCTTTTTTCCAGCTTTATTTGTGTTTTAGGACTGACTTGATATGTGTGCTGCGAGCGGACATCCAATTTTGAAATATAAACGCCATGATTTTTCAACGGAATGCCCCGGAACCAATGAAACACAAACAGTGAGAGAAGACAAGAAAATAATTCAACCGTACACACACCTTAATTGCCTTGCAATGCCGTTGAAGTTCTCGGCAGAGACTTTGCAATTTACTTTGAGCCAAGTTGCACTTGTTGTAAGCCATCTGTAACTCGTCCTTCTCGTCCATCAACTACAAAACATCCAATAGCAAGATGGGCATGACAATTGTCATATTAATTAATTAATAAATCGGAAAACAATGAATATGTAGCCACTGAAAACGTGAATACTATAAACTACACACTGTGAACTATGAGTGGAATGGAACAAAGCATTCTGCACCTACTTTTTGCTCCCGTTTCCGAGCCTCCTCCAGCTGGCATCTTAAAGAAGAGGCATCATCACCCTGCGAAAAGCCAGAAGAAATATCAGTAGAGGCCATGCCTGCTTCCACGTTGTGGCAGTCACGTATTCACATTCTCTTACATCAGCTGAAGGTGGTGCAGGTTTATCGCTCGTTCCTCCGTGGGAAGCGTTACAGGAATCAACGCAGTCAGTATCCTTGCTGCATTTTTCTCCACCATCCTCCCCGTTGCAAGACGTTTCGTCTTTGGGTAAGGCCCCATCGCCACCACCTCCTTCATCCATGTTCAAAAGAATGTTGCATTCAACTAAAAACAAAGTAAGTAAGTTGTGTGCAATGAAGAATTTTTTGTTTTGCTTTCCTCAGACCACGTTGCTGGCCGCTGCACGTACACGTACATGTGGTCGCGTCGGGTCACATGCATGCTCCCCACCCTGCTGTTCCAGTGCAGTCCCGGGTCTACCGGTACATTTTGCTAGCATATGCGCTATGTCACATCGCCATTTTTTGTTCAAAAGTGCGGAAGGCTCGCGTGCCAGATGCAGAGTAGGGCAGACCCGAATTTGCTAGCAATTCTTCTAGCAAAATATCGAAGAATTTTGAAAGGGAATTTGCTGGCAAAATGGAGCAAAATATCGGTGTGTTGGCTGGGAATTGGGAGATTTTACACATATACGGTGCACATGACTCATTTCGGCACAGTTTTACCAACACGTGACTCACTTTTTCTCATTTTTGCCAACACGTAACCCACTTTCGGTCAGGTTTCTCACACGTGACACAAATTTTGGAGCAAAAAGGGAGCAAAATATCGAGTGGCCTAGCAAAATGAAAGCAAAATTTCGACGATGCACGAGCAAAATTATGCCGCAAAATATCGAGATTCAGCTGGCAAATTCGGGTCAGCCCTATAATGCAGAGTCTGATCTGGCAGAGATGCATGTGCAGGGTCTATTTTTGTACGCACAAGAAGTAGGGTGCATCGTCGAGATCAACGTCATCGCCGGTTGGATGACCGCTAGCGCTACAGCTAGCTCGTGATAATCAAGACTTGCATACTTCAAAATCATCAAAAGATCTTGATGAAGCATCGTTTTCAAAAGCCATCAAAACTTACTTGAACATGATGGTTTGAATTAGAATTTCTTTTGTGTTGGCTCTTTCACCACTCCCACCCAGTGAGCTAGTCTCTCTCCATCTCTCTCTTGTTGAAGAAGGCAAAGAGTGCACTGTTCTTGGTCGACAGTGTTCTAGATCTGCACGTAGTCGTAACAACGAGTGCTGATGACTTCTGGCTGTCAATTAATTATTTTTAGCATTTTGTGAGTGATCAGGATCTGTTGCACGTTGCCTGCCCTTGTATTTGTAAAGGCGATAGGAACAAACCTCTAGCGTTATCCGAGGAGACATGTTCAGTAGCTGGTGGTCAGGGGAGAAGTCACCAGATGGTGAGGGAGGGGATTCTGCAGCACCTGATCCATCTGATGATGTAGCAACCGCTGCAAAAGAGTCTGGGAAGGCTGCTCTGGATGGTATGTTACCTAAGTTCGATTTTGATAGTATTGGTTTTTCAGATGGTTGTGGAAAAAGCTTTGTTACGTGGTGTTCACTTGTTTGAAACACAGTGTATATCGTGCTACACAGCACCACCAGGGAGTGTTTTTCAATATCACCTTGTCCAGTTTTGGAATAGATGGCAGTGTAGTGGATTAAAGTCATGAACGCAGGTACTAATATGACTGTGTCTGAAGAGGGCAGATGGTGGAAAAAGTAAACTTTGCACATCCGCATTACAACCGAGCATACAAACAGTCCATTGAGCCTTCCACTTGGCAAACTTGCAAGAATGCATCACTCCCACTCCCTGCTCGATGGCAATGAATAGAACAAATTGTGCAGTCATAACAATGTAAGGGGCCGTCCGTAAATACATGTATTTACTTAGAGACGTCTAACAGGCGTTTCTTTCTTGACTCCCCCCCCCCCCCCCCCCCCCCCCAATGCAGATAATACCACTCATAATAAACTAGTGATGTGGACGGGTAGTCAGGTACCCGTGCTACTAGTACATGTACTGTACTAGCTGTAGCAGTTCTCGTGTACACGGCAAAAACGTTTCGCTGCCATGGAAATGCCAGAATGGTGTGGCGGGAAATAAGAAAAAAGTACAAGTGGGTACCAAATTGCCCGCTTTAAACGTGCCGTCGCCAGGCCAACTTATTGCACGTGACCATTGCCCGCCGAAAACACGTTGCAGTGTAAACACCTAAAAACGCTTATCGTTTCCGTGTACACAGCCAAACGTTTCAAACACGGAATGAAAACGTTTTGCAATCGTTGTCGTGTAAACGAGGCCTAAATATCCCTGCTCGATACACATTGTTTTGGGGATAGAGGTGCAAAACAAATGCTGAAGACCGTTGGTCATTTACAACATTGCCTCCAAACCATCTAGTCGCAAGCCCACACTGGGGACAGCAGTGTGAAGAAGAGGTAGCGACTCCGGTGATACTTGAGGAAGTGTGTGTTGCTCCCTACGTGGGAGCACACACTTTTCTTGCCGACCTCAATTCTCACTTGACTCATGACTGCCATCCAGAGCACTCGTCAAGTCCGTTGAACCTTCGACTCGGCCAACCTGCAAGAAAGCACCACTCCCTGCTCAATACACAGTGTTTCGGAAAAGTGCAAGCTCTCACGTAGAGAGCAACACACGATTCCCTAAGAGTTCCGGATTAAAATGCTTGGCTAACGACAATTTGCCCAGCCTTTCGAATACGTTTCGTAACATACGGGGGACATTATTATTATTATTATCAGACAAATTTCCCTTGCTTGCACATTAGAAGAGAGGGCTATAAGTACAGTCGTGGCCGAAGAAATCCGACCTGTGAGTCAAAAGTAGCGCCGCTTTTCTTTTCAATTCAATTTCACATCACGAGCGGTCCAAAAACCCATCCGGGCTGCGTAAGCCTTGGTGCTGCTTTCAGCTGACGGGTAGGATTTCTTTGGCCACGACTGTAGGTCAGTTCAGTGGCCGCACTAGCACTGTAGTGGGTTAGGAAAGGAAGCATTGCCAGTGCTTGTGCCATTAACAGTAGCAGCACAAACCTAGAAGATGTGGCTTGTCTGCTCATGTCTCTTAGCTTTAGACCTTTAGTGTATGTTACACCATCTACAAGCACGGTGGAAGAAATGCCGATGTGGTAAACGCACAATTGCATTCTTTGCTTCAATAAGAAATTACAGGAAGTGCTCTTACTTGGGTCCTAATGCAGTCCGGCCGAATACAAAGTTGAGACTGGCTAGATACTGAGGGGGCACGTCCTGCATGGACTATCCTCTCTCCTTAGTGTACGCACAATACATGTTTGAACACAAAGCTGTATACATCTAAACCTTGCTCGATCAAATACTCCCTTTCGGAAATGAAAGGTTTGGTGTCTGGGAATCTCCATGCCTGGCAGCAGTATTTCACCATCTCTGTTTGAAAACTGTTAGTTAACTTGGACTCGCCAAGAACTGTGTCAACAGTGTGGTTCAAAGCAAACTCTTGATGTCTAATTATTAGCTCTTGCTGCCACCTTAGGTCCCTACAAGAGAGTTCCAGATCATAGAAGTGAATACTTTACTGCCATCAACAATACATTCATACCTCGTTTATCTGGGCAGTCTGGGACCGGGCACTGCTCGTAAAATCGAAATGTCCGTAACTCCAAATCACATACATTTTGACGGGGAAAGGCCATAGATGAGGCATATGACATCACAATATTAGTCCATGTTTGCTTCTTTTTCTTCTTTTCCTTTCCTTGCTAGCTGTGGTTGGCTATAAAAACTGTGCAATCGCCACGCAAAGTGGTCATTGGCTGCCCCAGCCATATATTGCTTGGAATAGAACTAAAAAACTAAACTATTTCCACAAAAGTGACAAAAGAGTAGTAATATTTCCACTGGAACTCGCCCAAAGGGTGCCCGGTAGACCGAAGTGCCCCTATTTTTGGTGTCCGGATAACCGAGGTATGAGTGAGGTATGAGTGTAGCACCAACACAGAACTCGCCCTGGGTGAGAGTGCAAGTACCAGTACATACTAGTACAAACATGACAGTTCTTTCAGCATATGAGCAGCTGATCAGAAAGAAATGTCACGACATACTATTGACTTTGCCAAGAGGAATACAATTCGCATATCTCCAATGGTAATTTTTCAAGATTACAGGATGCCCTCGTTTTCTATCCAAGGTATTGAGTCAATGTATGTAGTATGGGCTTGCTTTCTCACCCAGGAGGAGTTTTGTGTTGGTGCTATTGTTGATGGCAATGCTGTAACCGTATTTTCTTGGCTGGAATGCTTGTTTTCCGTTTCCTGCACCCTTTCCTAGGTCTGTGGAATGTCGTGTCCAAAGTAGCAACAACTGTGACAGACAATGTACCGGTGAGTTTGTGCTAGCTTGACCAGTAAAATGTTCTTTTGTATTGTAGTGAAGTGTGCTTTGATTGGAATACATCTAATCACTCATCTTGTTTAGTTTATCCAAGGAGGCGAATGATGCGAGTGGGCGATGGAGCACTGATTCCACCCTACAAGTCGAGTGACTAGCACATCTACATGTACAAAACACTCGTGCGATTAGTGCCCCTGGGGCACTATTTTTTCAACGTCCATCGCAGATGGGGCACTATTCAAGAGAGGGCACTCTCTTGCTGGTACGTTTACGTCAACCAGCATAAAATAAAGAAGGCAAAGAAAAACAGAGCCCAGCATTCACATGTAAACTACCGTAAAGTCTTGTATAAAGCCGCACTTGAATAGAAGCCGCACTTGAATAGAAGCCGCACTTGAATAGAAGCCGCACTTGAATAGAAGCCGCAATTTTGGGCCCATCAAATCACACAAAAGCCTGGTTTTAGTGTTGACATACATAGAAATACCTGTCTTTTATAGAAGCCTGTCTCATATAGAAGCCTGCAAATTTTCACCAAGAAAGTCATAGAAGCCGCGGCTTTTATACAAGACTTTACGGTATTACGACTAGGGGTCAAAGGGGTGTACCGGGTACCCGGGTAACCGACCGTTAATCTCAGGTACCGTTAATAAAAGGGTACCCGTTTGGATTTTGATGAACCTGTCAGTACGGAGCAACACTGCTGGGATCGTGTATTCCGGGCGGGAGTCGATTATTTACAACTCCACGCTGGATGTCCGCATTGTGGCATTTTCGCACCTAGTAGATCTACTCCTGCGACTATCAGACACCAATCGATTTGCGAATCACAATGTGATATGAGCCGGCCGAGCCAAGCAAAAAGGTGGCTTAGGCATAATTTTTGGAAATTTATTTTTTCATGCCAAAGTGATGTCTACCTATCCAACTTCCATCAAGGAAATTTTGGTGCCCATCTGAAATGTATATGTGCCATAAATAAGCATTATATTGCACACATGTCACAGCATGCCTGGTATCGATGAAACTAAGATAATAATTATGAAGACCTGCCCAAACTCCAGAAAACATGGGACACCAAGTGGAGACAAAGCTTAGCAGGTGTGGAAGCAATACAAGAAGAACGAGCACTTGTGTTCTGATTAGAAGATCCAAGAAAGAAGAAATAATTGATATATGCATCTCATGTCATTTCATCACGCAACACGAATTTTCATATCCTTCAATGATTTTGTGAGTCTGTGACTATATTTGCGCTGGGCTGGGAAACGTCGCATCTTACCAAGACAGTCCGTCATCCTCTCTCCCATCACCTACGCCAGCATGAATTAATCCTTTCCTGTAGCTCATAGTGTTGTGCCAGAGATTGAGCTCCATTGGTCCCTTGCACGTAGGTCCAGCAGATTGCACATCGCTAAAAAGCGGCACTGATTCTTTGTCCGTCCTAGTCCATGTCATTATCCTTTCCTGGTGTAGGTAGTGGTAGAAGCACCACGGGACGATATGCTAGCAGGTAGAGTCAATGCATCGCTTGATCGTGTAGCACTATTGGCCTTGAAATGAAGAAATTCTGGAGTACAGTACGCCACTTCATGAACATTTGAAGGTACCCGAAACAAAGTGAAACATCGCAGCAAGATCCGGGAGCTTGTCAGAGTGATAGTCGGGCGGCATGTAGACATCTCCACATAGGCAACCGCTCTAGTCGTGGCCACGATGAGAACCACAGCCACTAGTGCACTATGAATGAGCGAGTTTTCCTCGTCAACTAGGGTTGGGCGCACACGGAGACAGGGTGTCATCCTGCCCGCCTCCACATTCTCCAGAACGCTCCATTAGAATTTACGATACCTGGCAGCGCCAAGAAATCCCCACAACGACGAAAGAGAGAACACTGAAGAAGTGTTGCTCAAAAATAAAAGGCCTCTTCCTTCTTCTCCACTTCAAAACTATTTACTTGCTCGAAAGTGAATATTTTCGCGACTGCGCTCGAGTAGAATTTTGCCGACTGTGACGTTTTGGTGATTTTCTCGATTTGTTGGCAAAACGCTAAGCCACTTTTTAGCTTGGCGCGGCTCAATATCAAATGCAACCCGAGAACAGATGAATTAAAATCTTGATTTATGTGAAAATTGCGCAAAAAAATGGCTGCTAAGGGGCCGGTCACATTGAGGGAACAATCCTCAGATTATAAACCGGGAATAATTTTTTCTGCTTTTCATCACGGCCACACTGGATACGCACAATGAAAATAATCTCACTGACATGAGCTACTTTTTTTGTCACCATTCGCTTCTGGCCGTCTGTCAACCCCGCTCCTGGGCCAGAGCTGTATCAGCACAGCCTCTTGAGTATTGCTCCACTTCAGAACGCAATAAAAAGCAAGGAAACTCAAAGAAATCCAGTGGAAGCCGCGGATGATTATAATCTTCGGCGGAAAAGCGGGGCCTCGAGCTGATTTTCATCGAGTGGATTAAATCTCTCAAATCTCCCGCTCAGCGGCAACTATCCATGGTAACCACTGATTTTTTCAAATTTTCCCTCAGTGTGTAAGGGGTACCCGTTAACCCGCCCGTTAAGAAAATTACCCGTTCGTTAGTTAAAGGTACACCCCGTTTGACCCATTTACGACTCGACAGAAACGGCACCAAAAACTGTGATTTTGATCCTGAAATCACCAGTGCAATGACTGAACAAGAACAGTTGTGAAAAAACACCAAACTTCCACATGCGCTTGGTTACAAGCCTGGGGGGGGGGGGGGCACTATTCAAGAGAGGGCTTTATTTTTTCGCTGGCTCTTAGAGACTGGGACACTAATAGTGTCACTATTCAAGAGAGGGCTCTAATCGTGCGAGTACGGTACTACCAGAATGATCAAGAGCATTGTGAGCCCTGAACTATTCTGAACTAGCTAGCTCTAGAACTGTGATACAGTTTTCCAGGGTTTCTTATGCTTGTATGCGTGTATGGTTTGTCTTCCTGTTGGTCAGACTTCCTTTACTGCTTCCCTTTCCTTGCCAGGGTATTCTTGCTGACTTCAGTGCTGAGGAGGAAAAATTCAAAAGGCAGAAAAGACATCGACACAGTGAGTGACGCACTCAGTGCACGTTTCTGTGCATGTCTTATTTCCAGTTCTGGGCATGATTCCTATAAATGTACAGCAGAAATTAGTCATAATGTGTGCTACGTGCCCTGCTTCCTTAGTGCATATATGGTACATTGCATCACAAAGTCACTGCTGCACGACAGACTGGCTGGTTTATGTAGTCTCTACTATTATACAATATGGTCACAAAGGCCGAAACATGGACACGATTTAGAGTATCATGAAATGCGATAATGGATAAACTGTTGCAGCAATGCCCTTTTTAGTGTGTAACTTATTGTTCTTCTCCATCATGTGCCTCTATATTTTTGTTTACTTGTACTTGAAGAGACAGGTCATGTAAGGTAAAGATCATGGCTACCGATACAGTATACCGGTACTGATATTCCATGTATGCCAACGTTGGAGCTGGTGATGCTGTTTCTGGTGCTGATGTTATGTCGCCTTGTTTGTGCTTACAGCTGATGCTGCTGTACCGCCGTGGGTTGGTTACAATGAGGAGGAAATAATGCGGACACAAATACTGGCATTGTCCACGGTATGTTGTATCATGATAAGCAGCTTGTAACAATAGCTTGTATTAAGTTGTAACAATACGTTCTTATCATGGCTAGTAGTACTATGGTCTGAACTTTTGAAGCACTGAACAAGGAGTATGAGTTGTTGATATTTGTGTATCCTCTTTCTGCCACGCTTTAGTAAATCTTTCATGGGGGGGGGGGGGGGGTCAAGAGTACTTCTGCACTCCCTTGTAGGTGACCAGTCTGCATTGTACTTTTGTATTATGTTTTGTTCACAGGATAAGAGGAATTTCCTGCGGAATCCACCAGCGGGTGTTCAGTTCCACTTTGACTTTGCAGTCAGCTTCCCAGTAGCCAACGCCATACTTGAAGAAGACCCTATGCTTGAGAAGATGCGCTTTGAACTCGTGCCTAAACAGTAAGACCCGCTGTTGTTTTGCACTTGCATCAAGCTGTAGTGTACGCCCTCTTCTGTCCATTGGTTTGTTTTCCTTCGTGTACACTTCAAGTACAAGTTTGTTGGTTTCTGCTTTGTAGTTCTCTAAACCGATTCCTCGGAGATACTATTTTCAAAGTTCTGCTTTAGGGATACAAGTAGAAGCCAAGTTGTGCTGGCAATGACTGGTGTATTGGAATTTTATGATGCCCCACAGTTTTTGCTCTTTGCTATTTTGGCCGAACACACAACCTCTCTACATGAAAAAACCTACACACGCCATCCTCAAATCAAGTGGTCTCTTCGCTGCAAATTACTAATACAGTCAGACCTCGCTTGACCGCACACATCTGTTTTACACAAAAATATCCGGATAGGCGAGGGAACCGTATAACCGAACACCGATTATGTTGAATGCATCACATATGCTGTAAATCTGTAACCAGCTATTTTCTTCCGGATGGCGAGGGATCCGGATAAAAGAGGACCGGGTAGGCGAGGTCTGGCTGTATCTCAATTCTCAATCAAATTTTCGAGCAGGAGCCGTCATCAGGATTGAGGAGAAAAACATGTGAGGTGCACCTATATAATGCAACTCAAAGTGGAATGAAACTACACCATATGTGATAAAGTATGTCATCGTTGAAGCACAGGCACACAACCTCTCCTTTTTTCCTATTTCCTTTCCTGGCAGAGTGACGGAGGAGATCTTCTGGAGAAACTATTTCTACCGGGTGTCCCTGATCAAACAGTCGTCGCAGCTCTCTACGTTAGCGAGTAAGAACCATACCAGTGCCAAGTGTGCTGCTCATGTGCTTAGAGAAACGCTTTTTGGCGCGCTTCGGACTGTGTGTACACACATGTAGAAGACTGTGTGTGTACACACATGTAGAAGACTGTGTGTGTACACACATGTAGAAGACTGTGTGTGTACACACATGTAGAAGACTGTGTGTGTGCACACATGTAGAAGACTGTGTGTGTGTGCACACATGTAGAAGACTGTGTGTGTGCACACATGTAGAAGACTGTGTGTGTGCACACATGTAGAAGACTGTGTGTGTACACACATGTAGAAGACTGTGTGTGTGCACACATGTAGAAGACTGTGTGTGTACACACATGTAGAAGACTGTGTGTGTGCACACATGTAGAAGACTGTGTGTGTACACACATGTAGAAGACTGTGTGTGTGCACACATGTAGAAGACTGTGTGTGTGCACACATGTAGAAGACTGTGTGTGTGCACACATGTAGAAGACTGTGTGTGTGCACACATGTAGAAGACTGTGTGTGTGCACACATGTAGAAGACTGTGTGTGTGCACACATGTAGAAGACTGTGTGTGTGCACACATGTAGAAGACTGTGTGTGTGTGCACACATGTAGAAGACTGTGTGTGTGTGCACACATGTAGAAGTACGGGTAGTTGTGACCGCGGTCATGGTTATTTTGTTTTATGCTTGATTTGTAATTATTTTGGCATTTCCTGCCTTTTGTTGTGGACTTGTAGCGCAACAGAATGCTGAGCTCTCAGAGGCTCTGGCTGAGGATGCAGCAGCAGCAGCAGGAGCTAGCAGCGGCAGTCACAGTGATCTAACCAGTGTTAGCCCTGGTAAGCACCACTCAGTTTAGTCAGTATGGGTAAACACCCTCAGCCAGTATGGCTGATATGGCTGATGGTATGGCCAGTATGGCTGATACAATCATTAATCATTTCAAGTGTGTGTATAGTCATTATGTAAGCTTTAATTGATCGTGTACACTCATATCCCAGTTTGCCGGCCCTTCCCCATCAAAATGTACGTGATTCAGGGTTACGGACATTTCCAAGTTACGGCCAGTACCCGGTCCCAGACTGCCCGTATAAGAGATGTACATGTATGGGTGTACATGTACTATGTTTGTCACAGTGCACGACATCACTTTACTCTAGCCTTTTTGTCTTGGTGGGTTGGGTTCTGGTCCTATTTGACCTGTTGTCTTCTGTTGCTGGATGTGTTAACACTGCTGTTGGTGTGTTAGCTGCTGAAGCATCATCGTCAGGTTCAGACGTGGGTGCTGCTGCTGATGTTGCGGAACATGTGAGTGAATATTGCACTTTATCCCTTACTCCTTGTTCCACAATAGCTCATAGCCAATAAAGAAGATTCTTGTTAGCATTACAGTAAAACCTGCCATGGCAAGCACTTCTGTAAAACCTGCCAAGGCAACCACTTCTGAGAAGGCGACCACTTGTCTCGGAGGACCTCGGAAACTAGGACCGAAGGATAATATTCCCAGTCAAATGACCCTTGATAAGGAGACCACCTGTGCATAGCAGCCACAATTTGAAGATCCCTGGAGCGGTTGGCTCGGGCAGTTTTCACTGTAACTAGCTAGCTACATAGGGGAATGGAGATAATCATGTAGTAATTATTATAAGACATGATCTGATCTGGTAGCAAGGGAAAAGCCGTGTACCACTGTGTCATATTCAACTTGAGCTGGGTAGAGTGTGTGCCGCATCGCTTCAGGAACTAATCAATGAAATCAGAAACTGGGAAGTACATTCAGCGCACGGTGCAGTCGGCTCAAGTTCTCCGGGTGCGAAAACCCGCAGTCCCTCGTTGAATGATTTTATTATTATTTATTAAAACTCGGATGTTGAGCCATAAATAAATGTAGAAGAGAAAAGGACATATGGATACGAGTTAAGAGTAACTCTCCATCACTGTAACATGATACTATATACGGTCAGAAAGTGCAATAACTAGGCACAAAACTGACAGAGTACTGAGACATTCGACGTCCTGACACCTAGCTTCAACACATCTCCGTAGCGCTAACCGACAGCCTTCCAACTTGGAAGGTTCAAGGTTATGGAAAGACATTCTTTGTTCCGTTGGGACTGTAGCTTTTGCTCGTTTTCGTTGCGCTTGCCTTCCCCTCTTTGGTCTTTCCATAACCTTGAACCTTCCAAGTTGGAAGGCTGTCGGTTAGCGCTACGGAGATGTGTTGAAGCTAGGTGTCAGGACGTCGAATGTCTCAGTACTCTGTCAGTTTTGTGCCTAGTTATTGCACTTTCTGACCGTATATAGTATCATGTTACAGTGATGGAGAGTTACTCTTAACTCGTATCCATATGTCCTTTTCTCTTCTATATTATTTATTATTAATTTTATTCATGATCTCCTGGCTCGTCGTAAGACTGCCAATATTTATGAGAAGTCGGGTGGTAGCCAACCACGGTGAACAATAAGGAGAGAAACAAAAGAGAGTGCTGCAAGGGGAGGCATGAGGAAAATGGTGAGATTTAAAATACTTAGTTAATTTAATGTCTATGCATGTGTTAAGACTAGTTGGCAGGGCAGCAGACCAGAGAGTGTACGCGGAGAAGATAGGAGATTTCAGAAACAGGGAGGTATTGGCATGGGGTAATAAGAAGGAATTACGTGTTGATCTGGTGGAAACAAATCAGTTATACTTAGCAAGGTGTTTGGGAACCAGGCCTCATAAGATCATGTGTACAAGGGTGCAAAGATGTTGCTGGTGTTGCTGGTGTTGCTGGTGTCGCTCTAAAAGGGGAGATAGTCACTAGATACTGAAGCTAAACTGTAGAGACGTTGGAGACGTTGGAGGGAGAATGTTTGATCTTTGCGAAACAGGATTTTTAGAAGCAGATGCTGGTGTATATCCAGAGTATGAACAAGAGCCTGAGACAGACCGCACCACGCTGTATCACAATAATCAAATATAAGTAGAATATACGACGTAAGGAACAATTTTTGGCAATGGTCGTTTAAATGTTGGCAGTGAGGTTGCAGCATGCTAAGGGAGGAACTAGCTCGCTTGCATACTGACTGGACCTGTGGGGACCAGGACATATGGCTGTCGACTATAACACTAAGGTGTTTGTGTTGATGAACAATATCGACGCTAGCATTGGCTCCTGCAAAGTGTAACGGCTGAGTGGGCGGCGATGGGCTGATGAACATGGCTTCGGTCTTCGCTATGTTAGGCCTTAGCTTCCAAGCTTCCATCCATGTTATCGTGGAGTTAATGCTGGTCTGCATGGAGGTAACGAGGTTGGACGGCGAGCTGTCAGAGCACAACAGTTCAGTGTCATCAGCAAAAAGGCTGACGTCTAGTACTAGAGAGGGCAGATCATTGACGTAAGTTAGAAAAAGAGTGAACCCAGTATGGACCCCTGTGGAACACCAGACTTTACAGGTAAGGGATCAGACAAGGAAGCAGAGAAACGGACAGTTTGATGATGGGACAACAAATATGACGACGGCCACTGCAGAGCTGTACCACGTACTAGAAAAATAGACTCGAGCTTAGCAAGTAGGCCTCGGTGCCAGACTGTGTCGAATGCTTTTGATAGATCAAAAAAGACGAGACCTACATGCTTCTTCAGGTTACGATGTCCGTGAATATCCTGGATTAAGCGTGTCAATTGCGAAGTAGTTGAGTCGCCCAGACAGAAGCCGAATTGTGCAGAGGAGAGGGCAGGAGCGACGTGGTGGTAGAGAGATTCATAGAAAATGCGTTCACAGACCTTGGAGATAGCAGGTAGGAGGGAGATGGGCCTGTAATTTACAGCTTGGGAGCGTTGTCCTTTCTTAAATATCGAGACAACAATAGCAGATTTCCACACAGATGGGAAGACTCCTGCACGACAGGACAAGTTGAACAGCAAGCATAGGGGATAAGACAAGGAAGGCACCAGCAGTTTAAGGACTTCATTTGGTATGCCGTCTTTTCCAGGAGACTTGCAGCTCTTAAGATGTTCAAGTCGTTTGCGGACCATACCAGTTGTTGTTAAGACATCCAGAAGTGGAACGCACAGCTCGGGAGCTGGGTGCAGGGGCGGGATAACCCAGTTCGCATCGTCAGGAAGGCCGGAAGAGACACACTGTTTGTTGAGAGTGTCCGCAATGGACTTTGCCTCAGACTGACGGTTGCCATCAGGATCAATCAAACACTGGATGGGAGCGCGAGAGACACTGGGACGCTGGGTGCGAATGAATTGATAGAGAGAAGGACGATTGGTTGATGAGATTGTTGCAGAGAGGGAGCTGATGTAAGAGCGGTATGTTTTCCTGGATAGGTATTTGACAAAGTTGCGTTGCACTCGGTATGCCTCCAGATCAATACTAGCTTCTATATTTGCCAGTGTACATAAAGCCCCGCTCTGCTAGCACTTTCAGCTTGCTGCGAAGTTCATAGTTGCCAAAAAGGCAGTAAACAGCTGACCATTCTACTGTACTTCTACGTGGAGGTGAGCTTTTGAAAATTGCCTGTTTTGCAGTTTTCCTGGCGCCATACTGAGAGGCACCAAGCCATGGAAAAGAAAAAACAATCATGATGTCCTTTGCGGTTTTTATTGTGGAAACAGTATTACCGTGCCGCTAGCCGAGTTTGACGCGAACCGTGAAATTTAATATTTATTATTACTGTATGTCAGCGACTTTAAAGCCAAGGCCTTATATTCGAAATACCGCTGCTTTCCTAGATATTTTAGTCTAATAACTCACCCACTACGCCATGCCATAAAAGTCAAAGTCCACACCGAAATTTCAATCTAAATCCACTTGTTCACCCTTCCTGCTGGGCTGTAAGTTTGTTAGTATAATACTTATTCCTTCATTTTTACAAAACATACTTCAAATGTCATTTCATTTATGAAGCCCATGGCTTTATAATCGAATATATTGACCTTTGATAAATACCCACACTCATTAGTGACCACACCATCAACAGTATCGAATTCAAATAAATTTGCTTTGACTCAATAAATACCACTGCACTTTTCCATGTAGCACTCCACTTTTCCCTAAAAAGGAGTATTTTATAAACAGTATTTATTGGCCTTAGTGGTATTTTATAAACAGTATTTATTGGCTTTTGACCCAATAAATACTGTTTATAAAATACCACTAGGGCCAATAAATACTGTTTATAAATACTCCTTTTTAGGGAAAGTGAAGGTCAACATATGTATAATAAATGTAGTAGCCTCAGGATTTATTGCAATTACCGTAAAGTACCGCCAGAGCGCCCCACCATCTCATCCTTTCGTGGTCGTAATGTGGAGGTGGTCTGCTGTCTATAGGTCATACGACATGAACCTTGTACACATATTGCACGTTTTGCAGTCAATCCGTACCTTCGAGCGGACACAAGCTCCACACGAAAACCTGCCAAGTGTGACCTTAGTACACTAAGATTCTTACATCGTACAAACTTCGTTTCACTCTGCCATACGATTTCCCTTCCTCTGGCTGTAAAATCAAGGTGGGGCGCTCTCGCGAGACGGGGCGCTCTGGCGGTACTTTACGGTACATACCAGTTATAAAAACCTCTGCGGACCTCGGTTTTTATACTGGTATGTAATTGCAATAAATCCTTTGGCTCTACGTTTATTATATACATATACCGCCATGGCTTTAACCCTTTAAGAGCCGCCCCATACTTGAATGCGTCGTAAACGACGCATTCAAATGCATAACTTCAAATGATCATAACTCGGTCCAATCTCGCTCGAATCAAGTGATCGAAATATCCAGGGCGAAGAGAAAACTCTCACCTGTCGGGAGAAACAGTCCGCGAAGCGCTGCGAGCAATGGTTCCTGAGATAAATCACTCGTAAGTTGAGCCGCGATCGCGGCAATTTCAAAAGCGCGCAGTGCGACTTTAGTTTTGAGACTTTTCGTCACGCTGGTTTACTCGAATTTGCACGGGTTTCACTGTCGATATTGTTAGAGTACACAGCGAAAAAATTGGAACTCCACGATCGAGTAAAATGAAATATCTGGAGCGGGACGCAATTGGACACATTTGGGGCATTTTTCGTACTGTCGCTGCAATCTAGCGCTGGATAGACGGTGTGCTGGCTATCATGATCGACCTCATTCTCTTCCTCTCGCGGAGACCTTTCCAGGAACACGACAAAATGCAGAATTTTGAAATTTTCCTGTGGCTCTTAAAGGGTTAAAGGTGCGGGCATACGGTATGCCATGGCGCTTTCCGTGCAGCTTATCACATCTTGCTAAATAGTATCTTGATTAGGTTGGCTTGTTGCCATTGTGTTGTGCTATTGCTGCTCAGGAGGAACCTGAGGAGAACGCTGCAGCAGAGTTCATCAGTGATGACTTTGTAGCTGGTGAGGTCACGTCGTGTCTTGTACATGTACCGTATATTCTCTGTTTATGTTGTAGCTCTGGTGCACTGTAACTCTCTCTCTCTCTCTCTCTCTCTCTCTCTCACTCTCTCTCTCTCTCTCTCTCTCTCTCTCTCTCTCTCTCTCTCTCTCTCGCTCTCTCTCTCTCTCTCTCTCTCACTCTCTCTCTCTCTTTCTCTCTCTCTCTCTCTCTCTCTCTCTCTCTCTCTCTCTCTGTGTTGCTGTTGTCTTTTATCCTTCCACATATGCTTTTTCCTATTACTTTGCTTTTGTGCACTGATTGTATCTCATTCTTACATGCTTTTTTCTCCAAAGATGACCCATTTGTCTGATACTTCGAAGTGGTTCTATTGCACAATGTAACTTTCATAACTCGTGAGCTTTGCATTGCTTTTTCTGATTTGTCTACTCTGCTAAACAGATGCGGCTGATGGAGCTCAAGACGAGGGGGAGAAAGAACTTCATCAGGAGCTCAAGGTATTAACGTTATAATGACTCCGCTTCGTACTGGGACTAGGCTGGGACTTCATTTAAAACCATTTTACTGCTGGCCTAGTTTCTCCCTGCCGGCTCAGTTTTCAGCGCACTTACTTTCATTTCAAACCCTGCATGCACGTCGCCAAGCAAAGTCTTTCGCCATTTTTGCATTCATTGATGGATTTCCACGATCTATGGCTTGTTGGAATGGCCTGAGCCAAGCGAAGACTCTCTGGCAGTTCTCGGCTCCATAGGCATGCCAGGGTCACTTCTATATGCTCTAGAAGATGACACTATATGTCTCAGAATCGCTAAACAACTTCATAGTACATTTTCGTTCGCCATCTCTCTCAAACTAAACCAAACTTCATGATCCAAACTGCGCTGCGAAGCTGAGATCCAAGCGCTTTGTTTGATACCCAACACGCATGCGCTGTAGCAAAGGGAAATCCCCTAAAAAAGCGAGTCACGAGCAGAACGTTTGAACTGATGGCCAGAAATCGTATTTTTAATTTGTTTGGCAATTCTATTCTTCACCGCTCACTCAAGTCCTATCGCAAAGGACTTATATCACTGGAAAGCTGAGCTCAATACCTTTCCAACGGTATATCGTTTGTGATAATCAGCCACCGTTGACAGGAGTTACGACAGTTTGTACAGTGATATATGCACTTCGTACTATTGCGTGGGCAGTGGAACGAGATATCTCGTCATCCGCCGTTCAGGTATACTTTATAGAGCGAGATATCTCGTCATTAGCACTGAACGGGTTAAAACGCATAGTCGCAAGGCCAAGAAGGGATGGTTCGACTAGCACAGTAGCAGGCTCGGACGTCTCCTTGTCACTGCACTTTCATTCTTGTTTCCGTGTATGTGGGCCTTTTAACGATTTGTGCAACTTGCTGAATTACTTGCCTGTTGGCTCCTTTTCATGTGCTCTTGTTTCTCTGTAGGATCTTGGAATGGATGATCTCGAGGAGATTGGGGACTTGCCCGAGGGTGATGAAGTTAATGATGCAGAATGGGAGAAGGAAATCCAAGCAATGTTGGATATGGAAGAGCCGACCACCACATGATTCGACGACCCTATCCTTCTTCCCTGCGCTCATTCTGTTTCCTGCACGTGTGTGTAAGTCCATGGCGAGGTGTGTGTGTGTGTGTGTGTGTGTTTGTGTGTGTGTGTGTGTGTGTGTGTGTGTGTGTGTGTGTGTGTGTGTGTGTGTGTGTGTGTGTGTGTGTGTGTGTGTGTGTGTGCTGTGTGTGCTGTGCTGTGCTTGTCTATTGATCTGTGCGGGAGCCACATTTTGAAAATACACGTACTAAAGATGAATGTCATCAGATTGCCGTGAGGGATTTTCCAACGCTTTCGTGTTGTTAAAATTCTAGCATACACCGCTGGATCTCTTGCTCTGCTGCGTCTAATCTTATTTCTAAGCAAATCATGTCCCATTCAGTCTTATTCATGCCTCCATGGAGTCTTTGCATTGGACGTTTTTTGTACTCTAATTTTCTAAACAAACATTCTATCATTTATCTTCTCTCATCACCCCCCCCCCCCCCTTCTCTCTCTTCCCTGTTTTACGTTTCCCTTTCAAACTGCCATTGTTGGTACTGCTGGTTCAACCAACCTTGGGAGTACTGTTCTAACCAAAAGACAGCCTTGAAGTCTGTGCTGCTTCTTTTGTTTTTGTTTTTGTTTATTCACTTTTATTTGCTTTCTGCTTGCATGTGCATGTGCATGTGGTGCTCCTTTCTTTTTTTAAGTCTACTCCAGTTTTTTTAACCTTTCCTCGTAAAACCGAGGTGTTCACAATCTTGTTTTGGCCATTGGTATACAGTATCTGCAGCCCAGCTGATTCATTTTGTAGCGCAGTTGCCTGTCGTTGGTCGTTGCATTGGATTGTGTTGAGCTGATTCTCGCTCTGTGCTTTTCACTCTTGTCTATGACTGCCTGTGGTGGGCCGTTGGTTTAGTTAGTACTGGGTGTGGTGTACATTGTAGCAAGAGTGCGTGACCAAGTGTACTACTTCATGTACGAGTACTTGTTGGTCCCTAGGTCCACCGCAGAGTTTCAGTGAATGATACCAGTCATTCTCAGCCATTCTGGCTTGGTGACGCCAGCATGGTTAGCCAGAGGTCAAAAGTGGGAAAAACCTGTCGCCAGCGCTACGGTAGTTAAAAACGGAGCAATGAACGGTGCATGCATACTCAACCTGATGAACTGACATCATAATGAAACATGAGCCGGAAACGCTGGAAGAGCTGCACACTGGCCCGGATCATGCTTCTGCCAGAAACTGATGCAGAACACTCGCAGTGGGTGAGTCCATCACACATTCACAGCTCAAGTTAGGAGTTGCACACTGGATGATCATTGATGATCTTGTATACACGAGTCTACAATCGATATCGAGGATGTTATGATGTACAGAAACTTTATGTACTGTGACCAGGTGACAATTCAGTATAACGTACCTCTGGGGCCCCATACGGATAAATCTGTACTTTATACTAGTTTCTCGCTGAGCTTGAGGTATACCAAGTGGTACCAGGGCCTTACTCAAACCAGTTTGGGGACTCCCTACTCCGGATTAAACATGCATGCATGCGCATGGAGCAATGATTTTTATGTCAATATGAGCGGCTCATGCATCAGAAACACAGGGGTGCATTATAATATACTTCATATTGATGCTTCACAAGTCAGCAGTGGAACAAGGCTATCTCTTTTGCTGCTACTCCGAGTTTCATGGTTGTTCACAGATATCACACCAAAAGAGGCTCAACTCATACATATCATTGTAGGCCAGAGAGAAACGCACACTTTTCTTGCCAAATGTTGTGATCAGGAGCTGGGTTTGGAAGGAAGGGATCCAGAAATCAACATCGTTTCTAAGTAGATCTACTTAATGTACATAAATTTGTAATACATTGTAGATCTATACAGTCATTAGTTTTACATTTTGTCATGTACATGTCATTTCTAGTGTACTCGTGCTGTCGATATCGATATGGCCATAATCAGCACTCGATTTCACAGCCTGCCGCGCCCGTAGCGGGAACAGAGCGGTGGCTATCACTGGCTATGGCATAATATTTATGGCGATGGCGAAGGTTTGCTCTCGCTGACGCCGCTAGCATCGAGATGGCTTGCATAGCTAACCTCCATGTTGGTCCTTCTACTTCTAGTTGAAACCGCACTGCAACAAACCGTGTACATGTACATGACTCTTCCTCCCGCGGCCCGGGGATCTCTCGTCGCATTATTGCCATAGTGGCTTTTTTTGTGTGCCAGGGTCACCTCAGCGAAACGGGTGCAGAGTGCTGAAGCTATGCCTAATGTCGCAATGATGATGTCTCGTCAGTCAGACACTCAGTAGTAATAAGTGGCCCAAGTGTAAACAGTAAAGTCACACACACACACACACACACACACACACACACACACACACACACACACGCACGCACGCACACACACACACACACACACACAGACTATGCACATACAGTCATCAGGACCCTGGTTATCTGGTTATCGCATGGCCACAGTGCCAATACTGGCAATAGTGGAGTACAACATCGCGGTGCAGCCGCAAAGATACCGGGTATGTCGTGTCCGCGCTTGCTTGAGCTGCTCAGTGAAGCGCTGCGGCTGGGATACGGGCACACACGTGTCACTAGATCTCGAGGATGCTGCTGATCGCCTGGTGATAACTGAGCAAGAGAGCGTGTCGATGAGTCCTGTCGATATGGCCAGAGCGAGAGGCAACGCGTTACTCTGCTGCTTTTGTGTTGACATCAACATACTGTGTCACTTTCAATGTGGCTTGGAGGCTAGAAGGCCCGCACTGGCAGTGGACATCTGTAGCTTGGGAAGCAAGCATCCTCTCCTCTCAGCTCTAGCAAACGTTCGCCTGGGTCCTTGGAAGAATAACCTCAATTATTTCTAGGATACTTTGATCTTCTTTCCGCAAAGACACGTTAGGGGCAAGCACAGTTGACATCAGCGATGGCGTGTTTACCCGCTACTATGCGAGTGGTGCTGTTGGTGGGCATTGTCCTGGCTGGATGCCTCCACATCTGTGTCATCGCCTTTCCCAACTGGTGGTGGTTCAATTATGGTTACTGGGTGCAGGACACGACTGGTGTTCTTGGTACCAATGGTGGTATCTTCCAGTACTGCCAGCACTATCGCATCATGATAGGTGGTCACTACAATTGTTTCAACTATGGAGATAAAGCCGCGCAGAGTGAGGGACTTCTCGACACCACCGAGGATCTCATGCCCCTGGGAGGTAAGGTCACTCACAGATCAGCCTCCATCATCCTAACCCGCTAGGCACATGTAGATGTACGCTGGCTTTGCACTTGCATGCAATGGCGAACTGCTTGGATCGCAGTGCGTTGTGTTGGTCAACACAATGCTACACTGTACACTCACACCAAGAGTTCATGCGTATGTACTCTTGCCGCACACCCTTACTAGACATACAGTACAGTGGAGCGTCTGCTGTGCGGACTTGTTTGATAGACTTCGAGCCTGAGTCCTGTCAGTGGTGGTGGTGGTGACAAGTCCTAAATCTGCAAAGTAACAATGGCTTAGATCTGCATCAAAATCCGGCAGTACACATCCACGTATAGCTGCCATGCACTTTCTCAGTTCTGGTGGGCTCTGAAACTGAACAGTGCTCTATTTATATTTTCATTTACAGTGTAGTCCACGGAACATTTCATCGTAGCGTAATTTGTTATAATCCTAATAAAAAAGCGTCAAAGCACAGTGAGATAATGGTCTGTATGTATGCATGCATTATTGCAAGATGATTGGCTAAAGATGGATTGGCTACTTTGCCGATGACTGAATACCACTAACTGGTAGTTATGCTAGCCGCAGGATGTCAGATTTATGAACACGAGATTGAGAAAGCCTGAGACGTGCCATGTTTACGCTGATGAAATATGGTGTTTTGGGAAAGTTCACAGTTTAGTAATCATGAGTGCTCGTATGTATGTCGCGTGTTCGAGTCCAACAGCATAGCTTGGTTGTATAGGATCATGTTTATAAGCAGGTACTAGGTCTGCATTGCTGTGATATTTTAAGCTATTAGCCTTACAGTGCATGATATCAGCAGTTTGTGTGGGCGAGCCTGATAACTGGCTCTCATTAGCCACGCAGCCAAGACAGGATAACCAAGCTTCCATGCTGCCCTTCTTCTTGTTTCGCTTGCTGTGTGCAGGTATCCTGACGACGGTACAAGCCTTCACAGTTCTAGCACTGTTCATGAGCCTTCCCATTATAGTTCTAATCGGCGTAGCATGTAAAGTGGGAAAGAAGCAGACGATGATGAGAATTGTGTCGCTATGCCTTCTTCTACAGTGTAAGTTGACATCTCTGTACGTGTACATGTGTCATACGTATGTTTATGAATGCGTGAAGGACTTCTTTAAAGCCACATCAGGATCGATGTCTTGAATTCTGATGATTGGTGTAGTGTACAAAAATAGAAAGCTTTTACAAGTAAGATCCTTTATAATGCCCGACATTCGTGTATATATTTGTAATCAGTTTAGTTTAGTTGTACTGATTGTAGCAGTACCATACCAGCCTCGAAGGTTAGCAGCTCTCTTTGGAGCTCTTCTAGACATATACAGCTGTGAACAGTATTGTATTATCACACTGCACCATTGCTGTACATGTAGTCATTACATTCAGACAAAAGCAGATACTGTGGACTGGCATGGTCTTGTTTCACAGCGGCGTACAGGGCTAAACAAACGTCATGTGTTGGGTGTATCATGCCGCATGGATAGGTGATGGGAATATCAACCACTCTTCCCTAGATCACTGCAGTGCACTTGTAGAAGTATCCCGGCATAGGCTCGGCTTGGCCCGCCAATACCACATGAATCAACTTTCCACTGGATATCATTGACTATAATCACGATTATTGTTATTGTTTTGCTCGACTTTCTTCCAGGTGGCTTCATGATCGGATCGGTCGGCTCTGCCCATCAGTGGATCCACCAGCCGCTCTGCATGGAGTGTGACTGGCGTGATCTCTACAACTACGACTGGGCGTTCTACGCAGCTGGAGCACTGATCGGCATCTACATGTGTCTATTTGTCCTGGCGTTCATCACATCATGTACGGATACGAATGAGCCCCTCGAAGATCGCTTCAAGGCCAGGACCCATAGAGCAGATACGAGAAAGCAAAAGACACCAGCAGGATATCATCTGGATGGCGTGTAACCAGATATATCTCTGCACATGGCCTACGAAATCTACAGAGACCTCCGGCAATAGCCCAGACCTGCGGCAATAGCCCAGACCTGCGGCAATAGCTACAGAGACCTCCGGTAATAGCCCAGACCTGCGGCAATAGCGGCAATAGGCCGCATCTTGATATAGCCTGATATCTACATGTATCTCAAGCTGGACTGCTGCTGCTGCTGCTGCCTATGCCACTTTCATTTGCTACTTTCTACTTTCTAGGTGTTGTCAGAAGAACACCACTGCTTGCTTCTCACCTGCTGATGGGCATCTCCAATACCGACTCCATTTCAGTTCAACTTGATGTAACCCAATTCCCATACATGACAGCTATTGCGATCATACTTCTACTAGTATAATTATAATAGGATTATGACATACTAGTATCCTCTAGTGCTACATGTCATTTTGCTAGTATAAGTACTGAAGTAGCTTTCTTTTGCTGCATGGTGTTGTTTGCTAGTCATTTGTTCAGGACAATACTTGCTCTGTTTCCGTCATTCGCTTTTGACATCTTTCTGGCTAGCCCCTGATCAGAGTAATTCTATGTGATCTACTCCTTCTTTATACCGGTAGATGCATTGTGAGGCAATCCATATGTTGAGAAAGTATACAATTATTCAATTACAATCAGGCTATTTCTTAATTTCCAGGAATGCAATTGTAATTCTGCACTTCGATTATGGTGACATTGCTTTCCAGATCTGTGTACAGTAACTGTTATCAAGTCTTGGACTCCTTTGTTTGTTGGTGTTTGTGCTAGTGCTGCTGCCCATACACCACATACACACCGGGCCTGGCAGTTTGAAATAGACATGGACCGCTTCCGTTCACATCCTTTGTGCCAAGCCCACATGCACGGTCCTGCTGTGTGTGTGTCTCTGTCAGCCTGTGTGCATGATTGTGGTTGTACATGACCACGTACGGTCGGCGGCGATCGAGGAGATTACCATGGTCTTTGTTGTGCAGTTGTATTGCTATTGTACTTGGACGTGTGCTGTCTGTTGCGATGTGTACGTGTGTTTGTACCCTTTCTGCTTCTGCTGCTGTTATCCATCTCATCTCAGCGGCATCTGAACTCGGCAACGATAAGCATAGACAGCAGAACCATGGGCATAAGGTTCATGAAAGCTGCCCATTCCCGCTGTCTCAAAATAGATCGAGCAGCCAAAGGTGTTAGTGGAACGTAGAGGGTAACGGTGCTTGAACCGTATCTAGTCGCTAGGTAGAGCTCATTGGATATTGACGCGCCTTCGTGCACGCCTCACTAGCTTTGCGGCCCGTATCGAAACTGGGATGCACTACATGCCAGGCCAAGTGTGGCTAGTAATCAGCATCTGCAGCCGCGCTGGCAGCCCGTGTTCGCATGGACGAACAGACACCGGGACGTACACGAACATCCTTGGATGTCTTCATACGGTCAGGCACGCTGCGTGTGCGCTTGGGACGATGCATGACTCCGTGGTCGAGCGCAGTATCGGAGGAAAGGCGGCGAGCGTGTCAGCGTGCCATGGACCTGAGATTGCATTCTGCTCAGAAAGGGACAGCTAAGTCACTTAGTCTTTCACTGACCTGTTCCTTGTTAGTGTTGCCGTTAGGATAACTTGACGCCTCCGTTGTAGTCACACTGGTACTGCACAGACAACGTCAGGAATTGCAGGAAGAAGCCTTCCTTGATGGTATTGCAGTCAACAAAGGAAGAGAAAAGTGTAGTCTGGATCTGTCAACTCCACCATGAAGACCTTGAAAGGACTTACGAAGTCTGGCCTGAAGCCCAACAAATGCACTGATGCCATCCGCATTGTGATCATCTGTGGAACTGTGCTGAGCGCTGCGTTACACATGGCAGTGATCAGAGAGCCCAACTGGTGGCATTTTGACTATGGCTACTGGGTGCAGGATACCACTGGCGTGACTCGACTCAATGGTGGACTTTTCCAGGTATGCCAGTACCAAAGGAGTCCCATCACCACGGGCTGGACATGTGCTGGCATAGGCGAGGGGCCAGAAGGTCTGCTGGACACCAGAGACGGCTTACACCCAGAGTCAAGTAAGATGATAAGTTGATGACAGACTCAGTCATGTGACATGTACATCAATATAGGACTCCATACACTATAATTAAATTTTAATAATGTCTAGCAGAGGTTAGCATGCATAATAATTATAATACACACCCATGGCGTTGAAGGGACTCTGGCTAGCCGGTCACCAATATTACCTGGCTTGTGCTTATAATAAGAAGGCCTGGAGCAGGAGGCACAGGTAGACAAAGTTCTCTGCAGCATGTTGGTAGACTGTCCAAACGCACCATGAGTGATGACTGTGCCAAAACAGACCACCGATGTACAAGGTATACAATGGTCTTAAAACCATAATAGAATGTATAGAGCAGGCCAGGGCGTCGGAAGGAGTTTAACATTGGTGCGGCCAAAGTGTGAGAGGGGGTCGGGGGTCCTCCCCGGGAATTCTTTTGAAAATTGGGCCTAAAAAGCCATATAGAATAATAAAAAGAATATGCATGCTGATGATACACCGCATTGTCGATGTAAAACATGGTACCTGTACAAGAGTCGACAAGCCACCAACAAGGTTGAAATGTAAAAAAAATAAAATAAAATAAATTCGAAAATTATTGGTGCGGCTTTGGCCGCACCTGCCGCACCGGTTCCGACGCCCCTGTAGAGGTTGTGCAATTACATCATCAGTTGAGATACTTTGGCAATGCCGCGGACTCACGGCACAGGCTGCACTTGCACTAGCGACTCACGCTGTATACTTAGCGCCCATTAGAAAATCTTCTGCTAAATCATTCACAAAACCTCTATACACAAGCAAGTGTTGTTTGTTTGTTTGTATTCTTTATTTAGAGTGGGAAGTCCAAAACAGGCCCTAGCCTAATAACAATGGTCCCACTAGTGAGGGAATGCTGTATATCTGTGCTTAAGGATTAGTCAGTGTAACGGCAACTAGTAGGGAAAGAAAAAGAGAGAAGAAAAAAACAACTCAAAACAAGAGTTGCGACTTGCACAGGAAGAATAACGGAAAGAGCAGTGCATACAGCATTTGTAAAAAAAAGGCTTATTTATCTGGTAAGCAAAAAGGCAAGAGCCATTGACTTAAGCGATTGCGTTTTCTTTCTTGCCTGACCGCAGCGGGGAGCTGGGAGTGTCCTCCCGATATGAAAACATATGCAAGTCATGTACAAGTGTTTTGGTCGAATGCAGGACCGTCCGGCACAATTATTTGCTCCAAAGGCCTGGAGATGAGTGGAGAGACTGTGTTAGCGATCCTCAATGATCCTGTCACACCGGCATATCCTGTTTGCTTGTTGACCAGCTCTACGGGTGTGTGCATGGAAATGCACATGGACATGGCAGTTCAAACTACACTCGAATGTACAGTAGCAGATAATGATCCACGCCAGGATCCACGCCAGGAGTATCTCCAAATTCGCAAAGGGCGTACAATCATGTAAAAACAAAAAAAAACAAAAAAGAAAATATTGTGTTCATGTACAGTGAAACCTCGTTAGGAAGAACACTGATAAGACAAAAGTTTGCCTAAGAAGAACTAGTATTCGTAACTGTATTGGATAAAACCCTGTGTATTCACTGGGTAAAACATATGGATAAGAAGAACTCCCGTTATTGCGAACAAATATCATCGGTCCCTTGATGTTCGTCCTAAAGAGGTTTGACTGTACTGTCAAGAGCCCATAACAGGGCAGACCCCAAGAGTGTGCAACTCTGATCTTCGAGCTACAGGTGCTCTGCGCGGCGCTTCGCCTTCAGTAAGATGGTTCATTTACCTAGTGAAACAATGATCACGCTGACCGGATTTGGATTTTTCTACGGACGCAACAATTCACACTTCATTATGGTAGAGACAATGCCTGTATCACATTGTGATGCACCAGGTATAAAATAATCCGAAGTCCCCGAGAAAAGCAGGCTTGGCAGCCGGAAATTGTAGCAGGTCAATCATGGCGCAATGGCCCAGCTGATTTCCCAGTGTGTGGCTTCTGAGAGACTCTGTCCAAGTGTGTCTGGCTAAGTGAGGTTGGTTTGCCGTTACCGCCGTATCACCGGTACATGCATACATGAAAGTTGCCACACAAGGAGGTGGGCTCAAGACGCCGACCAGACCCTGTCATGCATGCTGGACTGACTACCCCTCCGATAATATACAATTTTGCATTCAAACTAGTGTTTACTGTTGTTTTCTCCCTTTCCCTGACAGATTTGCTCCCGTTGTGGCGGGGATTCACTGTGGGTGCACTGTTACCGGGCCTCCCAGTTATCATACTGTTGGCATTCGCCTTCAGAACCAGATTCAGGCTGATCTTGACGAAGATTGCATTTGGCTGTCTACTCGCCCAGAGTAAGTACTGATATAGGCATTCACTTGTCATATTTGTGGTGTGATGGCGGACTAGGGACTGGCTTGCCACTTTGCGGAACCTAGGCACCAAAGGCACCTCTGCCTCTGGTACCATTCCATGCATGTAGCCGGGAGGGGTACTGTAAAAGCCATCATTCTAACGAGGCGCATACATAACGATTTCCTAAAATTAACTGGTTTACGTGTACCAAAGTTAACGATTCTCACTCATTCTCAACGCTCAATACCAATACAGCTGATATACCAATACAGCTGATATACCAATACAGCTGATATACCAATACAGCTGATATACCAATACAGCTGTAGTATATGTAGCGATTTCTGTATAACGGTCTCTATCATAAGTTTTAACGACAGATTTCTCCTCGTTATTATAAACTCGTTAGAATTAGCACTTCGTTATTTTAAACTCGTTAGAATTAGCATTTCGTTACATATACGGCTTTTACAGTATAGGGCCTTCCAAGCACTGGGTCTGGGGTATCCCTCGCCAGGGTGTGGAGCGGCTAAGCAGTGGCCTTGATCTTGGAAGCTTCAGGGTATCAGCGATTTACAACTCTCTGGAATGAAGGCCGCCGTCACCGTGGTCTGGGAGGATACACAGCCATAGTAGTACAGCCTTTGCAAAGTGCCGCTAGTTTGACACATGCCGTGTCTTTTTTTTAACAATTTGCATTTTTTCCATTCCGAAGGAATAGCATACTACAGTAGTATGCCGATTATCCGGACGTCAACTATCCGGACGTCAACTATCCGGATGATCGATTGTCCGGATCGCCTGGTCGGGCTAGACCAAAAAAATAATTAGCAGGCATCACGAGGTTTTCATGGATGCAGCTAATGGGGTTTCTCCGCACATGTGCCAGTGGTTGTGAGACTTATTCACTCACCCCCACCGTTAGGCGCTGCACCTGCCGCTAGGGTTCACCGGGTGTTAGCGGCCGTCGTGAGTTCCCTTTGTGAATGGACACGATAATTTACTTTTTTTATGCTGTTTTGCTGATTTTCCCTGCACGGGGCACCATTCAAGCGATGCACAAGATGTATTACAACAGGTTGGAGTCAAAATGTATAAAGATAGTGTCATTTTGACGGGCTGAAGTGCGCCTAGTTCCTGTTTAGATAAATGTGTGACTGCTCCTATAGGCGAACAATCTTCTCATCCGAACCCCCTGGAGGCAGGCCTTACTTACCCTGAAGGTGCGGATAATCGGCACTCTACTGTAGTAACATATTCACTGGTTTTAGGGAAAGACTACAGTCCATTCAAAAAAGATGAGCGCTGGCTCTGGCGAGCTCCCGTGTTTGGCGTTTTTCGTGGTTTTATTGAATATTGTACACAGTGCACTGCCGCGAAATTTGAGGTTAGAAAAAGGGTCCAAAAAAGGTACCTCAGCTGGGTTTCGAACCGGACAATGCAGTGATGCAATTGCAAGTGGAGTGAAACGGATTGGATTTTCATGGCCTTTCCCAATTCCGGCAATACAAGACAAAACCTGGCCGAAATCCTATTCTTGTTATGGATTGCTTTTCGAAGAAATGGACTTCAGAAACATAATTGGAAGAGCATTCCATGGGGGATTGCAGAAAAAATTGTGAAAAAAACTCGAACCATGTTTGAACCATTTATGGGCAAAAGCTAGGATATCATCTTTTTCTGAATGGACTGTAGTAACGTTTTTTTTAAGTTTCTTGTTAAAAGGCCAAACATGTGTGCCCCGTTAGAGATTCAACTCTTACAGACCAGTAGTACAGTACGTTTTGTGGGATTTGCCCTTACTCAATGTGTTCTGCCTGTGTTGTTGTTGCTGCTGCTGGCAGGTTTGCTGATGGTTGGAGGTGTCGGAGCAGCACACGAGTACATTGTGCGTGCGTCATGCAAGGATTGTGATTGGCGGGAGCTCTACACATACATGTGGTGCTTCTACGCAGGGTGCGCGCTCATCGGGGCGTACATGGTGCTCGCGCTTGTGGCCATGGCTTCTTTCTTTCTCGATAGGAGCGATATCAAAAGGAACAGAGAAGACGAGTACTCAATCGACGATGCCACCTCCGATAGAACACAAACCGACATGGCACAGGCTGATGTATAAATGTCCAGTCGGCAGGCGCACAACCACCTGAACACCATCAGTGCAAGTGCAAGCATGTACATAAACCAGCTGAAGCCATTGGTGCCAGCAGCACGCGGGCACTCGTTAGACTGCTAAGTACTGCAACGAACACACCTGGCTGCAATGCTAAATATTATTGATAACACAAAAATCCATTGTGCGAAAGGATATCAAATACATCACCGCTCCTTCATTTCTGGCAATATACTATAATTCTTAGTCTGTATTCGTTGATGCCCTTTCCTTGAATCTTGCTACAATTTATCACAATAGTGCTGCACACAATCCACTTACCAGTATACCCCCCCCCCCCACCATTTTATACAGAGCGAATCCGGAATTCAGAACAAATTCTTCACCTTTGGGTTCTAAGTTTCAGAGCATTTATTAGTCAATGTTACGTAGCATGAGTTCTCCTGGTCACCATTGATGCCTTGATGCAAATCATTCATTTTGATGTGTGATGTGCAGCTGTATGCAAGATTTGTAGATTTCGTGCAAAGAGTGAAACATCTATCATATTCTCTCTAGATTCACTAATGGCTTCGGATTACAATTCTGAATTCTCCTCTAGAATTAGGTTCTGGTTTTAATTCTCCCTTATCACGTTATGCTCATTACATTTTCTACTTCAAGAAGACATTTCTGGGTAATCACAAATGTGGACTATCATTCCAAAGAGCCTGACACAAGCATGGGCATACAATATTCATGCTTTGTCAAAAGCCTGTTCCCATTCGCAAGCAAACACACAGTCATGTGAAAGCTGTTTTCCGCACACACACACACACACACACACACACACACACACACACACACACACACACACACACACACACACACACACACACACACACATGCATGCACCGACACAGGTCAAGCAACGCAGCAACAGCAGCACAGGGTTCAGTTGTCGAATATACTGAAATTTCAAAAGGACCAGCCTGCGGTGTTGTGCTGTCGATTTCATGAATATATATTCAGGCGTGTGCTATCACTCAAGAACAAAAACTAGAGCATTGAAAAAAAAGAGAAAATACTCGCGAAGTACACGGCAAGCCTAAGACATATTAGCACAAACTCGGCGAGAGTGTACAGTTCATAAAATAAAGGACAGACTTGGTACAGGAGATAAGTTGCATAGCCTACTTGTCATGACCGGCAAGCACACAGCACAAGAGGACTCGCACACACACACACGCACGCACGCACACACAGACAGACTCACGTCATTCAAGGATCCAAAACCGCGGTGTGGTCACTCTCAGAGGTCAGATGGGAGGAGAAAGTAAAAAAAAGAGTGTCCAACATCAAAACGGACCACAGCCCATGGCACACTACTGAAAAGGCTGGCTACATACTCAGCTAAGCAGATCTACCTATTTCACATTGAAAAGAATAAGATACACACACTATCCGCTTTAATAAAAACAAACAGCCATTGGGTACAAAGACGTGGAGCAAACAACACAGCACTCACGTGTAGACAGAACAACAATCCATGCCATGGAAGATGAACATGAACCCGAGTTGCTCCTACAGATCGAACTACTCAGAGGTTTTGGATCGTTAGAAGTGGACATTGATAAAAAGAAGGTAGGCGGTGCTATCATAGTTGTGCGCAGAGACACTCTGTTAAAAGAAATTTCAATAATTTTAAGATCAGATCATGGACTTGGTTCTTTCCAGTATTGCTCACATGGTATACTACATGCAGGAGAAATCACATGGGGATAAAAAGTTGAAAATTGAAAAATAAAATGTTGGGCTAGTGGTCATGAAGTACTTACGTTTTCACACGCTCGTACTTGTCTTTACATTTCTTCATGTAGGATCGCACGAATTTCGTCACTTTATCGCGGACGGTGCCCGTGAGCTCCGGCCGAGCGCTAGGCTTGTGTTTCATTTCCTTCTGGACAATCTCATGCGTCAGCTTTCTTGCCAAATACTTGAAGTCATCTGGGCTCTGAATGCGCCCTTGCTTGCAGTCGGGCTTCAGGTAGGGATTAAGCAACTGGATGACCACCACAGAAACATCAGCCCGGAACGCCTCGTGATTCCGCTCCTAGGGGAAGACAACAACGCAGCAGACAACAATGGCACATCATTCAGGATTCAGGATGCGGGGCCAAAAAGAAACAAGACGCCTGTCAAAGTGCTCCTTCAACAAACACAGAAGTCGCGGGATACTAGTAAGGCGTATCGCGTTGACGACTGAGTATTGTTACTACACTGCACTGCTCTTTAGGGAAGAAACAGCATTCACCATCCCCCTCTCTAACGTTCATGTCTTGGACAACCAATGGTGCCTGAGATACAAGACGAATCTCACCCACAAATCCAATCGAACAAATCAATAATCAAATGAGACAGGTGTCACTGACTGCTCAAAGTTAATTTTAGTTCCCTCTCCCTCTGTGTTGGGAGCATAGCATTGGCTCTCCTTTCTCCTTTCTCCTTTCTCCTTTCTCCTTTCTCTCTCTCTCTCTCTCTCTCTCTCTCTCTCTCTCTCTCTCTCTCTCTCTCTCTCTCTCTCTCTCTCTCTCTCTCTCTCTCTCTCTCTCTCTCTCTCTCTCTCTGTCTGTCTGTCTGTCTGTCTGTCTGTCTGTCTGTCTGTCTCTGTCCCTGTCTCTCTGTCCCTGTCTCTCTGTCTCTATCCCTCTCACACACACACAAGCACAGACAAAGGGACAAACCGGTACACACACACACACACACGCATGCACAAAAACGACACATGCCCAAACGCACGCACGCATAAACACACACACACACACACACATACACGCACACACCTCAGACCTCAGACATGCCCATCGCGGAAGCGATGATAGCGAACAGCTATGTTAGACATAGCAACTTGTGCTGGGATTACACCATTCAACAGCTTGCAAGGCTGATGAATTGACCGCCACTATTTTTAGCCTGGTATCCACCACACAGCTGTTTGAAGGGACTTTTTCTGGCCAGTGAATCCCTATTTTTCATTTTTCCATTTTTTTTCTTCTTTTTTTCTACACACACACACCACTCCACATACTCCGGCATACACTGGCTGTTGGTAACCACCCAGGAGAATGAAAGAAAAGTCAGGAAGAGTCCGAGAAAGAGAAGAAAGACGTGTGCGACCATGATCGCCGGGAATTGAACCCGCAACCTCTCGATTGGAAATCGACTGCACACACACACACACACACACACACACACACACACACACACACACACACACACACACACACACACACACACACACACACACACACACACACACACACACACACACACACACACACACACACACACACACACACACACAATCCCACCGTTATCTACTCATCTAAGGCAACATGGCAATATCTTGTTACTTACAGATTTAGGTAAGCTTGTTTTCTTTGTGGGATGCTCAGAGTCCTCCGGCTCCTCATCGTTAGAAGAACGGCGTCGTTTGGAACTTGATGGCTTCTTGGGTTGGCTGGTAGGCACGGAGCCATTAGAAGAGGACCCACGGCATTCAGCATTCTGCGCCACATCATTGGTGTCATCTGGAAGAGGTGGTGCAGGCTCCTCCGGTGTACTCACATCTTCAGGCAGCGGTGGTTGGAACTCTTCATCGGGACGTTCCCACTGTGGCTGTCTGTTAACAAGGTGATAATAGTACACCCGGCCTTCTTGATCGCGAGCATAGCTCCAGTCAGATGGTAGGTTGAGTGGGGATGACTCGATATCACACGACGTGTCAGAAGCAGCATCAGTGGCCGCCACCTCTTCCTCATGACAAGGTGAGTGAGACGTGATGGCCATTTCATCATCGTCCACAATCTGCATTGGCTGAGCATCTGCTATCACCACTTCTGCCAGCGGTGCAGCTAGAACGGAACTGAGTACTGCTAACTGCTGCTGTTGGTGTTGGATGTACAGACTCTGATAAGTAAACACGTCAGGAACGCCAACAACGTTGGGCAGAGCATACAAATTGTTAGGAGCAAGCTGCAACGGTGCTACTGCTGCTGATCCAGCAGCAATAACAGGATTAGCTGTATAAGCAGGATGTCCTTGGATATACTGAGGAGACGAGGACGATAGACCATGACTGCTTCGAACCCCACCAGCACCACTTTGGGAGTGTGGACTGCCAGCAATATCATAGTAGGCAGACGGACGATTTGTGACGGTTGAAATGCCTGACGGTGGCAAGTCAGATCGATAACGGTTGCGATCGTGTGAGCCATCCCAGCGTTTTGAAGATCTATGCAGTGGTGAATACTGGCCATGCTCTCTGCTTCGTCTCGATGAAGCGTGTGACCAGCTCCTTCGCGAGGAATACCGCTCGGAGGATGATTCAAACTTGGGCTTACTGCGTGGCTGCACAGGTGCTGCGGGTGGTTGCTGCTCTATCACTTCTTCAACACCATTCTTGGTTTGTTGCACCGTCTTCTTCGGTATTCGATAGACCTCCTTCAGTTCGCTCCACTTTTCTAAGAGGTTTTGTGCAGCAACGTGAACAAAAGACTTATCATCATTGGACGTGTAAGGCATCATGTTGTTGCTATCCGTACCACTATCACATGCATCTGCACCTGCATCTGGAGAGCCCACGCCAGAATCAGAGGTGGGTGGTGTACGTTTGGTCTCAGTTGGAGATGGCGAACTCTTTGCGTCCGAGTCATTAGCCGGAGAATGACAGCGAACCTCATCCACACCATTGATTTGCGTTACGCCAAGGCTGGATGGCTCGGCTACAGTTTTCACCGGAGAGTTAGGTGTTGCTGCTACTGTTGCTTCTGATGCTGGCGAAGCGGTGCTCGCTCCTGAAGACTTGGCGCTGACAGCCAAGGCATTGGGAGTCGACCACTTCCTGACCTGGGAGAGAACTTTGCTGTCAAGTAGTGGATTTAGACTAGCAACAGGAAGATGTGACAGTACATCAATGATGCTGGATGCCAGTGAATCCGTCTTCTCGTCCTCACAGTCGACCATCCAACTCCACAGTAGCGACAGGCCCTGGAGTCGCATGAACATTTTCAGACATTTCTCATCTCCAGTGGCTAGCAGTGTTTGAAGTACTAGAAGGCGTTGATCACTTCGGTCAGCTGTCACCATTAGTCGTGACAATGGTAGAATATTGCTCGCCTCTCTGATTCCCACGCCAGAGCCACTACGCAGACTCTTCACTTCGGTCGTGAACTCGTCTTCTTCGGGCAATGTCCTGGGTTTCTTACCTCCGGTGGGTCGACCCTTCTCTGGCACTTTCTCTGAACGTTCTCGCTTTCCTCCAATGATGCCACGGCATTTCGTCGATCCACAGTAACATGGCTGAGCTCCTTCACCACTGCGTTGAAACTGGTAATCAAATGTCAATTCCTCGCCTTGCTTGATCGGTGAAATACAGAAGAAGCCGATGCGCAGATGTCCATTGACGGTCCATTTCTGCGTTTCGCAGTTGGGTTCACAGCTATGGTTGATGAATCTGGAAATGCTACCCTTCAAAGTGGCATCGATGATTTCATCAGTCCGCAATGTCATGAAGTAATGGTGTCGCCGCCCGTCGAGGTGATATCTTGCCGACCTTTCCTGGAATTGCTGATTAGAACATACCTCTCCGATGTACTCAAGAACAAACGCACCCTCTGCTATGTCCGCTTTGGCTCGTAGCCCCCAACCCTTCTCGCCAGTATTAAACTGTTCTACGTGAGCATGTTGACGCTTTTGGAAGCGCTGGTTTTGACAAAATTCTCCATATTCACAGAGCTTGGGGTTGCACTCTATCATCAGCAGACGGTTTATGCAGTCCTCCCCACATCCAAGTATTGGCTGGCCATTTTCATAAGCTATTTCGCAGTCGCACTGCATTTTGTTGTCCCTCTTGCCATTCTTGCTTGACTTTCGCTCGTTCAGGTAAACGTTCTCCTTGAGTTCCTCCCATTTTGCTGGCTTACGACCATCATCGGGCCCTGCTACATACTCCTCAGTGTCCATGGTGAAGAAGATTTGTTGAGCAAAACAAGAATTCTCAGAAATTCTTCTCAACGCCCTGAAATAGGTCACACAGAATCCACATCGAACAAAGGCACGGGTGCGTCCATAGCCAGTGACTGGCCCTGAGACACTACCCAAGCGAGATGCAGGCTCGACAGGCAAGATCGAGGGAAGTCTGAGGCCTCCTCCTTGGCATTGGCTTCTGCCTGAAACGTTACACTAGCTTGCAAACTGCTTTGCTGCGTGCAGGACCCCAGCTCTGAGCTTGGTTTGCCCGGATCGTCGTCTACTCAGCCGTGTGTGGAGTCGCCGAGGCCGCAGCAAGCTGGATATGACTTGAGCAGTTGAGGCCGGCTGCGCCTGCATACAGCATGACTGTACAATGTCATGTAGATCTACACTTAACCCTCACACCACAGAAGAGATGAGCCAGTGGGGTGTCGCAAGCTTATATTGAACGTGAGCACGACATGATTATTGTGATCATGATGACGTATAACATAGTTCGCGTGAAATGATCGGACTGGGCCGTCTAAGGCCGCCCATCTGTAACATAGTATGATAGGAACAAATAACGCCATCTATCGGCTATGAAAGAGCGTTTGAAAGACGACCCATGGGGTCATGTAACAATCATAAAGGCTGGGTGTACCAGTACATTGCTATGGCAACTGCATGACCACTAAGTACTCGGTAGTACCCACAAGTATATTAATTGTATTGTCTGCGGCAGCCGATGGATGTGCACCATGCGGATTTCGTGCCCATCGGCCGAGCCCGTGCCTCCCCTCCGTCCGGTAGGCGTGGGCGGGTGGGAAACAAAATTGCGTGGCGAGCACTCGCAGCAAAACAGACAACTGGCAAAATTACACCAGCCAGCAGTAGATGAGCCGTCTACGGATGCATCCGCCAGGCGAAGGGTGGCTCATACGGGATGTCGTACGCGAGTGCGACCCGAATGCGGAACTCTGCAAGAGTGCGTGCTTGCGCCAGTCGACTGCGGCGGCACGGCCGAGTGCGTATGGTCACCTAAAGTCATCTTGCGGGAATATTCCCCTGCGGGGGCGCGGCCCGTGGCGTGCTGGTTAACTACGGTTTGCGCAACGCAAACCAACATTTAACCCTCACACCACAGAAGAGATGAGCCAGTGGGGTGTCGCAAGCTTATATTGAACGTGAGCACGACATGATTATTGTGATCATGATGACGTATAACATAGTTCGCGTGAAATGATCGGACTGGGCCGTCTAAGGCCGCCCATCTGTAACATAGTATGATAGGAACAAATAACGCCATCTATCGGCTATGAAAGAGCGTTTGAAAGACGACCCATGGGGTCATGTAACAATCATAAAGGCTGGGTGTACCAGTACATTGCTATGGCAACTGCATGACCACTAAGTACTCGGTAGTACCCACAAGTATATTAATTGTATTGTCTGCGGCAGCCGATGGATGTGCACCATGCGGATTTCGTGCCCATCGGCCGAGCCCGTGCCTCCAAGAAAAGGGGGGCGTGCGGTGCTTGCGACCCGTGGCTCAGTAACGCCGCGGCATGCCTGCAGGCCTGCGAACGTACGTGCGGTAAGCTCCGCTGGACCACCGCCCGGCTGCCATCAAGGCATACTCCGGGGCACCTTGGTTCGCCATGTGCGTTGCGCCACCTGCACGGAGGGAGTGGCTACTGTAGCTGGGGCCCAGAACCCTGCGCAACACTACGTTGATGTCATTGGGCGTGAGCCATCGTCCATTGCCGAACTTGAAGAGAGGTTGTTCGTCACTACCCCATGCGCATGATCTGACGTATGCCTCGAGGGCCAGGACGGGGCATATTTGCGGGTCTGCATGGCGATGCAGCACAACCTCGCCACCGCTTGTCAGCTGCGATGTCTTCGTGCGTTGAAGCCGTAAGCTGGCTGTGGCCTGAGAGAGCACGAGGTGAGCGCGCCTGAGAGTTTTCAGGGTACCCGACCCTGCTGGCGACGGGGACGTGTACTCGCTAACTCGCAGCAGACCATGGAATGCTGTCGTCAATGCGGCCCATAGCATGAGCGTGTCGCCAGGGCTATAAGCGGAACGCTGCAGGAAAAGATGTAGTGCCTTGAGTTGTACGGCGGTGATAGCCTGTCTCCGAGGCTGGGCAGTTGCGTGCCGTGGGAGCGATGCGCGTTCTCTCTCCAGGCCTTTCACCAGAGCGGTGAGCCGGCTGGATGGAAGGACTTCGACAGGTCCTCCCCTGCAGAGGAGGTTGTATCTGACTGCGGCCAGGTATACTTTCAAAGTGCCGGCACTGACAGAATGCGACATGGAAGCGGCAAATAGCAGGATGTCATCGTGACGCGGTGACAGCGGGTCGCGGTGAATCTGTTGCATGAACTTGCGGAATGCGTGCCAGCCCGGGGCATATGTGTGTTGCGTGGCTGCGGCCACTGAATTGGATATGAGTTGTTCGGCTCGTGCGGAAAGTGCGGCGGCTGGCGAGCCTGGCAGAGAGGACACAGGAGAAGAGATAGCGTGCCACATGCATCCACCAGTGACCGCGTATAGCAGCGCACATGCCCACATGCGCGCACATAAACACAAGCATATACACAAACATGCGCACATCCATCACCACCTGCCCTAGACAGCGGCTAGGAAGCGAGCGAGAAACACGATAGCTAGCCCTGCGTGCTGACTGGGGCCAGCGGTACGTTGCGGAGGAAGCGACTGCGGTGGCCCTCCTGCGGGAGGTTGCTTTTCTGCGGATAGATGAGCGATCTGGGCTGGCGAGCCATCATGTGAGCGGTTGCATGCGGCAACGGCCAGCGAGCCTGGAATCAACACAACAAAGGACAAAGAAATTCAGTCAGTGCGAGTGACCCTGCTTCGTACGACCCACCCCCATGAGCGCAGTCATGATCCTAGGTGTAACGGGGCTCTCTGACCGGCGGAGGCCTACTGCCATGAGGCGTGCGGATTTTGCTTGCGGCTTGCCTATTTGATTCCCCATCTAGATGTGTCTATTGCGGTGGTCTCCCTAGGCAGCGGCGGGACCGAACTGCTCCCAAAGAAAGTGCAGGCGTCTAGGGGACCTGATTCAGTCCCTAAGCACACCGGGCGGCAAATCTAGAGGACTTGACTCGGTCCATAAGCACACAGGGATGCGATTCTAAAGGACTTGACAATCCGTAAGCACACAGGGTTGAGGCAGAAATGATAGGCAGTAACACCCCGGCGAGGGCTTAACAACTAGTGCAGAGGTGCAACGGGTGGGGCGTGGCAGTAGGCTGTGCGAGCAGCGATACACAGCGGAAAAAGTAAAGGAAACAAAAGAAAACACGGGGGCAGAAGCAAAGTTCTGTGGTCTCAGGAGCAGAGCGTCCAATCTCGGTAACGGCGGACCCTGGATGGCGACTTCCTCACGCTGCGGCGTGGATGTTTGCGAGTGACGACGGACTGAGGTCGGCCCCGGGCGCCAAGAGGCGGAACCGTGGGAACCGAGCGCGGGATAGGGCATCTGCGATACCGTTGTCCACTCCGGCGATGTGGCGGATAAGCAGACAGAAGTTGTGGCGAGCGGCCGTCTGGAGGGTGCTGCGTATGAGCGCCACGACTCCTGGGTGCCGGCAGGTGCCCGACTCCCAGGCAGCGCACACGGAAGCGTTGTCGCAGTGGAGCAGGATCTTCTTCTGCGTCCAAAGCGGTCCCCACAGCTGGCAGGCGAGGGAGATTGGCCACATCTCCCTCCACATGATGGAGGTGTATGGCGGCGTCTGTTGCGTTGCGGACCATGCGCCGGCGAACCAGCGACCTTGAAAGAAGCCACCGAAGCCTAGGCCGGATGCGTCCGTGAACAACTCAAGGTCCGGTGACCTAGACCACTCTGGGTCGCGCATAAGGGCTTTGCCGTTCCAGACGGGAAGGAATTCCTGCCACCACCGGGAGTCCCTCTGGGCTGCTGAGAAAGCCATACTAAAGTTCTAAATGTTGAGGAATAGAAAACAAAATTGCGTGGCGAGCACTCGCAGCAAAACAGACAACTGGCAAAATTACACCAGCCAGCAGTAGATGAGCCGTCTACGGATGCATCCGCCAGGCGAAGGGTGGCTCATACGGGATGTCGTACGCGAGTGCGACCCGAATGCGGAACTCTGCAAGAGTGCGTGCTTGCGCCAGTCGACTGCGGCGGCACGGCCGAGTGCGTATGGTCACCTAAAGTCATCTTGCGGGAATATTCCCCTGCGGGGGCGCGGCCCGTGGCGTGCTGGTTAACTACGGTTTGCGCAACGCAAACCAACATTTATACGTGTATCACTGTATGTTACTATGTACAGTGCTGGCAACTGAAATCCGACCCCCTGGGCGGCGCGGCGCCCCGGCCAGGGGGTCGGATTTCAGTTGCCAGCACTGTACATATACCTGTAATGTAAAGCTACGTGGAGTCGTGGACCTGCCGTCATCATCACACACATAATTACACACATAATTTTATTATTATCACATCATCAATAATACAATAGTCTGTAGGAAATTCGTCAGCATCGCTTTTCTAAATCAACACACACATGTACCGGTACGTAGACCACTGAGTCTGTAGACAATGGTAGACTGTCTACGTACCTGGACTTTGCTCCAGATACCTGGTTTGAGTAGGCATTTTCGGTGATGAAGAGTCGATGCGAGTACATGTACTTATAAAAACAAAAACAATTTTACCCACCCATGCCTACCCTGTACCAAGGGCAAGGGTACACCCCCCCCCCCCCCCTCCCCCTCGGGGTATGTACTCTTGCCGGTACCCACTGCATGCATTCCTGTACCAGTATGGCCTCATCAGATCAGCTCAGTGACAATTTGTTTTGTAACAATGATGCACCGGCACATGTATAATTATTATGTCTGGTCGGCCCACAAGGCCTGGTGCAAATAAAAATGGAAAAAATTAATGCTCTAACCGAGGTATTTTGTCCTGAAGCTCTACTTCACTGACTTGTCAAAACTTGTGAGTTTTTCAAGAAGTCAGCGCACAGGGATCACGGTGGTACGTGAAGCAGAGCACTATTAGTGAGTATTACACACAAAGCAGCACAAAGGAGGCGGACAGATTCGGTGCAGCTCCTAATCTGCACTCAAATTCTGATGTACATATTGAAAAATAATACTAAAACACAGCGCAGAGTAAAGAGCACCCAAGCGCATGTCAACCGAGCACCGCTATTATGTGCACAGAAAACCACTAGAAGAATAAAGGCCCAAGTCATTGAAGGCATCTGCAAGAACTAAGAGCTAAGAAGGCTATGTACATGACCTGGTATGTTTCGATAAATAGTTCTGGAGAAAAAACATCGTGTAGTTGTTGTGGTTTTAAAAACAGTTCCCAGCTCTGAGGAACGAAAACGAAACAAATTTCTTTTGAAGTATCTTACAAGGCCATGTCGGTGAATGTCGACATGCACAGGTATGGCAGTGAGTCGTCTGTCTATAGATAAAACCAGTAGGATAGTATGTACAGAACCTACGATAGGCGTGCTGCAACGAGAGAATGTTGCAAAGGATATCCACTCTCTTTTATAGCACATTGAGTACAACAAGGATTCGTTTAGAAATTTACATCAGCAACAGCATCTGATTACTTGGAAAGTATGAGTGTGTACAGTCTGATGCTGTCCAGTTTTACCTTCTGTGAAATGTCTTAGAAGGACAGGGTGACGGAACACCTGCAACCAACGGGAGTTGAACGCTGAACGGCATACTTAATTAAACGCCATGAGTTCAAATCCGTCACCCTCGTCAGGTGAGGAAACACGATAGATGAGTACGGTCAAGAACCCCAGCACAGTTCCACCGATTGCAAGACCAACCGACTCCCAGACAATCTGCAGCACAGCACAGTCGCAAGTACACCAGTGTTCTATTAGAGCAAGGTTCAAAAATTCACCAAGCTGAAGCAGTACAATGGAGGAGTGATTGGGCACCTCAAAGCCAAAGTATGAAGGTCAGTGGCAAGATTCTTGAGGAAGTGAACACATTTCTTATCCCACTTGATTTGTTAGTGTTAGCACTTTTTTTCTTTTGTAGCCCCTTCATATTATTACTTCAAAACGAAGTAATTTTTATGTGAATGGGAAAATGAGAAAAAAGCTATCCATACAGTCACAAGCGCAGTCTCACTATAAGCGCACTCCAAGAGAGCTTCGAAGATATACAAGCCCAGTCTCCAATATAAGCGCAGGGCTTATACTGGAGAACTGTATGGATCATGTCCATACATGTTTGATGTCACACAGTACCACATACACATGCTGTGGTGGAAATCTGTGATCCCCGCGACAAAAAAGTTCGGACTCAGTGTAGAGTCTACCATGAAGCACTAAACACTAAACTGCAGTCACGGTACCTGCTGGGAAACTTTGTGCTACTGGTATAATGAAAAATAATAACCAATGTACATGCACCAGACGGTTGAAAATGATAAGCCAAGTCTCTAGTAGAAACTCAGCCTCTAATACAAGCCGTCCGGACTGGTTGAAAAATATAACCGTCAGGCTTATAATGGAAATAATACGGTATTAGGCATAAACTAGCCTTTCAGTTACCTTTCCAGCATGGGCAAGAATAGGAGGGATGGCTATATTCACAGGAAAGCAGAAACACACAGGCAACAAGCAGTCAAAATAGCGGAAAGAAAGCAAGACATGCATACTCGTCAGAACGACCACAGGAGAGTGACTGCATTCAGTCCGGCTGGTATTGCTGTCTACTTTTTGAAGTACAAAAAAAGGCTGGGTATGTGTACTTCGAAGTAGATCACTTCTTCTAAGAAGATACAGATATGCACAAAAGGATCACAGCAATCCTTTAAAGCAAAGCATTCCCTGAAATATGCTGCTAATTAATCTCAAAGCGGTAGCTGTTTCGACCTTGAACTTTCAAACGCTACTCATAGACCCGCCATATACATGATTGTATTCACGGAGGTCGCGGATTACAAGCAACCTCGACTAGACTCTAGACTTCATTGTGATCGGTTCCACCAGTCACTCTGAGCTCCGCTGATGAGACCTAACTAGGTTAAAACCGCTACTTGTAGCTGGCCGAAGATCGAGTACATATATTCACAAACAGTCGTAGGGAGTACAGCCACTTGAATGAGATGAAACTAAATGAAAAAGACAGCAGAGTTAACTGGGGAGAGGAAAAAGGGTGAGTAAGGCGAGAGAGAGAGAGAGAGAGAGAGAGAGAGAGAGAGAGAGAGAGAGAGAGAGAGAGAGAGAGAGAGAGAGAGAGAGAGATTAACAGAAAAGTAAAACAAATGTTACTGAAAAGGCAACAATAGCCAGGTTCTGGCCTTCTGGGTCACAGGGTAGGATAACATCGCTGATTGGCAATACAGATACCTTACCTAGTCCAGATATGATAAGGCCTGTGGTAAAGAAAATAGCAAGCTCATACCCAACACTGTACGAAAACAACACAAACATAGCACAAGTGAATCTTATGTATACATGTAATGGTTGTCAATAACAAGTCTGTGAAGATGGTAGATAGTGCTGCCCAGTGCAGTCTGTGACAGTGTCCCCATTTTTGGGTTTCGGCTTATTTCTTCTTGTTTGATTACTTCTAGCTCTCCCAAGATAAAGCTCTGCTGTTGTTTTGTTTCCCGCCTTCTTCATTAGTAATTACAAGTGTTAGTTCCTTTGTAATTACGTATCCACGTTAACTACCTTGTCGGATCCGCTGTGCCTTGTGAGTGCTATGCACGGAGTATTTGTGGATGCATTAGTGTGTTGTTGCACAAAATACTACTACACGTGTAGTATGATAGAGCAGGGAATTGCAGATTATAAGCAACTTAAACCAACTGCCCTCACCTGGAGTTTCCTGAGGAAAAGGAATCGCTTGTTCCTTTGGCCATTTTCGTTGGCAACGGCGATAAGACAATGGGGATAATACAGAACAGTGGCCACCATGCTCTGCAACAGGATAAGACATGAACAAAGCAAACAGCACAATGGATCAAATCATGGCACCAAAACATCAAACATGGATTTAGAATGGACGTAAACTGAGTTGTAGTTTCATAATTATTGGAATTACATACATGTACCTCTAGTTCTTCTGCGATATTTACTATACGTTTCGGCAGGATTACCATCGTACACTACTTCGCCACCAAGGTGAAAAGGCATAGTGGTGGCCTGCGGAAGCGAAGGCTATAGTTTGTGTGCTTCTGAACATTCAAGTAATGCCAGCGCGGATCCCGCGAACATTATTATATTATTATTACTTCTTCGAATGAACTTAACTATGACAATGCAATGCTGACCTTAAACTCAATACATTACAGTTCATTCTAGCAGACACGCACGCACATGCACAACCTACAGATGATGGTGTGGCATCGGTGGTTGTAAAAGTGCAATAATTGAAAGGGTAGAAAAACATGAATCGATCATACTTCAGTTGTATCAGTGATACCATGTCACTTCTCTAGTATAGCCTATTAGTGGCTACTATCATACCTGTATAATGTGACATATTATAGTCAAACCTCGTTAGGACAAACTTCAAGGGACTGAACAAGTTTGTTTGTCTTATCCGGAGTTCTTCTTATCCAGATCTGACAAAAAAAACTTGATATGCACATCATATGGATTGTATTTATGAATTCATGACAGCTTGTCCTCCCGGCCTTGCAGTTGTAACATGCTGTCAATTCGCTTTGCCCATACTGATACAAGAAGAGGTTTGACTATCGGAAAAAACTACGGTCAGCGCACCCACGGAGACCGGAAGTTCGTACTACACGCTGATTTTGCTCAAATCACGCTTGAAATCAGTTCGTCTTCACGAAAGTTTGCCGCACAGGAGTTTGTCGTAAACGAATAATTTTGACTTGATATGATGCCTGGCCAACCATAGGATTGGCCCTAGTTCGCACTAATGGAAAGTTCGCCTTATCAGTGTTCGTCCTAACGGGGTTTGACTGTATGTCATATGCTATGGAGAGAGAGAGTCCCAGCTCTCCCAGAATGATGAAGAAAGGAAAGACATATGACATGAGAGTGTGAAGCATGCAAACATAAGAGAGAGAGAGAGAGAGAGAGAGAGAGAAACAGAGAGAGAGAAAGACAGGGAGGGGGAGAAGAGAGAGAGAGAGGGTGGGGGAGAAGAGAGAGGGTGGGGGAGAAGAGAGAGGGTGGGGTACACAGAGAGCGAGAGAGCAAAGCACAGGTGTTCACAGTACATGTATTTGCAAAAGTCCATGGACTAGTGATGTCTTACTTATGTAGAGCACAGGACAAGATCAGCAACAGTCCTGACATGCATCCCAAGAAAGCCAGGGTCACGATCCTACACAGGATAGAGCATACAATACAACAATACAACATTAGTAGTGTATTAAAGGTATCCAGTAAGCGATGCCTTGATACATTGTTATCCAGTACAGGTTGGCTATGGGTTTCCTGTAGGGTAAAACGGGTGGGTCATCTAGTAGCGAAATGATGCAACAATGATCACTTTCCATCTTTCACCATTTACAGTTGAACATCGATTATCCGCACATCGACTATCCGACCATTCGATTATCCGTAACAGTTTTTTTGGGCGCACGTGCCGTAGAGTACGCACTGTGCATGTAGTGAGCCATTCAAGAAAATACGAAAATTTTGAAAAGTAAAAAGTAAAAAGGTCGTGCGGCTAGTAATAACCACTGAAAGTGTGTGAGTGACAGTTTTTTCTTATCCGGAACATTTGCCTTATCTGAACACCGCCTGACAGTTGTCTGCCCAGAGGTGGTCGGATAATCGATGTTCAACTGTAGATAGGAGCATGAAGATGTGTTATACCCATTTCCTCAGTTCACGCATTACATCCGCCTTGCATCAGGTAAATCTTATTGGGTGTAGTGTCAACATCGGGGTCAAAGCATCACAAGACCTGCACCCTCCGGTACGCCGATGGCACGATATGCTGTGAAAGACGGATCCATGGCGAGAGTCTCACCCCTTGTCCCGATCTTCCCTGGACAGATCCTACTAATGAGGCTATCACTCATGGCCTGTTATTACTGCTTGAAGTACATGTACTGGTTACATGTGAGCCTATGGCCAGACTCTTAGGACAAGAAATTGTACTGGCTCTTCACCCCACGACTGCCAGCACATTTACACTTACCACAGTCTACTTTCGATAAGACGTGTATTCAGTCCTAGGGAAACCTTTACATGTACTAAAAAAAGAAAAGAAAAAAAGTTTGGGATCCTTCCAGTCAATCCCCAGCTTCCTAAGCTACCAAAGGGCCACGTCGTTTTACATGAACTCGATGATGAAAATAATTATGGTCTCCCAGCAAAGATAGCGGGCAAAAAAGTAACATGCAATGTACTAAGCCTGTGTGTTCCTTGTCCCAGGTCTATGGTATGCTGTACAAAATATTGTTCCTCATAGTCATACATAAAATCATTCAACACACATGTTCATCAGTTCTACTACTGGTGTACTCAGTAACTGAGTTCACTGTTCAACTGAATATCAAGCAGGGAACTAGAAAGAGAAGATCGTGCCGGTAAGATAGCAGAACGATTTCCTAACCAGTTTAACTTACGCTACGTCATTGTTCAATGACAATCGTGAATGGAAGCAAGCATGGACAGAACCAGAGGACACAGCAAACAATGACTTTCAAAAGCAGCACGACTCAAGCAAACGTCGCCGTGTTGATGCTACCTCGGAGTGCCGCCATCTCTTAGAAAGACACGAAAAATCGACGGGATAGCTATGTTATGAGGGGCTATGCAGTTGTTCAATGAAGAGAAAAGGGGAACCGAGAAATGCAACAGTACTGTCTCTTCTGTACTTGACAGACACTTCTGACTTGGACATAAGCTTTTGGAGTTTTGTCGGGAAGACACACAAGGAGAGCTAGAGCTAGCCTGAGTACGAGGGTGACAATTTTTTTGAAAAAAAACACGTGTCATGTCTGAATGTGTGAATAGTATACACTGTGAAACTAGAATCGATCGAGTACGCGACTACACACACGTACAGTACACGCGAGTGTCGAGTGCATGCGCAATTGCGCATGCATGCATGCAGCGAGTGCGCATGAGCTCATGATCTGAGTCATGACATGCACATGAGTGAGATCATGATCATTCCGAGGGTAATGACGTAACAATCGTCCAAACACTGAAGGCAGGCACGCGGGAATTCCCCTTTTGGCCTGATTAATTCAAACCTCAACAAAATGTTAGTATGTAATTGTACTTCAAAAACAAGAATTACTTGAAGAAGGTCGAAGAAGGAGATCAACAACAACACACCAACTACCCAGTCCTACGATTTCAATCATTTGAGATCTAGCTTGTTGAGTCGCCTCCACCCTGTAATAATGAGATCCAGCTTGTGCGTTTAATTGTCACGCGTTCGTGACCTTAGTCTCTGTTGCAAGGTAGCTTGGTGAGTTTGTGTCACTCTTCTGGTGCTTGATAAGTCACGGTCAGCGATGATGAGAAGTTCTTCTGGAGAACATGGCATTGCAAGCGGCGTGGTACATAGCTCTGGTGTGGCTGATTTTGAGCTCGATTCATGCATTTCTCTCAGTGAGTATAATATTATGTATCGTATACAAGTAGTACCATAGTCCTATCCAGGTTATATGAACGCTCTTGGGCCTCACGTTTTGAAGGTGTGTTCTGGTAGTCCGAATCACGTTGCATCCACATAATTCTATTATTTGAGTGAAACCGTAATGATGCAGAAACCCAGTCACTCAGAAGGATTAGAACATCAGGGAGACTCCATATTGACGTAACATGAAATGTGCAGTGAAGTGTCAATCAGTAGGCACGAAGCACCAGCTTCAATATTAGACTCGGCCAACTTACGCGCAGTGTGATGTACAAAATGCAGTGCATGTTTTCTGCAGTGTACTTGGGAGGGAGGCAGTGGTTAAGGTCGTCCGAGAATCTCGTGATTGCCATTGTATTGTTGTGACTGGTATGGACATGTACATTGTTGTTAGGAAATGGCAGATCAAAATGGAGGTTGACATCTCATTACTGCTCTTGATGCTCACACGACCGTTACTTAGCCTATGGATCCGTAACACAGTTAAATTTTGGTATAGCGTACTTCAAAGGGCCATAGATGTCTGTACTCTATAGACCTTATTCGATAAACGTCACAATCACGTGAACCGGGGTCCCGGGAACCAGGGATTGGCAAGAGACCTGCACTCAGTGCACAGTGGACTCGGCGTGGGAACATAGGAGTAGGAAGAATACTGGTATTTTACTACTCCCTTGTACGAACTGGGCCTTTCTTGCCACTCGTTTCACGTACGCGTGCCCCAGCTTACGACAAATCCCTGGAGGCGAGTCCAAAGATCACGTTATCGAATAAGGTCTATAGCTGAGGTGCTGTATATCCAAGGTCAAGTAATCCTGGTATACATGTCTCAAATGGATGTAGTATTCCTAGACAGCTGCGAAACGGTATTTCTATGGTATGAGCCTGGATTGATATGTTGATGCTGCGTGAATCCGGCAAATAGTCCGGGACACCCTCGCTTTCAATGATGCTACAGTCCATTTCAAAAATATAGACGCATGGTATGGTATTTTTGAAATATTTCAAATTTAGGTGGAGCTTTTCGAGAACTTTTTTTCGGAATATTGCTCAGGTCCTTCCTGCAATTAATCTCATATAGATTTTTAAGCGATCGGATAGCAAACACCCAATTTTCAAATTTTTATGCAAAAAGTGATCACAGATTTTATGCGGTATAGATGCTGGCCTAACGGTTTTTTTGAAATCACGTGTCTATATTTTTTAAACGCACTGTAAATATAGACCATGCCTCAATCCAGGCGAGACTTTGTGCCTGAGTGTAGCGACCGTGGAAATCAATAGCGATACGTCTGCCGAGCTTCCTTCTACTTGAAAACGTTTACCTGTAGTTGGCAGTTCCACACTGCTACTGTGCAGCTTGGCACGACTGTGGCCAGATCCACATGCTCAGCATTTCTCATTCTTTTTTTCACATTCTGCTGACCTGTGTGCCATGCACGATGGCAGTCTCCTGAAACATCCAGCTTCCATACCTTCCACATGTGTGGCCGCCTCCGGCTCCAGTTCTTCTGTTACAGTATACCTGGGACAGAGTGGCCGGAACCCGCTGAGGGCGTTGCCTCCTGGATATCTGGCAGTTGGGCTAGTGACAGCTCCATCACCAACCAACACGAATGAGTGATGAATAATGATAATTATAGGAACAGTGAGGAACATTCTAGGTGTTATACAACTCATGTCAGAAAGATGTTGTACTGAAGAATGAAATGCACTGAAAGGACTATTATGTAGAGAACCAAAGCGACAAGAAGATGATGTGATGGAAAGCGGAACACTATAACTGTGTTAACATGTAGAGCATACTGTTGAATGCAAAGGGTATGTTTTAAATCCACTTTTGTGTGCACTTTTAGTCTTGTGTTCAATTGCATGTTTTTATTGTCTCCTTCGGCTGCTCTCTGCTCAGACATTCCATGTCACCTCATTAGTGTATACTAGCTTCCTGAATCGCAATGGCCTCTCAGTTAGTCCTGGTCATTTCAGAATTTACTGGAGTGGCTGTGGTACTTGGGTACATCGCCTAGCCACGATTCCCGGTCTCCGCACCTGGTTTAATGCTGGTAGCGTTGTCAGCGCCATACTTCTGATCGCTTCCTTACCTGTTCTGGCTGTTTTGCTCCTGCAAACCTTCCAACAGCCACCTGAGCAAGCAATCCTAAAACCAGTTGTAAGTTTGCTCGTGTTTGAAATTCTGGCATGTTGGTGGGTTCGTATACTGCAGACAAATAAAACAAATGCTGGTACATGTTGAAGCCTGTGCGTAGTCTGTACGTAGTCTGTGTGCAGTCTGTGTGTAGTCGGTGTGCGGTCTGTGTACAGTCTGTGTGTAGTCTGTGTGTAGTCTGTGTGTACTAGTAGTCGGTGTGCAGTCTGTGTATACTACAGTAGCCTGCATACCGGTAGTAGGCATGTACTGATGTAGGTGCTGTGTCCGTGTCAGCAACTTACGTGCCAGGGGGAGTTGGCCACTGCCCACCAGCTGAGATGCTGCTTGTCCTCGGGACCTGAAAAATGGTTTGTCTTATTCGAGGGTTCATCTTAGCCTGCATTCATGTTATCTGAGCTGTACTCTGTGTGCTCTTCTATCTATAAATGAACTCATCGCTAGATGTACTGAATTCGTTAGGGTACCCCGTAAGACAACTGTAGTCGGTGGGGTCCCCCAGCAAGATTCAATAACAACAACAAGAACAACAACAACAGCAGCAACAACAACAACAACAACAACAACAACAACAACAACAACAACAACAACAACAACAACAACAACAACAACAACAACAACAACGTGAGAATAAAAGATTTCAACAACAACAACAATAACGACAAGCACGAACAAAATATCCCATATACTTTTGTTTGCGTTTCCAGATTCCCGGGGTCAATGTGCCATGGAGCCAGATGGTATACGTCGCCTTGACGATTTTTGTGTGTGCTGTGCTACATGAACTTGGTCATGCCGTCGCAGCTGTGAAGTAAGATTATTTATGTACATTGTTCTTACTAAGCCATTGGGCAGAAACTGCATTGAAAGAGCTGGAAATGTCAAGACGCATGACTATTTATGATTGGACTTACATCAGTGATGTTCCTTTTGTACATTGCGGGGTGGTTGTCCGTGAAATCAATATATTTGTCACCAAAGAGACGCGGTCATGCAGACCAGGTGGTTGCTCAAACAGGTTATTAGACACCCTTAGCAAAAAACGTTATGTTGTAACAGTATTACCGTAAGGGGAAAAATACTGAGATTTGGGTTTGACCTTTAGCAAGATGAACGCTAATTTTAGTACGCTGTTGCCATGAGTATAGCTTTTATTTCGCATGGTACAACAATTTATGGCGCCATATACCCGATACAAGGTGAAATGGGTACGTACTATGCAATATTCGGCCAAAAAACATACCGTTTGTCACAACGATCAATCAGCCTCCATAACGTTTATACGCTGCAGCTTCAACGCTATTTGGGTGATCAAGGGACGAGTACCGCAACAAATAGCGTTACCGTTGTTTGCTAAGGGTGTCTATTCTTTGGCACTTCACACGCTGAACGTGCAAGGTTCAATCTGGTTTCAGAGACCACCTGTGTTCAAGGACCGCAATATAATCCAGTCCACTGGTGGTTTGCTGAAGCCAGATTTTATCTCTATGACCTTTTGTCATTATCCTTGGTAGTTGAGTTGGGTATGTAGTATGTACAGAAAGATCAAGTTCCATCCTGTTCACCGTTCTACAATGCATGTATTTTCCTCCAGACTGTGCTTACAGTGACATGTTGTGCCTGTACAGACTGCAATGTTGGACACACTCCTCTATTTCTCATTTATTCAACTGCCTTCCTGTTGTCAGAGAGCAAGTGCGCGTTGATGGCTACGGCGTGTTCGTGTTTCTCATCTATCCCGGCGCGTTTGTTGATCTTCATGAAGAGCACATGGCCGTCATATCCACTCTTAGGCGACTGAGGATCTATTCAGCCGGTGTCTGGCATAACTTTGTGCTGGCTGCACTTGGTGGTGCGTTAGTGGTGTGCATGCCAACGCTAATGTCCCCGCTCTTTGCAACTGGACAAGGTGCTGTAGTCGTCAATGTCAAGCAGGTAAAATCTTCAGTCTGATCACCTCTCTCATTATCACCGTAGAGTAAGAGTGCATTCACGAGAGAGAAGGATGGGGGAGGGGGAGTGTTGGATTCATTTACCATACAATGGCGCATGTAGAACTTCCTATGTTCTATTTAGAATGTTTAGAGTATTTGAGAAGAAGCAGTGAAGATCAGGAATGCTGCATTGGTTTCTCTGCTCTGGTCTGTTCCTCAGGAATCCGCACTGTATGGGGCGCTGCCTGTTGGCACACAAATCACTCAGATCAGTGGCTGCCCAATTGAATCGGTCCCTCACTTTGCCAGCTGCATCCGGCGCATCTATTCTATGGACATTGGTTATTGCCTGCGCTTGGACCATGTCCAAAAGCAGCAACGTAAGCATTGTGGCTGGTTTGTACATCCTACTGTAGTTGAAAGCTAGTAAAATTCTGCATCGGAGTCTTCAACATCTCTCTTATTAAAGAAAATTGACTTTGTAAGCGTGTTTGGATTTCTGTTAACAGGGCTGCAGAACCACCCGATTGGGAGCGAGTCCACGCAAGCACCACACGATTGCTGTGGACCTAGTCAGTCTGATGTGTGCTTTGCCTATGAGAGCAGTCAAATGCACCAGGTACTGTCAAAGTGTGTATGTGTGTGTGTTTGTGTGTGTGTGTGTGTGTGTGTGTGTGTGCACGTGTTTGTTTGTGTGCACGTGTGTGTGTACAGTCAGTATCGCCTATAGCGTTGATGTTTGATTTTGAGCATGTTATCACTATAAGCAATATATTACTATGACCGATGCTGCATGCAGTGTATGCGAGTGGGGTGTCAAACGACTCAGCCCACTGTGCACATACATGTATGCACTGCATAGCTGGCTACAGCTCCTGACACACAACATCAGCATTTCGTCACGATGGAGGCAAATTTGGCAACTTGTACAAGCAGATCTCACCAAACAACACTGGACAAGTAAAGTTAGTTCTTCACGAAGAAGTAACACCCTGTTCTCCTCTGGTACCACTTGATTTTACATCAGTCACTATAACCGATGCAAAAATAATGTAATAAAGGTCTTTTGAAATATGAATTTGATCACTATAGGCGATAATAATTAGTACTACTTGTATAGAAGATTATTACTATACGCGATAACTGTGTATACTTAGTTATGGCAAATGAAAGTGAACTTGAGAAATTGATCACTATAGCCAGTATATTACTATAGCCGCCAACCTTATAGGCAATACTGGCTGAATGTGTAAGGTATGTGTGTGTGTGTGTTTGTGTGTGGGGGGATGTGCGGATGTGAGTGTATGTGTGTTGTGGCTGCTGCCTTCACTGTGAGGCACTTATCCATGGCGTGCACCAATGATTATGTTGTAGAGTTACTCAAGCTCCGAACACTCTTGTAGAGATATCATACTATGATTGTGTAACTATGTGTATCTGGTTACTGAGAGACATTCCAGGTGATGTTGGTTACTATGTACTGGTTTCACCACTGCTATATTATGTGAATGATTGTTTCTCATTCTGCACATCACACACTCATTACAGTCTTTGACTTTTGCATTTCCCAAATCACGGTGGTCTTCACATTCTTATCAGGGTGTTGCGGCAGTGAAAGAAATGAGAATGTTTATTGTGGGACGTGTATTGGATTACTACAACTGTTCCAACAATACATTCTTCTACTTGATGCATGATCTCTCCTCTTTTCACTTTAGCATTTTTCCCCTGCCGCAAATTGAGTAAAACCTGGGCTTAGAATATGGTTTGGAAATGAAATTATTGAACACAGAATGATGCACTCAGTGTTCTGAGAGTGCTCGTGGATGCCGTGCAGGCGGAGCCTAGTACACAATACAACACAGTGGAGCAAGGCAGAGCGTAGTACGCAGTACAGCAGTGAAGCAAGGCTAGTGTGTTGCAGCTGAGCATGAAACTCAGCTTGCTCCACTGTTGTACCGTATGACATGGGTTGTGCAGTGAAATTGTTTGAAACGCTATACTTCCTTCTCCGAAACTGATATTCAACTCAATCTGTCTCCTGATATAGCTTCTCATTGTGCCCATTTTTGGTGCTGTGAAGTGCAGGCGAATAACTTAGGAGTTGTCTTTTGCTTGTCCTGTTTACAGGGGTCGGTGTGCCTGAATGCACGGAACGTTACAGCTAACAGGATTTGTCGCTCTGCTCGGCACTGTATTTCCCACAATGATGACATCAACCAACTTCCAAGTAAGAGAAGAGGGGGTGGAGAGTACATGCCATACACAACACTCATATTGTGGGAAGAAGGGATATCTGGCATTATAGTAGGTATCTCAGAGATTCCCTGCTTTCAATCTGTTGTTCTGAATTCTAATAATGGTAGATAGACAGTGCACTGTAGTGTACGTCCTCTGTAAACACATACATCATGACTTTTTCAATATTTTTGAGATTTGATCGGACTCTGTGGAGAGGAAGAGGTTAAACACAATTCTGTGGCGAGGAGCTCGAGAAATTAATCATTCAAGTGGGGGGCAACATGAGGCTCACGGAATTCTCGTACCAGAAACTCTTGGAAGTGCTGGGTAATTCTTTTTCTGAAAAGAATACTGGAATCAAAAGTGCCTGCAAGCTCAAGTTGTGCATGGGGTTTGGTTTGGATGTCAAGAGTCACGCTGCTTGTTTCTCACTGCTCACATCATCTTTGGATAGATCGAGTGCCATTTTTGAAGTCGGTTGTACGTTTCCTTTGCTTTCTGTGTGTGTGCTGAAGTGGTGTTAGGTAGTCTGCCATTTGTGTGTGCCAAGCCTCAGCTGGACCCCACCAGCCGCCTTCTCCGAATCCAGCACTCCTTGGGAGAGGATGTCATGTTTGAGGGAAATCCTTATTTAGTATTTTATCAAGGTATGTGCAGTATACTAGTATTGTGTCTTTTCTAGGCGTACAGAGGATTGGTAATCCATTTCCCTTTCAGCAGACAGTTGTATCAATCTCAATCAGACAGTTCACGCTCTAAGTTATGGGCAAATGACCCTGTTCACTAAGACCATTGGGAATCAGTATCAGAGTTTAGGTACTGATTTCCAGCTGGCTTAGTGAACCGTGCCATAATGTGGTGATGTTCATAATGTGTTTAATGTCGTGTCTGCTATGCGTGACTGCTATGCGTGTGTATGGATGCATGTTCACATGTACTTCAAGTACTTGTGTGTATGTGTGCATTCCTGTACATTGTTACCGTGCAGTGCATGCTACCAACTACAGCCCGCGCTGGCGGTGGGCCTCCTCTTTACGCTACCTGCCTGTGTTCCTGGAGTTCTGCGGTGTGTATCCTCAACAGTCACAGCATGTACATGACACTGGCTGCATGGGAATGGGCTATACTGCCCTGCTAGCTGGAATCGCCCCATTGCTTTCATCCTGTAGTAGAGTGTGACTATGATGTAGAGTGTGACTATGATGATTTCATCCTGTAGTAGAGTGTGACTATGATGTAGAGTGTGACTATGATGATTGTTATACAACCATAGTATGCACAGTTGAGTGCAGTAATGTACTTCGAAGTACCTGGAAGAAAAATTGGTGAGGCTCCTAGATTTACACTATACAGGGCTCTAGCTAAATGATTGTGTGAGGGTACAGCACCCTCCTGTGGAGATTGGGCCTACTTACTAATATGCCGGCATGCTGTACAGTGAAATTCCTGTACTTACCTTCATGGGGCAGTGCCAATCTTTACTTTTTAGCTGAAGGTGCCGGAGTACTGTACATCTCAGGACCTTGACGGTCGTATGTAGGGTACTCGAAATAGTAGCTACATCCCAGAATACAGCAGGCTAGTATATCTTCTCTTCAGTATTAGTAGTCCCTTTCTCTCTTGCAGGTTTTCCTAGTTGGAACCCTAACCCTACTGCTGTCCTGTCTGGTGTCCGTAGAGTCTTCACGCTGTACTTCGGGACAATTTTGGGCACCTTCTTTTCAAGCGTAACACCCACTTTTAGTCCTCACAGAAAAAGTGAAGTACACCATCGTGATCGGGAACCAAAAACAAGATAAGACGAAGAAAATTCTCGGTGACTGTTCCCCTTTTTAACGGATGACTTGATTGTGATTTTATGCTGTGTGTTGGAGCAACACACAGTGAAGTCAAGTGCAGCACACTGCACGACTCAGACACCATCCCATTGCTGTAGCATTGCGGATAAGGGGACCTGGAGTGTACAATCGTGTCGTGGAGCAGCACCGCTCTGCTGGCAAGCTGTTGTCAAATTGTATACACGTGCGACTCGTATATTACTGTAGGTAAGGTATTGCGTTGCTTCCTTGACTGTATTTGTCCACTCTAGGTACTTGATGTCCATTTCTTCAGCTCTCTGTTTTCTGAACGTGGTACCTGTCTATTATCTTGACGGTCACTGGGTGTTGATCACCCTAATCGAACACTTCCTGCCAGCTTATGTTCCCAGCCAGCGCGCTCGGAACAAATTTGCGCACGCTGTGCTGACAATCGGCACTATACTGCTCTCAGCCAATGTCCTTGTGGCATTGGTTGGTGTTCTAAGATAACACCTACTGTCTTGTTGAGGCTCTGCTCGGTTGGGACTCTCGTTGCAAACATGTCGTTGCAGGTCAACGGTGCCGCAGCCTCGCAGTGTCTCGATCTTCATTATCATGAGACAGGAACAATGAATGGAGCTTTATCTCTTGAGAATGTTGGAATATACGGTCCTACTTGATACACTTTAGTGCAAATCATACGATCATGTCATGTTAGATTCTATCTTTCAATCTGTCGCCAGCAAATCCCTTGGTTTTTGGCTGAATTATTTTGATGACCAACCTACACGAATTAGTGAAATGAGTTTCATGAGATGCTTTCCATACACTCCAGGAATTTCTAGCTTCCGGGTGTAGCTTCTGTCGTGGTTCTGTTTACAACACTAGATGTGCTAACCTGTGGCAGTACTGTTGCAAAATTCCGTTCGAGAATTATTTGCGCTCGTTGTATTTGGTTCTTGTCCTGTAGAGTCCAATGTCTGATGTCATAATGGTCTAAGTGTACGTGCGAGTGTGGTGTGATGTGTGACGCGTATGGTATGTGGTGCATAACTTACAAGAGTACGCGTTGTCAGGCCAGGGTGTGAGAATCTGCTTCCGTCTATGCGAGAGTGACTGTCAAGTGAATGTCGTGCATGCGCAGTGCTAGTTTGGACTGGGAGTGAGAGTGATGTGTGATTCGTCCGTGGCCCGGTCTGGTTGTCTTGTTGGTCTTGGTCATGTGTTCTGTACTTTGAAGTACATATTGGTCGTCCCGATTTGTCTCCGCTTTATTACTGCTTGTTCTTTGTTGTTTCTTGGTGTCTTTTCCCGTTGTCTTTTTGTTGAGTCTTGTTTCGTCTTTCTCCTCCTGCGCCCTTGCCGTTTATTGTTGAGAAGTGAATATTGAAACTAACAGAACGGTGTGTTGTCTTTTGGCGGGGGCCAGGGGGAGAAGGCATTTCCATTTCAGTACTCCTCAATCGATCACAGACACCTGTTCATGGTGTCTTTGTACTTGTTCAGCATACTAGCACATGACTTCTATACTCAGTCTCCCTGCCCATTCTATCATCATCGTCTGCTGCATCCATTACAACTCTCTGAGTAATGCAGAACACTCAAATCCTATTACCGGTATATTATAGGATTGCCACAAACACTGACATATCCTCAAATGTCTCGATGGGTCAAGGGAAAAATACTGCGACTCTTACAAATTCTGAAGTGAGCGAACTGATGCTGCATATGCTGCTGCAAGCGCTGCCCATCTACCTTACAGTGAAATTTAGCCTTTTTTCTTTCTTTTTTAGGCACACCATTTGAAGTTTTGAACCGTTGATTATTGACGAAAACCCAGTTTTGCACGAATTGGGTGGGTCAACTTTTTCCCAGAAATAAGGTCCGGCCATGGTCGGACCGGGTGTTAGACCGTGTGATTGGTGAAGGCAGCAAACACTGTCTCACCTGTGACTGGCAGTAGTCTTGGCTCCTTGTACTGCTGGAGACGGGTGTGACAGTGGAGGGTCTTCAGACGGTATTCGGCATTGGTAGGTGCGGCCATGAAGAGGTGTTTGTGTGTGGGGGGGGGGGGGGATTTTTTGGAAAATTGGCCCCAGGTAGCTTATAATTATAGCAACAATGATGACTAATTGCACTGTAAGCATTTCCTAAATGTCGACATGAAGGAAATGTTTACAGGCTCAATGCAATTTTTAATTAAATAGCTCATACACTGTGACAGTGCAGTGAAACCTGTCAAGGCGACCACTCGGATAAGTCGACCACCTGTGCTAGAAGACCACCGCAACCAGGACCAAGGCCGCAAGGGATGCTATTTCCAGTCAAATGACCCTGGATAAGGCGCCCCCCTGGTGCAGCTGATATGATGTGGTGTGTAGATCTGTCAAGACCTTTTCTGCTGTCCTGGATCCTCCCCACAAGTACAAGTACAGTGATCAGGGCAGATGCACCGTGATTTTGACTCTATGACTTCTGGCTGTTCTTTATCGCGCAGCCCAAAATTATACTATTAGTGTTGACAGACAGCCGACCAGAGCTGCCGCATGTGTACTGATAACGGTCGTCAGGTTTGACAAGTTGGCAAGCTGCACACACCAACAACATGCCATAGCTTTGGCGAAGGTAGGGCAAGTAATTAGTTACCCGTCGTAGATGGCGGCACCGGGCAGGTACGACTGCCTGTGCTAGTGTTGGCGGACAAGGTAGATTGCTTTCGCTAGGAAGAAAAAGAAAAAGGCAAGGACTTTCTCCTTCTTCTGCATGGAGCTAGTTTGGACGTATTCGCGTGAATGTCTCGCGTACCGGAATGCGATGAAATATTCCCTAGTCAAGGTAAGAATATACTTAGCACCATGCTGGGAGGGGTTATCCTGAGAACTGAGAGATTCATTTTCTTGCCTGGCTTACCCCCACCAACTAATCAAAGGCTGGGCGCTGACCGCGCGCTGTTGGCAACGGGCGCTTGAAGTGGAGGCCAATGCAATCCTTGGCTAATATTTATTGGGCTAGAGGTTGGTAGAAACTGTTGTGAGCTTTGTAAGGCGATCTTGAGGGCTTTTATGCTCGGTCACATCGGAGCGGCGAAGGCAAAGTCACCAGGCAGTCTCGTGATAGCCACATGCCCGCTAGGAGAGCTAAAACCTAGATTCTTGTGAATTGATGTGATGCGCCTGCGACGTGACCGTTTCTGCTATTTTCGCTATGCTTGTATGAATAGAGACACTTCTGGCTCTATGATCCCACCAAGAAGTTACAACCACTGCCACTGGTTGCTGTAGATAAACGATTGGGGCTTGGCGATAATTGTCTAACTTTAGTACTGTAGTACTAGTATTTAATTTTGATAAGAGGAGAGAAGAAAATCAGCCATTTATTTTGATTAGAACCACATCCATTATTCAAATCCCTGCCAGCTATTTGTCCCTTTGGCTCTGGTTTCATGGTATGGCTGCTGCTTGCACTCTTTTCATATCAATTATTTATGTTTCAGCGAGGTCCCTTGCTGTCTGAGTTTGTTTTATGTCTTGGCTTGTAAGGCGCCGCTAGTATCGCAGTAAATGCCGTGATATTAAAATTAAACTTGACTTTAGAACACTACCTAGGAGACAAGTTTGCTGGGTATTTGAAAAAGATACTTGGGTCCTAAGGTTCGAACAGCTAGGAACCTTGGAAGGTTCGATGAGCTGTAGGTGGCAATCACGAGTCAGTCAAAATCTTAGCCTCGGTCAGCAGAAGGCACAAGCTCCGAAGTTAAGAGCTGGCAACTTCAAAGAAATAAATATTGTGCAGGCCTACAGTAGAATGGTGTCCGTTCTGGCTGAAGAAGCTGGGGTCTTCGTCAAACATAACTGGTGGATTCTAGATTCTTGTCCTTTTGTCCGTGTGTGCGTGCGCGTGTGTGTGTGTGTGTGTGTGTGTGTGTGTGTGTACGTATGTGTGTACGTGTGTGTGTCTAGGATGCTACTCATCCGTTGCGCTAACCATGACGGTAGGGCGGCGGCATGGAGGATGCGATACATGGTCGGCACCACACTGTTGCTGTGTGCAGTGCTGAGCACGGGCAGTGATGGCGGTACGTCCCACTGCGAACATCCCTATGCCGGTCTGTACAGCCCAGCCAGGGTCGGTGATTTTGATAACAAGTACCCACCGCTGGTGTCCATGGCTACGATGATGAAGAATGCATGGGTGACTGGGTATAATCCGGTCGCGTTGAGGCCGGTGGGCCGAGCCAATCACGCTGCAGCTACCATTCTGCTCCAGATTGATAATGTGACTCTCGAAGAGACAATGATGGTGTTTGGTGGTGTGTCCGACAAGGATGACTTTGCATCGGAAACTTGGCTCTATCAGCCAAAGCGCAATGCTTGGCTAATGCCACAGGTCGAGCAACTGACGCCGCGATTCGGGCACACAATGGTGACTGGTCCATCTGGTGAGTACGTACTTCTGCTTGGCGGCTGTGCTGTCACGCCACAGGAGGAAACTCTCGGCCAGTATGTCTTCTACAACATGACCTGGAAGAACGTGAACATCACGACCTTCCCAAGCCGGTTTCTGCACAGCACCACAATCCTACCTCATTATCACAGTACAACCGTGCAGCACAGTTCTGAACGCCATGTGATTGGGCCCGCCACCACTGAGCGCCGCATCTACGTATTCGGTGGCTCACTCTGTGAGGAAAAGGAGGGCTTTGAAGTGGACGAGCTCTGGGAGCTGCACTTTGATGCGGACGAGTTCCCCGGTGTCCGTGGTGCGGAGGATTTGCTGCATTGGAACTTGGTCAACGTGTCTGGAAGTAGACCGTCGCCTAGAGCAGGTCATGTCGGTGTGTCAACACCCTATGACACTATGCTGATATTCAGCGGCTTCTACAACTCAACAGTTCTCACCGACCTGTGGGAGTTATACCTCGATTCTCAGCACGACGAGTGGCTCTGGAAGCGGCTACCAAGTCTGCCGATGTCACCAAACAGCATGCGGACATGTGACTCGGTGATTGGTGCGTATGTCGATCGGGAGGATGCTATCATCGTGGCATTCTCGTGCACCAAGAACTCTACGCTCAGCTTATGGTCGTATATGTATCTAAATGCAACCTGGGAGTACTTGATGCCTGTGGGCATACAGGCGCCACAACCACTGTCGTTTCCATCCATGAGCATTGTGGATGAGCAGTTGCTGGTCTTCGGTGGTAGGACTCAGTACGGCCTGTCGTCAGAAGACGTTTGGGCCTTTGTTAAGCGAGCTGAGTTCAGCATGTGGGCCATACAGCCGCAGCCAGTAAGCTATCCACAGCCCAGGGCATTGCACTCGGCTGCATTCTGCCCCATTCTTGGCATCATGTTCGTCATCGGGGGATTTCGGATTGACCTTCAGCCACCCGGTGTCCTGCAGCCTGCCGTGCTAACAGACAACGTCATCTGGCAATGGAATGCATCGTTTGACCGCTGGACACAGCAGCCGGTACCGCTGACCTTTCAACCACGCTTGGCATCAGCATCCCAGATTATTGATGGTAACCTTGTCATATTTGGTGGCATAGATGGCGAGTCAAAGTCCCTGAGTGACACATGGCTTATGGGCACTACTAATTTGATGTGGAGTGAGAGTGGTAGCAACATCAAGCCGACCGGTCGAGGAGCGCACACTATGGTGTCCTACAAAAACAAAGCTGTTGTGTTTGGTGGACTCGACGCCACAACCGGAAAAATCCTCAATGATCTCTGGTTTTATGACGTTCCTTTGGATGCGTGGTATGCTAAACCGGTGACGCAAGCATCTCGTAGAATTCCTGGTCGGTTTGGTCACGGTGCAGCGATTGTCGATCATCACATGTACGTGTTTGGTGGTGTGGTTGATAATGATATGAATCCACAGGACCAGAGGCTGTGGCGCTACGATCTGGTGAACAACCTGTGGGAGATTGTTGGTGGTGATAGCATGGCGATGATTCTGCCCGAGCCTCGCTTCTTTGCTAGCTTCACTGCCATTGGCAAGAAGCTTGTCCTGCTGGGTGGCTGTACACAGTATGCATCTCTCACTCTGACACCAGAAACCTGGTATACACAGCTTCCGATCTTTTGCTGGGACGACCGAAGGACGCTGGAGCTGGCCTTTGTCTTTGACACCGGGAAGATCACGAACAACCAGAAGTTCAACTACAACGGCGAATGGACATATCCACTGCAGTTGCGCAAGGCACCGCCCATGTACATGCAGCACACAACGGTTGAGCTGGATGGCCGCCTGATCGTGTACGGTGGTATTAGCTACCAGTATCTCTACAATGAATCAGCCGGCGCTGGTCAGAAGTGGATTGTGTCGATTGGCTGTGACACGGGCTACTATAGCCGTACATTCTCCAGCAACTCGTGCAGCCGCTGCTCAATCGGTACCTACTCCACTGAGCCAGGACAGGGGCAGTGCCAGCGTTGTCCGAATGGTACGTACACGAGCGATACTGGCAGTACCAATCTGCTGAACTGCAGCCTGTGCAATGCCAACGAGTTCTGCCATGGTCACGGGCAGTGTGTGGTCCAGCACAATGGCAAGGAACTGAACGCTGCCTGTCAATGTAACTTTGGTTATAGCTCATCGGACCGTTGCAACGTACCTCTGTACTACATGATTGGAGGCAGTGGTGCACTCATGGTCGGAATTGTCCTCGTACTGTCCTACGTCTTGGTCAAGTATAGGCAGAAGCGAGAAGCCGAACAAGAGAAGGTGCGTCTGCTGCGCACAAGTCGCCAGGAGATAGCTGAGTTGTCCAATGCCTGGCTCATCAACCCTGAGGAAATCACACTGAAGCAGCGTATTGATAAGGAATTCCCGGGTAGCTTTGGTCAGGTGAGTGACTTCAACCGACTTATGAGCTGTTTTTTTCCCAACTGCATGTGTCCTGGTCGTCTGGTATCGGTCTGTCAATACAGGTGGAATCCTGATAATTCGAATATGGCTTAATTCGAACATACCGCTTAATTAGAAGTTTTTCCAGGACCGATTTCTGTCAATACGATTCCCACATAAATGTTTCTGATAATTCGAACCTCGAACCGGACATGTCGGATTAATTCGAAGTTCCACGGATTCCATTTACATAGAAAATGTGTGAGATTTGTGCTGATAGTTCGAAGTTAGCAAAGTGTAATTCGAAGTTCACTGTACTTCAAGTACACTGTACTGATCAGTTCAGTTTTCATGAGCAGGCTGTGCTGGTCAGTTCAGTATTGGTGAAATCTGTGTCTAAGGTCCATAGCGTAACTCTGCGTGACCAGGGGAGCATTTTGACATACATATTGTGTTGTGGGTTCATGTTTGGGTAATTAGAATGTCCGGATAATTAGAAGTTTTTTTCTGGCATTTGGAGGTTCGAATTATCAGGATTCCACCTGTACTATAATTTTATTTGCTATCCACTTGGCCTATATGACGTACTTCCCCACATATAAGGATTATAAGCGTATGGGCTTATAAGTGAAATTTTGCCACAAAAAAGATTTTTTGCTGTGTGAGCATGTTCGGGTAGAAGCCCATACGCTTGTATGTGGAATACTGGTTTGTCTGTGTCCTAAACAACAGTATTATCACAATGCTTATCAGTATATTCAGCTCCCGGGTGTTTTCACCAATAGAGTTCACATAGGCGCATGCGCATGCGGTTATAATTAGGGGAGGGGGGGGGGGGCTTATGTACAGACATGAGCACATGCGCTGGGCGGAAGTACGGTATGGGTATGAAAATAAGATGGTTGATAGTGTTGTGAATGTGCTGAAGTTGGCTTTCCTCTTTGTCTTTTTCATCTATCTGCATGTGCATTATAATTTGAGGCACATGCTGACAGTACCACTGTCTCCATGCTCTGCTGTTTTGAATTCAGGTTCACTTGGCTGAATACCGGGGATTCCAGGTTGCGGTCAAGAAGCTGGGTGTGGCCCTGGGCAATTCGGAGAGCCGATTGTTTGAACGCGAACTTGAGACGATGCGTGCCATTCGACATCCAAACATTGTCCTTTTCATTGGAGGAGGGCACATGGTGGAGAGAGACAATCGCCCAGTTCCGTTTATCGTCATGGAACACATGGCCCGTGGCACTTTGCGACAGGTTGGTGCTGTAATTGTTATTTGTGTGCGTGTGTGAAGGGGGGGGGGGGGGGGGGCAGATTACTGACATCATGAACAGATAACCTTTTGCAAATTACCACTGCAACTTACTAGTACCGTGTTTTCCGGAGTATAGGCCACACTTTGAACACTCAAAATTCACCCAAAAAAAGGGGTGCAACTTATACCCCGATGATCAAAAGAGGGGGGGGGGGGGGGGTGTTCAGATTATACTCCAGTGCTGCTTATACCCCGGAAAATATGGTAGTTGATTGTGTTTGCATTTGTCAACCCAAATCACTCTATCTTAGGTGCTTGCATCTTTTGGTCAAGAATGTGTCCCATTCGAATTCTCTGTTGCATCTACAGATTCTGGCTGATTCAACCGTCAGTGTGGATCTTGCTCAGCAGCTTCGATTTGCACTGGACATAGCCAAAGGTCTCCGCTTCCTGCACAGTCTCAGTCCACCTCGCATTCACCGAGACCTGAAGAGTACAAACCTGCTTGTCAGTGACCGTTGGGTTGTGAAGGTATGTGTACGTGTAGATCTACTCACTGCCGATGTGGCCCGGTTTTACTCAAGTTCATGCTATTGCGTGGGGCAGCTCGTGAGGCAAGGACACACTTCAAACTTGAATATAGTGCTTCTGCGAGTGACCCGGTCTTGCCATCTACTACAACTATGTTTATCCTTCACCGAAGCCGTGTACACTCAAACGCCTGTTATCCGGACGCCTCAGATACGGGCACGTCTCTCTACCGGCCACCCTCAGCTTGACGGTTCCTATGGCAAAAATGCTTCGAATTTGGGGGGTTGAACTTTTTTCCGAATGCACAAGTGCTTATTTGTCACTGCCAACCTGTGTAATCCATACATTTTTATCCATGGATTATTTTTGTAACCTGAACATGTGCAATATGCACCAAAAAAACTTCTTCAAAAATGATAATGATGCATGGTAGATGAGTTATCCTGAGATACGGGCAAATCTGAGATACGGGCAGTGCCCGGTCCCAAGGTGCCCGGATAAGAGACGTCTGAGTGTACCATAAGCCTTACGCATGGTCTGTCACACACTATAATATGATGTGTTATGATATAATCACTAACATCAAGCAAGACCTCGTTGAAATAAACCAAGTTTTGTTCTATCATGTGATGCTGTGTCTCCTCGCCACCATAGTTGGCTTTGTAGTTGCTTTGATACCAACCATGTGAATAAGAATATGCTCAATCTCCAGACTGGCAGCTAGCTGTTTCGACCTTGTGTGGTCACATCAGTGGAGCTTAGAATGTTCAGTAATAGTGTCTCTGCTGTGCATGTATGCTTCTCGTTTAGGTATCCGACTTTGGCTCTGCTGCACGATTCGATGTGGACACTTGCCACAGTAGCATACAGGGAGCAGTGGCTCGCCGCATATCCGTGGCCGGAGAGGAGAGCACGCTGAGGTCTCCTGATCACGAGTCTCGCGGTGGCGGCGGCAGCGACCTGCTCTCCGGTTCCAGCGTGGTGGATGAGAGCACGCCTCTGCTGCATTCACAAGCGCCGCTGTCGAGCCGGGTGGGAACAGTGGCCTGGAGCGCACCCGAACTCCTATCCAAACTCTCCTACGGTGCTAGTGTAGATGTCTACAGGTATGTACGGCCAGATGCTGCATATGCACTTACACATACTATGCACGGTCAGATGCTGCATATGCACTTACACATACTGTCTGATGAACGCATGCCAGTGAATGAACCGACTGATAAGTCGCACACTCTAGGCAATCTTGACTAGCAACATATTTTGTAACAATGGAACTGGCGTTGGCGGCATAGCACAAAGTGACAGTTGCAAGCGTATACTTCAAAGTACTAGCTCGTTCTAGTAGGGAGGCAAGGCAGTAGCCCGTATTGTTTATCTTCTGTGAATATGCGGCTGTACTATCAGGTTGTGTGCCCTCCTGAATACTCTACACACTGCAAGTTATGGCATTCCTTTTGCAGCAGGGAGTAGTACACTACTCCGTGCTTTGTTCCTGTGAACGCATAGCATGTGCTAATATTTTACATTCGGTAGATGGCGATATGCAGATGTTATTTTGCTGCTTGTTTTTGTCCCTGTGCAGTTTTGGAATTGTTCTGTGGGAGATCTGCACACGCTGCATTCCTTTCCAGGAGTACCCGTTCACAGTCGATGTGCGGAATGCTGTGCTGTCCGGTGTACGGCCTACAGTACCCAGCAGCTGCCTGCCCGCATACAGCATGCTGATGCAAGCATGCTGGGACAGTGAGCACATGCAGCGGCCCACGTTCTCGGAGATAGTGCCACAGCTCGACGAACAGCTCGAGATGTGCTTATCTAGTCTTGTGGATCGGCCATCCTCTGTCTCATCATCCCCTGCTAGGCCATCGTCAGTACTGACTATTCAGTAGCTTTGCCGTTTCAGCTTTGCTACAACATGATCTCTCCAGAGCGAACAACATTGATTATTGAACCCAGATTCATTGAAGATTTGATAAGTCACGGTACATAAGATTAATGGTATATCTAGCGAGACGGAAACATCAAGTAAAAATAGCTGAGAATATATTGAAGACTATGTGCAGGTCGATCATTGATGATTTCTTAAATTGACATTTGATGAGCTGATATTTTCTTGACGAAATACAATCGGGCAATTCTTTGATGAACAGCATAATTATGATGTAGAGTTCTTTGATATGTACACAAGTCGAAAGAAGTTATTTTCTTTATATCAAGTTGAGAGTTTCTAACAAAAGATGGTATGAATTTGAGTATCAAGTTGGTATATGTGGCAAAAGCATGCTATAAGACTCGTTGAAGAGCAGCCTTTTGTTCTGCTTGGAGGTGATTCGGGAACTGAACATCAAAATTCACAACAAGGTCTCCTCTGCCGCCAGTCTTGCTATTGGGCATTCCCCGGTTTGGCACACGGTGAACGTACGATGGAGACACGGGGTTTTCCAAAGTCATGCGCAGTGACCGCCCCTCTAAAGTCGGGACATTCACCGTACAGCCGAGAAGAGCTTCCTTTAGCATTAGCTTTGTCGTGTAGTGGATATCATTCCCTTCTCTCTTGAAAGACGTGTGTGATCTCTCTTGAACAACAAACACCACATCTGCGGGAACAACACCGGGGCGCTGATTACCTTCTTTCGGGAAGGTGATTTTCGTTCCTGCTTTCCAGCCCGGCTTCACGTCAACGGTCAAAATCTTGTCCTCGACACGCTCCTGTCCAGACTCATTGGTGATAGTCTTGCTGATCTTCATCTTCTTTGTACATCCTGTTGCTAGCTCTTCGAGGGTGAGTGGCAGATTGCGGGTGACAGTAGAGTCTTGAGCAGGTGGACTTCCCTGCCTTTGTCGCTGGCCATAGCCGGGCATACCACTAGCGGCAGGATGGAACGCACCACCAAGACCAGGGCCCATACCGAAACTCTGAAACTGAGATGCACCTCCATTCATTGAGCCACGGGGAGGAGAACCACTTGTATCCATATCAAAGCCATCACCGAACAAAGAGGCGAATGGGTTGTCTGTGCCGAACACACGGCTGAATGTAGCGCGTGCATCATCTCCGCCAAATGACGTGAATGTAAACGTTCTTCCACCATTGCCAAACGCCGATCCAAAGTCGGCTCCAGGTCCGCTTGGACTACCACCACCACCACCGCCAGCTTTCAGGCCTTCCTCTCCATACTTGTCGTACACTGCTCGTTTATCGGAGTCAGAAAGCACTTCGTAGGCCTCAGATATCTCTTTGAACTTATCCTCAGCACCAGGATCCTTATTCTTGTCGGGGTGAAATTTCAAAGCCATCTTCCGATAGGCCTTCTTGATATCCGACTCAGAAGCATCGCGAGACACTCCCAATATCTTGTAGTAGTCCTTCCCCATCTTGGGATAAGAGAGATTGACACTCTGGAAATTGTTCCAACTACTAACTCAGAGAAAAGAAACCAAGATCTGGCAAGAAGAGTACAACAGGAACGACTTACTAGAAATTATTGTTTCAAATAATTGGAACGCTCTCCAAACACCTTGCTTCTGACCAGATAATCCCAAACGACGCCAATTATATTTCGAGGATCCTTCCCAGAGAACACTGCAGAAATGTCTCCGGGAAAATTCCTCGAACAACTAGAACAGCAGAGAAGAAACTGCCAAGAAGAATCTCACGCCTTCAGCAGAGAACGCGAGAAGCAGAAGCACATTTCGCGAAAGACTACTTGAACTGAAGGTGTGTTTATGCACGTGTAGCTAGCACCGCGTGCGCCTGACAGCTGCTTGAGGCCCAGGCCCACGCTACAAGGCGCGCGGTGCCGAATCGTACAAAAACTTGTACTCACCATGCCATCAACTCAGCTGATCAGCTGATCGATCATCAGGTACTAGACTTGCAAGGGTAGTACAGTAGTACTACTAGTATGATCTACGGTGTTCTACGCATCCCGTGTACGGCATGCCCGAGTGTAGTACCCGTACCTCCGCGGCTAGGCCTGGCCCTTGCCTTGGCCTTGGCTTGGGCTAGCTGGCCGGGCGCTGCCTAGCCTAGCCTGCCGCCGCGCTGTCGTTGCCACGCAACATTTCAAATGTTTTAATCAGGGAGTCGTATAATACCGGTATTTTAGTACTCCCTGCATTTGAACAAAACTCAAAAGAATGTTCGGAGCGCATGCGCTGCACATGGAATGCGCGTCATCAAATGCATGCGTACCTAGAGTACCTGCAATCTGAAAAATGATCAACGACAACGGATCTTGTGCATGTGGCCGATCGAAGTATCGTACGTTACTTCGAAGCTTGCTCGCGGGAGGCAACGGCATAGTAGGAAAAACGATGCAAGTGAAGTGTAGCAGAGTCTGTGATACTTGTTGAGGTTCGCTTTTATTTTGCTCTGGGGACATCACTAGTAAAGTATTGTAATTTGTGTGCAATTATTTGCTACTAGGAGCTAATTTTTAGTTATTTGCCGTGACCTGGAAGCGCTCTGCTACCTGCTCTCAAACACATCGGTTTGACATTGTCATGGCATCGCGAAATCCTGGACAGAGGTCTGCGCCAGCAGGCGCCCAAGCTGGCAGAGTATGCCAGTTCAAGTTGGTGCTTCTGGGAGAGTCCGCCGTCGGTAAATCTAGCTTGGTGCTAAGATTCGTCAAAGGTCAATTTCATGAATATCAAGAAAGTACAATAGGAGCAGCTTTTCTTACCCAAACTGTTCAGCTGGATGATGCAACGGTGAAGTTTGAAATTTGGGACACTGCTGGACAGGAGCGGTATCATAGTCTAGCTCCAATGTACTATCGTGGAGCCCAGGCTGCCATCGTTGTGTACGATATCACCAACCTAGACTCGTTTGGTCGAGCAAAGACATGGGTGAAGGAGCTCCAAAGGCAGGCCAGTCCAAATATTGTCATTGCACTGGCTGGCAACAAGTCTGATTTGGCCAACAAACGCATGGTGGATTTGGATGAGGCACAGGCATATGCAGATGATAACAATCTCCTGTTTATGGAGACATCAGCGAAAACTGCAATGAATGTCAACGAAGTGTTCATGGCAATCGCAAAGAAGCTGCCGAAAGGTGATCCGGCAGGAAGCGGCCGGCAAGGCGGCAATCCACGAGGTGGTGGAGTCGATCTAAAAGAAAAGCCCAATGAAGGAGGTGGATGCTGCTAACACGCACATACACAACCAGACACTAGTGTTCCACTCTTCCTGTATGAAGTCGCATGTGTGGTTGGGTACAGCTACTACATGCCACGTCCCAGTGATAGCCGAAGTCACGTACGTCCTTGGTGTTTTATATCTCTTTTGCAAATTTTCTTTAAGACTGTCAAGTACTGGTTTATGTTCGTTTTGTCCTAGGAGGTATTTCTCATTTTACGTCGCCCGTCCTAGTATGTACCGCTACTGGTGTAGTTGTCTGTAGGGTCAACCCCCCTCCCCCTTACGTTAGGCAGATAGACCGTTAGTTGCATATCTTATAAATACGTACAAACAACCTGTTCTTGACAAATCATCTGAACTCACAACGACCCATGCTCTCTTGGACCACTCTATAAAGTCGTTGTCATCATGAAAGTCACGTCACGCTGTCAGCGTCTCATACAAACGCCGATCATGAAAGAGGATTTATTTTTTCGTCCACGTCCTTCGAGAGATCTCATGTAAAAATTATTCTTTCTTCTGCTGTTACTTTTTAATAAACTATTTGTCAATTTGATGACGCAGGGATGCGCTGGGTGCTTTTGTTATAATAATTATACTTTGCCCACAACTGCTTATAGATTTCACTTATTACGTTCTTGAAACATTTTAAAATTTTATTACCATTACCATCGTGTGCGCCCGGATTGGTTGTGAATATAATTGTGGAGCTTTCCATGTGAGGCTTTACTCTCTCGAGTTGTCTTTGACTTGTGGTTCTCGAGCTCTCTTGTTTCCTCTCCTGCCACTTTCTGTCTAGAAGCTTGTTTGCTTTGCCGCCGAAGAGTGTGCTGGTCGTAGTCCCAGAAATTCCCTTCTGTTGACGCGATGGGTGTTGATTTACTGCTAATTTTTAATCCATAGTTAGTATACATGCAGAATTGTAACGTTACCTTGACCCAGATGTGCCCTTCCTGATGTTCTTGGGGCTTAGGCTTTTCAGATGAAATATAAATATAATATCTGCACACTTTGAGCGCTCTGTACCTGTAAACATATTATGCACACATATTTGTTCTGGAATGGAAACCTTGAATAGTGCATGATGCGGTGTTCTTGCCCTGCCTAGACTGCAATGTGGTGTTCATCATCATCATACGCTGTATTACGAGTGTCTCACCCATGCTGTTGCCTTCATTACATGCACAGAGTTTTACTTTCTCAAAATATTGTCAAGAGTACACAGCCCCCAGAGGTTATGTACAATGTACATGTACTCTTGATATTGTGCTACTCCCAGATTGCATGTACCAATAGTCCAATATGACTAAAATAATAGTAAAAAATGTTGATTGAACACATGGCATGCACAGTTGCTTCGATCAATGCCTGTTACATTTTTCTGGTGCCTCAGGCCCTCAGCTCTGGCTTTGCATGGACACTGTTTTGACATACATGTACAAGTAAATTACAACTCAAGGGATCTGACTGTAATCAATGGTCGTGCGTCTACAAAATAATTCTAAAAATTTCACTCCATGGATCCAGGCGATGCGTGATCAGTACAGCACTAGTGATGGCTGGTTACAGGTACAGGTACACACCACCTGCAGTCTGTAGATCTACTCCCTGGGCCCTGGCTCGACATTTCTTCAGTGTCACAGTGATTTGTAATGATTACATGCAGTCATAATCACGGTATGTCTAGTTATGAAAGACTACACTACGACTCGTACATATACAATCACGTCATGTAATTGTTGTATGACTATGTCCATGATGTCTATGATGACCACTTTTTTGTGATGGGAGAATCGGAGGCGCTTCTTATCCCAGCCTAGCGCCTACTTTTTTTGTAGCCAAGCGGCGCTAGGCGTAGATCTACGGCCGTTGACCGGCCTACGACACT